TGCACAGTACTGTATAGTAAGTAGTCCGCTTCCACAAAAACAGAGCTTTTGTGACAGTTGTGATAAGGGTCTTTATCACATGGAAATTAGAGTCTGTCTGTCATTTTTTGTGCCTTTACATATTTTTGCTTTTACTTTAAATACCATGGAACATGTCTTCCCACTTTCTGAGGAATTGTTTATTTCTTCACCGATTAGTTTTTGGCACAGATTTGTTTATCTGTACCAAAACATCGAGGAAGAATTAGTACGAATTGTAGCTCCCTCCCGGCACATTAAAAGCTGCTCCACTGGAAACCTCAGTCATGGAACCGTACATGATTCACTTTTTGTGCAGGATCAGGGGTACTCCAGGACCAGGGTTGGGAAGCTGTGGCCTATGCAACCGGAAACAGCACTGTAAGTTACTTGCAAACAATATGCTTCTCTTTGCACATCTAACATTAGCATATAGAAATGTTAATGCCCTCTTTTCTCCTACATGGTTTTGACTTAGTGCCAACATCAGGATAAACTAAAACAACTACCCAGGTCCCTCCACCCTGATCTGTCAATCAGCATGTCTGCTAAATCAACCGTGCCGAAGGACAGGCGAACATTCTCAGGCTAGCTGATTCTGTGGCATCTCAGAGTTATGTAAAGCACACAAACCAACATTAGCTCCACCAAACTCAGGCATGGCGCTCAAACTTTAGGGCAAACCGCCTCACACCTACACTTGCTGCACAATAGTAGTGACCTGAGAAGAATTAGTCTCCTGAATTGAGTTTGTTCCTGAAGAGCTCTTTGTTGATGTTCTGTCAACTTGTACACTGTTCTTAAAAGGGACATAAGCCTAGTCCTGGTCTACATTTTCCTTTCAGTGGAGAATCTCCATTCAGATGCTGTGTAGTCCAGGACTAGGCTTAATCCCTGTCCAGGAATCTGACTCTTTGTAGAGAGCTGCTCACTAAAGAGTTTGTCCCCCTTTGCTGCAGTAACAGCCTCTACTCTTCTGGGAAGGCTTTACACTAGATGTTGGAACATTACTGTGAGGATTTGATTGCATTTGGTCACAAGAGCATCAGTAAGGTCAGGTACTGATGTTGGATGATTCATTCTGGGTCATACACATCGCAACACATCCCAAAGGTTTTGGATGGAGCTCCATAACTCCAGAGAATGCAGTTCTACAGCTCCACAGCCAAATGCTAGGAGGCTTTATACACCTTCAGCCAATGCTTGGTGACCTTAGACTCTGGAGCTTCCCATTCTATTAGCAATGCTTTTCCATGGCGATACAAGCTGTATGATAGAACAATTTTAGAACGATTTTGTCAGCAATGGGTGAACCATAAAGTGCAACTGACTGGAATGGCTGTCTGGATACTTTTGGAAATATAACGTATGTTACACTCATGTCAACTGAAAATGAAAACATGTTCAGGTGTGTTGGAACATATTGACAGGCTCCTCAAACGTTTGACAGACTGTTTGTAGTGTTACATTGCTCATATAATGTAATGAGCAGATGAGCAGATTGAACAGTGCTTTTTTTTCTCTGAGTTTAAGCTTCTTTAGGGTGTGACACTGATAAACAGATTAGAAGGAAAACACAGATTTAATGTTTTCCTACAAATGATATCAGATCTAATGGGCGTGCCATCAATGCACACAGCCATGAGGCTTTTTGGTGAACTAAACAACATGATCAACTGATGAACGTTGGGTTGAGCAACTTAAATGTGATAACTTGTGCATATTTTGCACTTGAATAAACCATTAAAGTCAGTGCACACTGAGGGAGACATACATGTTGTATTTTTATCAATTATTTGCATCTGATCTATATGATATAAAACAAATTTGTACACATTACAACAGACTGTTGAGGAATGCTCTTTTTCTGGGTGTGGGAGCTGTTAAGATAGAACAGATTTGTGAAGAATTTATTGTCTGTCTGCCTGACAGCTTGCTGGGCTACATTTTTCACATTGATAAGAATGCCTGTGTAATTATACATTTAGTTCATTCGAAAATGTAATTTGCATAGTGTATATTTGCATGTAACTCAGGGGAGTGGGTTAAAGTGCTCTGCATAGCGCTGTGCAAAAGATAGAGACCTCACTTTATTTATTTAATGTGTTTAATTAATATTTCCAGTCAAAGCAGCTATTGTTATTCATTTTTCAGAGTCAGGAGAAAAGCAGAAAACATATATTTAACAGATATTTACTCAGAAGCCTCAACAACTAATTATAACATAAAATCTTCTTCTTCTTCTTTCATTATTATTATTATTATTATTATTATTATTATTATTATTATTATTATTATTATTATATCAATTGCTTTTATTCTTCCATTCTTTTTGGGACCCTTGCATGGGTAAGTTCAGTCTTAGAAATTGGTTGAATTACCTGCTTCTCATGATCCAAGTAATCCCAAACAACTTCAGTGATGTTGAGGTCTGGACCCTGGTCAGTACATTTTTCTTAGAATGCCAGCAGCTTCTTTGTTTGATTTGCAGTTTTTTTTTCTTTTATGTCCATTTTTCTATATATCTTTTATGACCCACAGTTTTGAGAAGAATGAACAGAAACGCCTGTGTGGCGCTTGATTTTCTCCTAAAAATGAAAGCTTTAAGTGCTGTTTATCTGAGGTTTACAGTTTTGGTGGTCTCCCAGGGCTTGCACTGTTGTTAGGATCCCATTTTTTTGAACTCCAGTTTTGGAAACTCATGATTTTTCACTGTGCTCTTCCTCATGCAAGTGAATTGTTTTATTTCTAATCTCCTCAGAAGTAAAATGAGTAACCTGAACTTAATGGCCATTTTGACTGTAGATTAAATAAATGAAGACTGGCTGCTGACGCCTTCCGCCCAATGACAGCTGGGATAGGCTCCAGCACCCCACCGCGACCCAGAAGGATAAGCGGTTTAGATGATGGATGGATGGATGGCTGCTGACGTTAGTAAAGTATTGTGCTTTGGAAATCATGTTTTGGCATTTTTGTTATGTAGTCTTCACAGATTTGCATGTAAAACATGCATAACGACTACACTGCATTCGAGTTGTAGATTTGTATGTCCGACTTACTCAGTCATGGTCACACCTTAGCAATCACACACACTCACACAGTGTTTGCAGATCTAGGCCACTGTGTTGTTTTGTAACGAACTGGGTGGCAGTGTCAAGTTCTTTGATCTCTTCGCAAGAAATTAACAAAAAAAAATCAGTCGCAAAAATGTTTACACTGCAGTTTATCAGTTTTGCTATCACTTAAACCAAGATTCTGTTTATTAAGACGTGTAAGACTAGCAGTAGGTCTGCACACCTCCACCTTCGTAAAGGACTTGCCAAATGATCTCACTGTAGGTGGGCCATAACTAGCTCCCTCCACAATGGCCCAGTGAGCCAGCCTAGACATGCAGCTTCTCTTTCTGTACTTTTCTCTCTTTCTTTATTTTGAGAGGGCTCAGCCTGCAAGAGAAGACTTGGCATAAATATATTAGTCATTGCACAAACCCCACTGAGGCTTTCACAAGGCAGTGATTCACTCTTTCTGATTTCACATTTTCACACCTGTTTTACACTTTACATCATGATCGTAACAATGTGTCTGCAAGTTAACACTTTCTCTGAGTTAACATGCACCTTGTACCTGGCCGTCATACCATTTCCCATCACCGTTTCAATGACTTCATCACTGACGTGAGATCTGAGTAATTTGTTTGGAGCTTTTATTTGTATGATCTGCTCAGTCAAACGCAGTGCATTGCACCCATCTTTCTGTAGAGTATGATGGGCAAAAAGTGTGGTGTGTAGAATTGATATGATTCAAATGTGCAAATGTAAAGTCAATGCATGACCTTTTCCATTGTTAAAGGTGTTGTGAGTTTAGATTGTGGCATGTCAAAGGGGCCTATGAGAAGTTTTGGGAACAGATTGAGTGAATAAACTGTGACTCACTTCACAGCTTTGCAGGCTGCTATTAAACGCTACGGCTGAGAAAGTGACCTTACTTTCCCTACTGAAGCTCAAACAAAGCAACCTCTGGAATGACAGGTAGTATTCACCACACCCAACTTTCAGCAGGCAAACACACACACACACACACACACACCACCCCCAACAAAGATTGTAATGCATGCAAAAACTGAACAGCGAAAGTGTGTGAAGGCCATTGTGCAAAAAAGTGTGAATGTGTGATAGACAAAAGACAGAGAGAGAGAGAGAGAGAGAGAGAGAGAGAGAGAGAGAGAGAGAGAGAGAGAGAGAGTACAAGGATTCCAATGTAAACTGGTTAAGCTATTTTTAGGTTAAAGAAGTGTGTAATAAAACTTTTGGTCTGCCAACAGGCCCTGGTCTTTAAGGGGTTAACTCTAAAAGAGAGATAGAGAGAGAGAGAGACAGAGATAGCTATATGTCTTATCCGCCTAAAATGCACATAATTACAGTCATTTGAATTAGATAACCTGAGTCAACCTCATTCATTCGAACTGAAAAGCATTAGCCCTGCAAGAGACAAAGACAGAACATTTTCTTTTTAAAGAAACAGCTCAGATGGAAACCCACAGTACATTCCATCTGCTTGCAATCTCCTTCCCCTGTAGTCCCCAGCAGTGCACTGGAGCAGCCTACACTCCTGGCATTAAGTAAGTCCAGTACCCACAGTTGCACACAGTGGCACAAACTTATGGAAAAAAGGCCTCTCTTGTGTAGTCATTCATAAGTGTAAGAAGAGCAGTGTGCCCCACCCTGCTAAAGAGTGCAGGGGTGAACTCATTTTCTCCCTCCACTCTGCCTCTCACTCAACCAACCAGACTGAGAGAGGCAGACCCACCCGCTGGCATGCGCTTCTGGACACATTCCGCTCTTTATTGAAGAAAAGGCCAATTGGAATTTCTCTGCTCTGCTCTTTCACTCTTTGCTTCGCTGTGCTTGTGGCAAAGCCTGAGGCAGGGTGTAACTCTTCTTATCTTTCCACTCTCACTCTATACCTGTTTGACAGGTAGGGTGTGTATGCGTGTGTGTGTGTATGTGTGTATCTATGAGTGGGTGAGTGTGTGTGAGAATGGCCGGCCCCACCCCTGTGCTCTGCGATCAAATAAAAGGAGGTGGCCAGCAGTGGAGAAGCACACAGAGGGACTTTGACTCTCCTTTGTGAGCAACCTCCTCCGCCTCTTCCAGTCCGCTCCGCACTCCTCTCTCGCTTCTTCTTCTTCTCTGCAAAGAGACATCCACAAAAACCCAACAGACGCCATGGCAAGCACCAGATCTATCAGCTACAGTGCCAGAAGCGGCCATGGTAGTGGCTCCGTGAGGAACAGCTACTCCAGCCAGTCAGCCTACGCCATCCCCAGCGGCGGCAGCCGGATCAGCACAGTAACTAGCGTCCGCCGCTCCGTTGGGGCTACTGGTAGTGGCTGGGGTTTGGGCCTCAGCGGCGGCGGCAGCAGCAGCAGCGGTGGAGTCTATGGCCTTGGTGCAGGCTTTGGCGGAGGCCTTGGCGGAGGCTTCGGCGGAGGCTTCGTTCCTGCACCTATTACCGCTGTGACAGTCAACCAGAGCCTCCTGGCCCCCCTCAACCTGGAGATCGACCCCACCATCCAGGCTGTGCGCACCCAGGAGAAAGAGCAGATCAAAACCCTCAACAACCGCTTTGCCTCCTTCATTGACAAGGTATGACTGCTACTCCTTAATTCAAGAACAATTTAAATGCTAATAACTATGTAACTTACTTAGCCGAATAATAACTATCACTGAAGAGGTTAAATGGCTGTAAGTCTTGAGTCTAAATATAGGTAATAATGAATTGGTTTTGCTTGCTAGTATGACAGCTGCTTTTCAGTAAATACAATTAACTCACAAAGGTACCGACAGACAGCACCTTTGATATACGCCCAACCTTTAATCTGATGACCTTTAACCCTGAATACATCATTATCACCTTAGGCTAAACCAACAGTTGCAGAAGACTAAACCAACGGCTAGCAAACTGTTTTTTAGTCTCTCAGTTAAAAAGCAGTCTCTACCAACTTTTGGCTAAAATTTTAAATGCTAAAAACTTTGATCTAAGTTAAAAAAGTTTTGCTAGAATTTGAGTCTACACACTGTTGCTAAATAATGTCAAACACATTTGACTCGCAAAAAAGAAAACGTTCTTGGAGCAATGGGCCTAAATGAACACCAGCTTCAGCTTGCATGGAAAGCATGCATTCATTTATTTTGTGGTATAGGCTAGAGTGCCTCTGTTTTTCAGAGTTGCCATAGTTACTCCTCCGCTGGCATTAGACTCTGACGTGTCACCAGAGAGGCCTCAGCAGTGAAAGGGCAGTAAAATCCAAGCAATCTATCAAACCACATTGAGTTGTAGTGAATTGAGCTTGCTTTATTTACAACATCCATTCCAACTACTTATCAAAGTGTGGGTTCTAAAAAGAAACACTGCCTTTCTGCTCTGTTTTTGCCTGTTTCTGAGAGCACGCTAACTTGCTAAACCCTAAAGCAGTCTGTTCAAACATGGGTGGAGAGCAGGTCATAATCTAGCGACCACATGAGTCACACACGCTCACACATATTCATACACTCTAGGGAGAAGAGATGGGAGTTAAGTTCAAAGTTTAGCCCACTTTGCCGCTGTACTTCATGCATGAAATGCACTGGTCTTGTTAGTAGGATGTCTTATTTTTTAGGCATCAATTTACTCACAGTGACTTTTAGTCTTTTCTCTCCTGGTCTGACATCAAGTCACTTGTTTGGTAATACCATGTTTGGAAAAAGGCAAACACTCCAAGCAAGTGTGGACAGAGTCCACGCCCCAAATGGCTGCCTACCATGTAGTCAGCACACACACCTGTATTTTATAGTGCCTGTGGGAAACAGTGTGACCAGGATGAGTTATCTGGGTTGTAGACATTACGCTATACACACCCACTCACACAAACCCAGAACAATTTACTGAACAAAGATGGTTCTATGTCTGCAGAAAATAGGTACATACACCTCAAAGCCATATTTACTGTCCAGTTGTAGTGCAGTAAAATGCTGTGCCTTTCCAGATAGATGATGCAGGCACAAACAGTCTTCCATTATACAGACCTCTTAGAAACTTTTAAAAGTTAAAGTTTTTCTGAGGTCAGAAAGGAGGCTGTTAGATCAGTACATGATAGTACTGCTGCTAAATGTCACAGCTAAGACCTGATGCTCTAAAGATGAGCTCATATCTCAGGCAAAAAAGCCAGCAGGGGACTCAGACAGGGCGTATGCTGCTCAGTACTACAGTTGATCTGTCATCATCCTTGCACAAAACCTTTATTTGGGTGTGGCTGGTAAACCTGCCTCTCTGATGTTATCTGTTCAGTGCTCCATCTCAGGAGCAATGCAGGTCTAGGCGAGGCCTCAAGGCAAGATTTTTTTTTTCATTCTTTCCCTTCAGGAAAGTTCATGGTTCATGTGTCACGGACACACCCTGTTAGTCCACTCTCTCTCTGTCACTCGCTCCCCCTCCCTCCTTCACCCCACCCTGCAAAAATATGCCTGGTGGAATGACTCATGGCCATTTATGTTTCCTCAGACAATAAAAAACAGGAGAAAGAACATAAAAGAGGCAGGAGTACAAAAGAGCAATACAAGCCATCTTCCTGAATGCATTAATCCAGTTTTCCAAATTCACTCACAGTTTTATGACTAATGAGTGCACTTCTTCTCTCATGTTTTAGAAACAGCTATAAGAAAAATCCTTTGCATCATTTGAATTTACTGAATTAGTAATGTTTAAACCAAGATACACAAAGCCTAAAACTAAGACAAGTCTTGCTCCCCTCAGGTGCGTTTCCTGGAGCAGCAGAACAAAATGCTGGAGACCAAGTGGAGTCTTCTGCAGGAGCAGACCACCACCCGCTCCAACATTGATGCCATGTTTGAGGCCTACATTGCCAACCTGCGTAGACAGCTGGACGGCCTGGGCAATGAGAAAATTAAACTGGAAGGAGAGCTGAAGAACATGCAGGGTCTGGTTGAGGACTTCAAGAGGAAGTAAGCACTACTAGCTAATACTATATGAGTGGGTTATATTGAATGAAACACAGTGTCAAAGTTGCAATAGCATTTATTCAAAATTAAATAATCTTTCTGCAGGTACGAGGATGAGATAAACAAGCGTGCTGCAGCTGAGAATGAGTTTGTCCTGCTGAAGAAGGTATAGACTCAAATAACTTTTCTGAATTTCTGATATTCTTTAATATATTAAGCTATACGATAATAAGGACAGCAGCGTAACCTCATTCCTCTTCTTCTTTTTAGGATGTTGACGCTGCCTACATGAACAAGATTGAGCTTGAGGCTAAGGTTGATGCCCTTCAGGATGAGATCAACTTCCTCAGGGCAGTCTATGAGGCTGTAAGTGACTATTTTACTTTGATTAAAGAAATCAAAGATTTATAACATTTTTCCCTGAGGAGAAACTTGACTGGAACAAACTTTGTTCTTTTGCATGCAGGAGCTGCGTGAGCTGCAGTCTCAGATCAAGGATACATCAGTCATTGTGGAGATGGACAACAGCAGGAACCTGGACATGGACGCCATTGTGGCTGAAGTGCGTGCTCAGTATGAGGACATCGCCAACCGCAGCCGTGCTGAGGCCGAGAGCTGGTACAAACAGAAGGTAGGAAAAGCGTGAAGAACCTAATATTCAGCCTTTGCCTTTGAGATTCACTCCTTCAGTTGCTGGAATTGATTTTTCTCATTATCTGTTTCAGTTCGAGGAGATGCAGACTTCAGCTGGCCAATACGGTGAGGACCTGCGCACAACCAAGTCTGAGATTGCTGAGCTGAACAGAATGATCGCTCGCCTGCAGAACGAGATTGAGGCCGTCAAGGGACAGGTAGCCATGGAGCACCAGTTGCAGTTATTTTGAGACAAATAGACCGTATTTCCTAGCAGAGATGCTAACGATTTCGCTCCCTCTCTCTTCCTTCAGCGTGCTAACCTTGAGGCTCAGATTGCCGAGGCAGAGGAGCGGGGTGAGCTGGCAGTGAAGGATGCTAAGCTCCGTATTAAGGACCTGGAGGAGGCCCTTCAGAGGGCTAAGCAGGACATGGCCCGCCAGGTGCGTGAGTACCAGGAGCTCATGAACGTCAAGTTGGCCCTGGACATTGAGATCGCCACCTACAGGAAACTGCTGGAGGGAGAGGAGAGCAGGTGCGGAGACTTTGTCATCAGCTAACTTTAATAGGTTTTGTTTTAGGCCTACCCGACAGTACCAGTTACTTGTTTTTGTTTATTTTAAACTGTGTATGTTCAGATCTTTTAGAAAGTCACCTCACTCTGCATATATTTCTCCCCAGACTCACAGCTGGAGGATCCACTGCCACCATCCACGTGCAGCAGACCTCTGGAGGTGGTGAGTACATTTTCCATCCTACAATATTGTACACTTTACAACTTTAATGAACCAGACTATTATTTTCTATCAGATACACTTCTTTTAAGATTGCTTACGATTTTCATCAGTTGCACCATGTTACTTGTCTTTTGGTACTTTTTGTACTTAAGTTGCCACTTAAGTGTCTTTCAGATGGTGATCTGACATCTCATCTTTGTTCCTGATGCAGGTTTCTCCTCTGCCAGCTCTGGATATGGCCAAGGAAGTGGAATTGGAGGTGGAATTGGAGGTGGAATTGGAGGTGGATACAGCGGTGGATACGGAGGTGGATACAGCGGTGGATACAGCGGTGGATACGGCGGTGGCCACAGTGGAGGCTCAACCATAACCAAATCCGCAGTGAAAACCGTCAGCAGCAGCAGCGGCAGCATCAGACGCTACTAAGCAGATGCATCCCAATTCCTTCCCCTGCCAACCTGCACCTACATTACCACCCTTTCAACTTAGACCATCTATGGTGCTATTAGTTCTAACTAGCAGCCCCTTTTAGAAGTCTCCAACCAGGAGATGCTCTACTGTTTCTGAATACAGGCTTTTGTCTGATTTTCCTAGATAAAATTCTGAGGAGCTTTTTTGGTTCGATGTCATTTGTCTGTAGCTTACAGCTCCTCTTTGGCCAGCCAGGGAGCAATGCTTCTTGTATGCTGATGCCTCCCTCTTATTTCTCATTCAACTGCAAACCAAAAACCAGAATTAAACCAGAAAGAATGTAAAGGGAAAATGTTTGATCCCAACTTCTGACTTGCTCTATTTTCTGCACTGACATATTTGGGGAAAGGAAGACTAGATGGAGATAAAAGTTGAAAAAGAGAGCAACAATTCAATACACTAAAACCACTAAAGGACAGCAAGTTCCATTATCATAACCAGAAGCAGTGCCACGGCAACACTAGATCAGAGAATTTCTATGCAGGTTCAAAAGGGCTCATCTAGGTAGAAGCTTTCTGCTACCACATGTCTGCTGCTAGTAAGACGCAACTGTAACAAATATTAGTTAATATAGTCCAGTGATTTTACACTGTAGGCAGATTTGTTCTGGCAAAACTCATATCACTTATGGGCTTCTGAGGATGACCCTCTTCAGACTGTGTACAGTGGCATCTGCTGATTTGGCAGCTGTAAACTCCATTATGTTTGTGCTCCATCCCTCCCCTATGCTCAAAATGCCACCAGAGCAGAATTAAGGGTCTCATTCCCTTTTTCTCAGGCTGTGCCATACTTGATTTTCTACTTCATGAAAACAATGCAAAAACGTAATTATGTGAGGACCAGATTTATTTTATTTTTTTGGCAATTGACTTTGTAACATCTTCAAAACTGAATGAAATAAATCTGAGATCTATACTTCTCTTGTTGTCTTTCATTGCTGTTGTTGACCTTTTTACTGAGTAAACATGCATAAGATCCTATTTGCATCAATAATAAAAAAAGCAAAACAGAAGTACATTAAAAAATTAAAGGAAAGCATATGAGCATAGCTTCTCTTGCTCATCAGGATGGTGATAGAATCACTGCATTACATTTATTACACAATCAAGAAAGAAATAATGCTACTCTCTTATTTTAAAAATAAAATTGCTTATGCTGAGGATAGTCGTAGGATATGAAACGTAATTCTGTAATTCAGAAAAGCATTATAATTGCACTGTAAACATCTGTATAAATTTAAAGCTTCATCTTACAATATAAAACTCACTAACATACTTGAATGTACACTAAAAAAGGCACCATACCGAAGTTTAAATGGTAGTTTACATTATTCAACTAATTTGGATGAAAATTATACAATTTTCTGCATAATTAAACAAAATAAAAAACAAAGATGTAAACAAATTAATTTGGACATTTGTAAAACTCCATATGTGTAAAACTCCATTCTAGAAAAAACTTGCCAGAGTCAGAACTATTCCCAGTGGTGGTGACAGTGACTAGATTTCTGAAGTGTTTAATGCCTATAAAAGCTACCCCAGTAAGTTCTAAAAGTTATTATACTACATTATTATATTAAATTATTACACATACGCTGCCTGATGCCTGAGGCATTGTTTTACAAAAAAATGGGTTAAGGTTTTGACAAAATAGTATCCAAAGAAAACATTTATTTTTTCAGATTTATTACCAACATCAACATTGCATATAAAAACTCTAAAGAAACATGTAGGTCCTCTGGTTGTTTTGGGTAGTAAATAAAATGGCAATATTTATGGAAACATTGCTACCCCTGGCTCCTGTCACCACCACTGTAAAGTGTGTAAACTTCTCTACAATGTATCATTTCATGTAAAACCACTCTGAGTGACTCTGTTCACACCTGTGACTTATTTATGAAGAATTTTGATAAACTGGAAGAATTTCCCTTTAACAACATAACGGACGTCTAACCAAGACAGGCTGCGATATCTCAATGTTTGAGGAAGGCACTGCTCCAGCTGGCTCACTAAGCAGAACCTCTTCACTGGTGCGAAACACGCAAATGTAGATGAGAACTGCTGCTCCTACTAGTGTAGTGATAACAGCAGCAGCTATTGCTCCAGCAGATGGAGGATCATAAACTGTAAAGAGAGAGAAACAAGGGATAGACAAATGAGGGAGTAAAAGAGTTAAAAAACATGTGCAAAATAACTTTGTAAACGTTATTTATACTTGCCTGCATTCTGCCTGGCTGTATAAATATTCAACATGACAGTAAGAAGCACATAAGTTGATTCCTGTTCTCATCTTTCAAACTTAGCCCTGGCCTGACTTGTAATTAAACTCATCAGCTAATTAATAAACTTTTCAGTAGATCAATCGAGTGACTTTGCATGGAGTGACTTTGCATATGGTTGTCCCCTCACTGTAGTTGTTTATTACAGCTTTTTTGCCTTCCACGAAGGCCATCTAGTGGTGAAGAGTAACATGAGTGTTTTGTAAATCATTTTCACAATTAGAAGTTTCAAAATGGCAAAAAGCTGAAACCTATGTGAACTTGAGAGTAAAGCCTAAATTTTCTGGCCTTTTATCATGCTAACCAGGTTATTTAAAATATTTTGATATTTTTGAAGCATGCATGCCTTTTTTTACCTCATTTTGTCACTTGTTTGCCTCATGAGTTGCAATTAATCAGCTTGCAGAGCAACAAAAAACAAAAACATAAATTGATGAAAAAGTGAAGAGTCACCCTGTATAAATAGGTTGAAACTTAGGTCTGCTTATCATGCTAAACAAATATCAGTACCTGACCTCACTAATGCTCTTGTGGCTAAATGCAAGCAAATCCTCGCAGCAATGAGTAGAGACAGTAACTGCAGTCCAACCAGCTGACAGTGGCCTGCAAGCAGCGTCCTGTGACCTCTGATGAAGGACTAGAGGATGACCAACACAAACTGTGCAGCAACAGATGAGCTACTGTCTCTGACTTAACATCTACATGTTGGGCCAACAAGGAAGGAGTGTCTAATAAAGTGGACAGTGAGTGGACACAGTGTATAAAGACTTCAGCAGCATGGCTGTGTCTGATCAACTCGTACCAGCGCAACACACACTAACACACCATCGCCACTATGTCAGTGTCACTGCGGTGCTGAGAATGATCCACCACCCAAAAAATACCTGCTCTGTGGTGGTTCTGGGGGGTCCTGACCATTGAAGAAGAGGACAACAGGGAGCTAACAAAGAGAAATAGATGGACTACAGTCTGTAATTGTAGAACTACAAAGTGCACCTACATGGTGAGTGGAGCTGATAAAATGGACAATGTAGATACAAGAGGGTTCTGTTTGTCTATTTCCTTTTAACTAATAACATTCACACAAATGCTGCATGTTTTCTGAGATCTTACTGGGTAATTCATTTCTGAGGCCCATTCTTGACTTTCAGAGCCAAAAGTCTTATCTTTTAGAAAATCTACATTTGTGAAATTTACATGTTCGTTCATATACCGAAAAAAAAATTGCCTTAAGGTTGCTTTAATTTGCTTGATTTAAATGTGTACAAAGGAAAAAAATATGTTACATCAACAGTTTGTGTGGAACTGATGTACACAATTGAATTGTGTAAATTCAACCACTTTGTTTCAGCATAACCCTGTTCTGAAGGCTATAACAGAAGTATTTTCTATTATATTGCTCATAGCTGGATTTACGCTATATTTTATTCTATTAAATGACATTTTGTAAAAACAGTTCAGTGTTTTTGTGGTTAAAAAATAAAACCATGGGATTTCAATAATCTGTTCTGTAAAATATTTTCTCTAGAGTTTGTTCACAAATTGTTTTTCAAAAATGTGCAAATGTAGGTATATCAACATAGATAATGTCAATTTTTTTTTGCAAAACTTGAATACATGATATCTAAATTACCCTGTTCATCTGTAGCGTCTTGTTTTAAATTGCAAAGTAAACATTTACTATAACCAGGCGTACTTGCTCAACTCAATGTGTGAAATATGAGGGTAGTAAAAAAGCATGGGAAGGGTACACACCGTAGATGTATACTGAGTTGCTGTTTTGTGAGCTTAGACGGGCGAAGCAGGCGTACTCTCCTTCTTGCTTGTCTGTTGGCACCCCATACTCTATGCTCCAGACGTTGCCCGTGATGTCTGAACTGGTTCTTGAGGTAGTGAGTTCCTGTCCTTTGTGTGTTATTGTGAGGTATATCTGTAAAGAGAAAATTAAAATCCTTTGTATTATGATGCCTGTTAAGGACCCGTCTTTTCCATAAATGTGACTAATGTATGTAAAGCTGACTTGTAAGCTGAACTCACTTATTCACAAATTTCTCTTTAAATTAGCTGGGTTGTGGAAATAAACATCAGTGGAGCTTTGGCAACACTATTTTTAGCTACACAAGAATTCCTGCTGCCATCCTAAGAATGTCAATATAGCAAACATAACAGAACTTGTATCACAGCATCAATATTAAGTGCTTCGTAAGGATATGTAAATAACTTGCAATGTTAGCTAACTGTGTAGTCACTGTCTAGTGTAGCTGTGTTTGGCAGTGCACCATGACTGCCATGGAAACGTGGATCTTCTACATCTATGACTCTGTGTAGTATTGTATATGATAAGCATTATTATTATTATATGTCTAAAGGTGTACCTTTGGTTTCAGAAGTGCATGTGGTTGTGTGTGTAGTTGTGTGTGTGTGTTTGTGTGTGGGGGCGGGGGGGGGGCGGCAGCACAGTGCAGTGATGTTAGACTGTAAACATAGAAATCATATATCTAGGCCTATCACAATCATGATATTTTAGCAGCCGATTAATTAGGAATAATTGTGATAAATAATTTCTCATGTTCATTTTTTGAACTATGACTAGTACTAGTGTTCCACACTGTTGAGTATGCACACACACACACATACACTGTTACACAGAGCCATGTGAAGCCAATCAAGCAAGCTTACATTTTCTTTTGAGAGTATGAAAATATTAGCAAAGACCCTTGTTCTGCAAGTATACATTTTTTTAAATATTCAGATGATTCTACCTTTATTAGATCTATTGACAAATAATAAGAACATTAATCTATTTCAAAAGGATGCCAATAGGCTGTAAGATTGGTGCAACCAAAATTCTCTTATCATGAACACAAAAAGATAAAGAAGATTATTTTTGGTCTCTCTTCCCATTCATATCCACCTCCATTCACAATCCATAATGAGGAAATTAAGCAGATTATGCCCTACAAACACCTTAACGTACGTGCACTGACTGCCCACTTCATTAAGTACACCTATCTTGTTTATACACTCTTTGTCTATATTATCAGGCCCATTTACTGTCTAGGTGCACTTTGTAGTTCTACAATTACAGACTGTAGTCCATCTTTTTCTTTGCATACTTTGCTAGCCCCCTTTTACCCTGTTCTTCAATGGTCAGGACCCCCACAGGACCACCACAGAGCATGTATTATCTGGGTATTTGCTCATTCTCAGCACTGTAGTGACACCGACGCGGTGGTGATGTGTTAGTGTGTGTTGCGCAGGTGTGAGTGGATCAGACACAGCAGTGCTGCTTGCTGCACTTGTACCAGCACAACACACAGCAACACATCACGTCATGTCGGTGTCAGGGTAAAAGGGGGCTGACAAGGTATGTAGAGAACTACAGTCTGTAACTGTAGAACTACAAAGTGCAACTATATGGTAAGTGAAGCTGATAAAATGGACAAAGAGTGTGGATACAAGAAGTTGTACTTAATGAAGTCGCAAAATTATCTTGGAATAGTCATACTGATTATATTTTCTGTGAAGTACAGCAATGTATATATTTTCTGTCATGTTAAGCTCTTTTGGGGCCAAGAATTAGATTTTATGACAACTATGTACTGTCACATGGTATTGCATCACACCACAGAAATCCAGAGTGTGATGCAATACCATGTGACAGTACATAGTTGTCATTCGGTGAAATTAAGGACTAGATTGTTTACACTGACATGAATTAGTTCAAAAATTGTAGGTCCGTCTTTGGAGAATGGCTCTACAGTAGCTTATATGAAAAATACAGAAAGATCAGTGTGTAGTATTTTGTCTGATCTATCACATGTGCTACATAGTGAATATGGTATTTTGCCTTCAAACAGATGTTTTAGAGTACCGAATTTAAGACTTAATAAGTTTAGGCACTTTTTAATCCTTTAGTCAGCTGTGATGCTTATTAAAACAGCAGACTGTTTAGATAGGTACATACGCTGCAAAATACACACTTCTTGTGCAATACTGGAGTAACTGGGGAATTTGGAGATGGTGTAAAGTGTATTGTTGTGGTGCTGCTGTAAGCTGTGTTACTTGATTGTCGGACTGTAAACATGTTTTTTTTTCTCATGTCTTGTGGATATGGGTGTTTATGTTATGGAGCCACTGTGATGCACGACAAATTCTAGGGAAATATGAGTATCATATTGAATCATGTGTTGTATCGTACTACTTAGCAAACAAACAAACATAAGGTACTTGGCAAACCCTAACCATGTGATAGCAAGTTAAATGACTAGTCAAGCCCAACTGATCAAGATGCACCAGCTCATTTTTGTTGTGATGCAAACATAGGATATAGAAAAATAATGCAAATATGAAAAAATGACTGCAGTCAGCTTAAATAACTATGATCATTGTAAATAATTGCGATCAAGAAATTATAATAATCAATGGTCAAGTAATAATTGTGACACGCCTGTATAGTTCAGTGGTATACAGTGCTCAAACATTGTCTTGGGACACGCTTTGAAAACAATTTGTGTCTTGTTTATTTATTATTTCCAAGATAAATTTATCATTCATTCATTTGCATTCAACAGAAAAGTTATATCAACTGGTTTAGTAAACTCAAAATCATCCCCTAATAACTGAAAACACTAATAAAAGTACTCAAACATTACGGGGCAAACATTAGTGTGTCTATCATTTATGCAGGTTAGTATTTAATATTTTTTACATCAGTATTTTGTTGCATAGCTTTCTAGGCTTGGATGCATTTGGTGATGCTCAGCCAGGCTTGTTGGATGCTCTGTTTTAAATGTCCGGTGTGGCAAGTTTTTTAACTCATTCTGTCTCTTTTCTCCACTTCAGTACATTTTTAACTCTTGATTTTAGATGTGTAGTCATTTTCATTTTATTACCAAGACACCATTTTTTGTCAGATTAATTCAACTTAATATTCAAGTATCCTCAGTTTTCTAACTTTCTCCATCTTTCAGAATATTAATTAAGTTTAGTGTCAGCTGTGTTGGATGTTACGTTGGAGATCTCCGCTTTGAATGTGAATGCATTTGGACTTGTGTCCCAAAATTTGTTTTAAAGTAAAGTGGGTGTTCAGGTGGATGTTTTTTAGCTTTCTATTACTCACTTGGACTCAAAGTATAAATTGATAAGTCATAATGAAGCTGAAATTATGTACTTTTCAACATGGTAAAACACAATTTTTACATTACATTAACAAGCTGAATAATATAAAAAAACAAATGAAGATAGAAGTGTCCAAAAACTACTTTTGAGCACTGTAGTCTACATCACATAGGATTCTATCATACAGATAATGTGCAGCAAGCAATGTGCACAAACTCTACCTAACCTCAAAGTGTGGGGGGCAAAAACTGTTAATTAAAAAGCACTGGGATATGTTCTTCCCTGTTCCTGGTGGAAATTAGGCCCATGTAAAATGTCACCAACTAGTTGGTGCAGCCATACCATGAAAATCCATAAACCATAAATAACATTTTAGTCATGTTACCCTTTCATTTGTTTCCATTGAATGTGACTCTAAAGTGCAGACAAGTGTCGCAGACTCTTTAGATTTGATGTACACCCAGGGGCCAGAACCGTGGTCTTTCACAGAGAGCTTAGGAGGGGGCAAAGCACCTGCCAGAAAGACAGAGCAGTAGGAGAAATAAACACTGAGGGAAAATACTGAAAAGTGTATCTGTGTGGTTTCTCTTTCTCTCACTTACCTGAACAGATAACATGGAGTAATTTATTTTCACAGTCCTTTGGGTTATAAATAGGGCACTCTGCTATCCTGTTCTCTTTCCCACTACATCTTGGTGCTGCCTTGGCATTCATACTGGTAGTTATATGACTGTTCCACCTTAGCACATGGCCACAGTTCGCTTCCCTGCACACTATGTTAGCCAAATCATTTTCATTGTTGGTGTACTTATTTTGGAAACATATGGGTGTCCAATTCTCCTTCACTCTAAGAAGTAGATATCCTGCACAGGACATTTTTTCACGAGTGCTGGAATACAGATGTGCTGGCAGTTCATCTGGAACAACGACAAAACACAAGCACAGGCATGCTCAGATTACATTTACATTTATGCATTATGCTGTAAACAATTTAAAGTAATTTACTGGCAGCAGGGTTGCCAGGAAAGTACTGTATATTTCCAGCAAATAACCTATAAATAAATATATTTTACTGTACATTGCTTTACAATTATTTACTGCAATATTTACAATACTTTAGTGGCAACTCTGGCCAATTATTGTAAATAGTACTCTTTGGTATGTAATTGTGGACCAATGCACCACACAAAATGCCCCATCTTTTACAGGATGATCCTGTAAAATAACACAGTAGTCTTTTGCTATAAAAATTAACACTGTAAATCTACAGCAGTTTTTTTAAAGTGTTGATACATATGTTAGATACAAGTAGTCTAGTGCTTGCCAACTGTCTATACCAGGGGTCTGCAACATGTGGCTCTGTGGCTCCACAGCAGAATTAGATTTTCAGGTAAAAATAAAATAATCCTCTTTTGCAGTAAAATATAGCTTGGCTGATTGTTCTAACACACTTTTAACAATAAACTGTCTTATAACGCTTATTTACTCTTTAACCCTGAAGGTTGGCATACAGACTGCTAGTTACATAGCAACGCAGACAATAATCTCGCCTAGCTAGCAGCTAACAAAAGGGCAAAGAGAAAGATTTATGATGAACATTGAGAATTTGGAGACAAATGGACTTATTTGCGTTGAGAAACTGTCAAACACTAAAAAGTCACAAGGCTGAAGTCAGTTTCTCATTTGCCAGCTTTCCCATTCCACGGTAAATGGTGCAGCAGTTACATTCTGGCACCTCAGGCACTATTTAAGGTGGAACGGGAAAATTCGAACAAGAACCTGGCGAATAAGAAGCTGCTTTCAGCCTCATAAAAAGTTAAAATACATTTTGCAAGAAACTATTCTACTTTTGCAGAAAAGTTTCCTGCTGGAGATGTGAGAAAATTGGCTACAGCTAAGCTAAAGCTTAAAGCAGAGCAAAGTAGGTCTGAATTTTTTTGTATTATGTTTTTTAACCTACTCTAGAACATTAGCACATACTGAGACACATTTACAGCCAAGATGGTAAAATGCACATTAAATGTTGTGACTCCCAAGGTGATTTGATTTTTGTTGAAAGGACAAAATGGCTCTTCTTAACATTTGAGTAGCCAACCCCTGGCCTATACTGAAATTGGTATTGCAAAAAGGTATTCATTCAGCATTTTATTTCATACTGAATATGAGTACATAATGAGTATCATACTCTAATGAGCAAGCTACTTACTTACAGGAAGTTGTCAGTTTTTACTGTAAATTAGTGCAATGTACCTTAACAGTTAAATCATTACAGTCTAGCTGATTTTGAATGCAGTGCATTAGCTAGCTATGTTACGCTAGTTACCTTGAATTAAGTAGCACTGCAACGGAGAAGAGTTGGTTTTGTTCCACATCAGAAAAGCATTTCCGTTCGGCTGTAAGTAAAGTAAGTTTTATAGTTTTGCAGCTTTCTCCTTCAACAACAGTCTCTGTAGACTAGCGACAGCAGGAATCACAGCTGAAGCTAAAAGATCCTAAGAGATTTTAACAAGTTTTTGTTGGACACTTTTGATTGGCTTATTAAGCTGGAGGTGAATGTCCTCTAAAACCAGACATACTCTGTGGGATTTCAGAAATCTTGTTCTTTGGTGACTCACTGTACATTTGACAAAATCTCTCAGTCCTACTGACGTGCTACGTGAAATGCAGCCCCTACAGACAGTCTGGGCAATTTCAAATAAAACAGCACACTCTGCAGTTATCAGTATCATTATCAATGCATCCCAAATGAAAACACAATAAATAAAGAAATAAAAATAAAGTTTAATTTAAGGAAATTAAGTTTCCTTACATGTGTAAAGTTCCCTTTGGTGTAACTCAAAGGCAAGCAGAACAACAAAACCAGAACTGTCCAATCCAAATAAAACATGACAGGTTTGTAAGGAGCATGCAGTGGTAGTAATCAGTACTCAGTACTTGCTAATGCTCATTTGATACTGCTAGAATATATAAACAAATATATAATAATATATAAACAAATTTGGCCAGCACAAAGACAGACTGATTTTCTTTAAACCTTCAACTTTCTCTGAATTTACCTGGGATGGCTTCCATAGGACTGGAAGTGGACTGAAAGACCCTTCCTTTGTAGAACACTTCCATTTTGCAGGCGAATTCAACTGATTTAACAACTTTTGTTCGATTGATTGTTACTCCCCATTCTCCTGGTAGTAGAAGTCTTGATCCTATGAAGGTGAAATTCTCGTTGCCTGGACTGAGGGGAAGCTGACGCTCATACAAGCTCAGAGTGATGTTCCTGATTTCATTGACAGGAGTCTCACACTGTGCAATATAACTCCCACCCACAGGAAAGATGGGAGAAGGAAGGAGAAACATGAGGGGTTTGGGGACAGAATCTGCATGGAGGAGAAGAACGAGATGCGGTTTTAATGTTTTGGTACTTTAGCACTTTTTGGTAATTTTAGCACTTTTTACACACACACACACACACACACACACACACACAGAGACACACAGTGTCATACAGTGCCAGAATGTGAGGTCACACAACCTCAAATCACTTCATTAGTAACACCTGCACTTTTGCTTAATCATGCAGTTGTTCAATGAACCAATCATGTGGCAGGAGTGCAGTACATAAAACCATGCAGACATGGGTCGGGAGCTTCAGTTCATGTTCAAATCAAACATCAGAATGCAGGAATGTGATCTAGGTGATCATGGAAAGGTTTTTGGTGCCAGATGGTGTGGTTTGAGTATTTCAGATAAGGCAGATCTCCTGGGATTTTTTACACACGATAGTCCCCAAAGTTTACACAGAATAGTGCAAAAGACATCCAGTCAGCCAGCAGATCTATGGGCAGAAACACCTTGTTAATTAGAGTGGGACTGCAATGACTAAATCGACAACGTTGATTATAAAAATGTGTCGACTTACAATTTCTGTGTCGACCTGTCATTGATTTCTAACTGCAACGCACTACAGGAAGTGCAGGGGGTGGTATCGCTTCCAATGTCTGAGACGACTGCATTCTGTACTAATTAAAAGCATATTGAATGATGGCGCAGCGGAGACAGTGTGAAGAAAGTGAGGCACAAATAGCGAGACTGAACTTTCAAAATTATGGAAGCATTTCAGCGAAAATAAACCAATAGAGTTGCTGTGGCAGGGATCAGACCAGCTATTCGTACTAGAAAACCTACCAACCAATATATGTACATTAACGTTTTGCAAAGAAGAGCATGTGCAGTTTCCTCCACAATAATGTAAAGGCTGCTTTCAAATTATAGGAAATGTTGGTTGCAGTTATTGCTGCTTAGGGTCATAAAATAAGTTATTAATTTAAAGAAGCCTCTTTAAAAAGACGAAATAATAATAGATTTGTTGTCTAATGTCAAATTTAAACACATACACTATGGCAAATGTGCAGTAATAAAGTAAATAATATATATATCACAATAATGCACAGCCTCAAGTAGCTTATAGACCACTGTAGTCGTGCATCATTCTGTAGTCCTCGTTATGCCCATATTAGGAACTCCAGGTTTAAGCTCCATTTCTCTATGGCCAGAATGAATAGGGTTTTCAAAAAATTGCCTCTATTGCACCCTGTGTTAAATAAAAATGTTCAGAACCTGATACGTTTTGTTCTGTGAACATTTCTCTGCCGAATACCACTGGATCCTCCGAATTATGAAATGGAGCTTAGACCTGGAGTTCCTAATATGGGCATAAGAACATGGCGCCGACTACAAAATGACGACATGACTACAGTGGTCTATTGCTTCTATAAATGGTGGCCAACATGACATATGACACAATACACATTTTTTCAGAAAATAATTTATTATTATTAATAATCTAGTCTAAAATAATCTAATCTAATCTAAAATAAACCAGTATTCCACCAGGAAATGTAGTTCCTTTAGAGTATGGTATTATTGCCAAACAACCATGGATCGCTGAATGAGGAGAACGTTCGGACGCCCAATTATCATCACAAGTCTTATTTAGCACCAATCTAATGCCGCCCCTCTTCTCATGCTGGGGCAGAATCTCAAATGGCTCCCTGCTCCCTACATTGTACACTATGTAGGAATTTAAATACTGGATCCTGTACCCCAATGGCTAAGAAAATAGTCAGTTGGGACTTAGCCACATCCATACTTGATAATTGATGAGCTATTTGGCTGTATAGACTAGAATTAATCCCGTTTGGGATTCAGCCTGGATTTGACACTACTTCTGACTGAAACATGAACATTGGAAGCGTGTAATCCATTCAAGTGACAATTTTTAGACTTTTATGCTGCCGTTTTACAGTTAATCATACTGTAAGTACTTAAATTCAGTTATTTAGGCTGTTGGCTATCTTTTAGCCTTTAGCTATCTGACCAGTTCTGACTACCTGACTAGTTCTAGTTAAGAACATAAGCTGTCAGCTGTCACATATATATATATATATATATATATATATATATATATATATATATATATAATATTGTTAACACATTGTCACTGTCCAAAGAAATGCAGGTTTTTGGTTTTTTATATTTTTACTCTTCTACATCATTTGAGCAAGGCAGCTGTCCTTTAGATTGTGTGAAAAATTCATAATGAATGGATCGGGAATGTTTAAAAGCTGCTTGAAAGAAAATCTCTTTACATTAACTTACACTGAAGGTAAAGAATGATTGTGTCCTCTCCTGTAAAGACACTATTTTGGAGATTTTTGTTTTGATTTTCTTTGGACAGCAACAATATACAGTCAAATACATAGTCAAAACACTATTGTTATTCTAAAAAGACACAATACAAGCACACACACACACACACACACACACACACACACACACAAACACACACTTTACATCACTTACTTATGAATAGGTCAACAGAGCTGCTGAGTCCAGAGTTTTCTTTTGTTTTAGTAGATTTGTACCAGCACACATATGCTCCTTCCATTCCAGGCTTCATGATGATGGGAAAAGGGATAGTGCCTGCTCTCTGAAGTTTCGGCCAGGGCTCTGGGTTTTCAGCAGGATCATCAGCGCGAGATACAAACACTGCTACAGGGAAGGGAGCTTTATCTGGGATTGCACAGAGAAGCTTCACAGTGGAAAACATCTCAATGTCACTTGCATTCGCTGAAGGATGTAATGACAGAGAAGGGAGTGGGAGAGACCCTGGAGGGAAGACAGAGAGTCAGTACACCCACTTATCATTAACTCAAACGTTATTCTTTCACACTTTCACGTAATATTGTTTTGAGGGAATTCACACAAAACCTATATATGCCTAAATAACCTATGAATACCTAACATATATAATGGAGGTTTATACATCACTAATATTCAAAACATGGCTAAAAGTACAGACAGAATTCAGTGGCCACTATTCTGTTTTTAGCTTAGGGATGCACTTGAATCTTTTGTCCATTTTTTTTTATACAACCCTATTTCCAAAAAGGTTGCGACACTGTGCAAAATGTAAATGAAAACAAAATGCATTGATGTGCAAATCATTTACACCCTATATTTAATTGAAAATACTACAAAGACAACATATCAAATGCAAAAACTGAGAAATTTTATTGTTTCTTGAAAAATATATGCCCATTTTGCATTTGATGGCAGCAACATGTTCCAAAAAAGTTGGGACTGGGGCATGTTTACCACTGTGCTGCATCATCTCTTCTTTTAAAAGCACTCTGTAAGTGTTTGGGAACTGAGGAGACCAGTTGCTGTAGCTTTGAAAGTGAAATGTTTTTCCATTCTTACTTGATGTAGGATTTTAGCTGCTCAACAGTTTGGGGTCTCTTTTTGTTGCATTTCTCGTTTCATAAAGTGCCATATGTTTTCAGTGGGTGACTGGCTTTTGAACTGTGTGCTGATAACAAGCCTGGTGGTCTTTACCCCAGAGGATGCAGCATCCATGATTTCCAAAAATAATTTCAAATTTTGATTCAGCAGACCACAGAACACTTTTCCACTTCATCTCAGTCCATCTTACATGAACTCAGGCCCAGAGAAGGTGGCAGCATTTCTGGGTCCTATTTATATATGATTTTTTCTTTGCATTTTAGAGTTTTAACTTGCATTTAAGGATGCAGTGATGAACTGTGTTCACAAACAGTGGTTTTCAGAAGTGTTCCTGAGCCCATGCAATGGATTCCACTACAGAATCATGTAGTGGGAAATCATTTAATGATTTTATGTACTGTAGATGGTAAATTCCCCAATCTCTTTGCTATTTTATGTTGAGAAACATTATTCTTGAATTGTTGCACTATTTGCCCACACAGTCTTTCACAGAGTGGTGAACCCCTCCCCATCTCTACTTCTGAAAGACCAGTCTTTTGTTGTCCCTGTCCCAACCTTTTTAGAACGTGTTGCTGGCATCAAATTCAAAATGGGCATCTATTTTTCAAAAAGCAATACATTTTCTCAGTTTCAACATTTGATATGTTGTCTTTGTCCTATTTTCAAATAAATATAGGGTTTAAATGATTTGCACATAGTTGCATTTTGTTTTCATTTACATTTTGCACAGCGTCCCAACTTTTTTGGAAATGGGGTTGTAGATAACTAATTCTAAAATGCTGTATTTTAATTTGTAATAATTTTGGCTATAACAAGCTTTTAAAAAGAATAACAGCTGATTTATAATGAAAAACATGTTTTTAAAATGTTTTTATTTTGGTAATCATAATATAGCATTGATGTTTGTTGTACATATAAAGCTCACAAAAAAAAATCTTAACAATTTTGTTTTTGTTATTTAATATACTGTGAGTGCAGATATCCACTTTAAATTTACACACATAATGTACTTATGTGGACATGAGGACACAGACTAGGAGAGTAGTAGGGAGTGGTGAGTTGTTTGTTTTGGCCTACTAGTCTCTTAGTTTGTGCCCTCATGCCCAGATTTGTTGTAGTTGTCAGGAGAATGACAGACAAAAGGAATCACATTTTCTCCCTGCACGCACACACCATGAAATACAAAATCATATAAAAAACAAGAGGGCTTAATAAAAAGCAATGGAAGCAGTATTCTGCCCAAAGAGCTACCAACGCCAGGTCAACTTCCCTTTCAGGTGCATTTTGTAGTTCTACAATTACAGACTGTAGATCTTTCTCTGCATACTTTGTGAAACACTTTTTACTACACTGCAGTGACACTGACATGGTGTTGGTGTGTTAGTGTGTGTTGCGCTGATATGAGAGAATCAGACACAGCAGCGCTGTTGGAGTTTTGTAAACACCTCGGTGTCACTGCTGGACTGAGAATAGTTTACCAACCAAAAATATCCAGCCAACAGCGTCCTGTGGGCAGCGAACTGTGACCACTGATGAAGGACTAGAGGATGACCAACACAAATTGTGCAGCAACAGATGAGCTACTGTTGAGCTACTATCAATCAACACATCAAAAGATGGGCCACAGTTGACAATTGTAACCCTACCAAAATGAGTATTTTGTCAATTTTACAACAAAAAAGACAACTATTGACAGGTGACATATCAAAAGTATAGTTTCTGCTAACATCTAACAAATTAATTTAGCTTTATAAACTTTTTTTTTTTTTATTTTAAAAGGTGTTCTTGGATAAGAAAAAGGTTTCTGTGCTCAGGATTTGGCATACATTTTATATTTCAAGATCCCTTTTGGTGAATCTGTCATTCTATACACGCAGGTCAAAACTGACACAGAACAGAACCTATGAGCAAAAAATTGTGCCTTTACAAAGATTTGTGTTTTTTTTTTTTTAATTTTTGTCAAGTTTAGGAGAGATCAATAAATGAATATAACACACAGATAAGGATTTGCTATGAATATTTTTCATGACATCAGACTTACCCTGCGACGCTACGTGCACCCAGTTCACAACCATGCAGAACACAACAGCTAAAAATGAAAGAATAATTCCAGTCACACAGAGTAAACTTCTTTTAGACATGTCCAACACTACGCATACAAACACCTGCACAAACCGCATACAGTCTAATTGTACAGCTTTTATTTCCTCACTGTTTCATAAAGGCAACATCACACATCATCGAAATTATCTAGCTGTACTTATGTATTTATGATAGAATATGATTATATACATATTGCTTTTGTCAGAACAAAACCTCGTACCTCCAAAATGGTAACTTTACAGGAGAAAGATAAAACCTACTTTACTTTTAATGTAAGGCAATGGAACCAGACTTTTTTCCAAGTCATTTTTGGCCATTTATTTTGGTCCGTTGATCATGGAATTTACACACAATGTAAAGAACAACATTTTCAAAATATGCCAAAAACTGAAAAACGTCAAAAATGGAGATTTTCTTCTGACAACAGCGATATGATACTCTGAGTAGCAAGAAATAGTCCAGCAGACACTTGGACACTTACCGGCTGTGCTGTAGAGAGGCATTTTGTCCTGTGAGGTGGCTGAAAATGAGAGACAAGTACAAATGTGTTAAGCACAGATTGGTAAAGAACAGAAATTTCTCTGTGGTGAAAGGGTGTTACACAACACACTGGGCACTCACTTCTTTTCTCAGCATAGGAAGCAAACAGACACTTTTGGCATGTCCACTTTTCTATATAGAGCAGATTTAGAATGAGAAACAGATCACTTAAAAAAAAAAAACACATCGGCAAGATGGTCATAGCTCTGACATTTTGGCTTTGTGTAGTTGCTGAATTCTGTGTGGAAAGGTTTATGTGTCAGAACTTGTATTTTTTGTGATAAACTATGATCTATCTATCTATTCAGAATTTGTGAAAGGTTAAGGATGATGCTTCTTTGTCATTTTTAATGATCAAGCGTCACCCTTTCCTTCATTTGATCACTGGTACTAGTTTCTTCTTACCTTTGCTTAGAGCACCATTGCTTGTTTCCTTCAGGCTTTTACAATGAGACTGTACAAGCAACAAAAAAGGATCCATTGCTTCAGCTTTATACCATACTGTCACTGAGTTAGAATTCTCCCCACACCGTCAGAAAAAGGACACTAGGGTACTGTACAGTTACATTTTTATTCATTGAGGTAAAAACAATGTAAATGTACCCTCAACTGTGCAACAATAGGCTTAAATATGTTTTAGAGGTACATTACATTAATTTTCCCATCAAAAAGGGGCATAACATTTTAACACAGACAAGTAAAATAAAAAGCCTAGAGTAAGGACAGTGTATAAAGTCTATGTAGCTTAAAAAATTATAAACTATGTTATAAATATAAACTCTATATTATACATATAGTACCATTATGTTCCCTGACTAAAGGCACTGTAGATGTACCCCTGAGGATACCACTCCAGTGACTTAAGGGGTACCACCCTTGTGACAGTTTAGTGCCCTTTTTTCTGAGAGTGCAGTCCTAAGTAAAAAATAAAAAAATAAAATAATAAAAAGTCAAATTTAAATTAATGCATAATATATTTTCTAATACTCATTCAACTGTTGTTCCCAAAAGTATCTCTTCTTCTTAGTTCCTGTTAGTTCAGACTAGTTTTAAGTAAGCTAGTCTGGCAGTAAAGAAGCAAAACTTCAAAAGGTTAACTTTCATTTTCAGTCTGACCAGTGGAAAAACTTTGCTGTCTTTTCAGAGTTCAGTGTTTGTCAGTTTACTTTTTCTTTTTTTTAATTTCTTACTCATTTGTGAAACTGGGTTCTTCGTGTTCATCATGGGACTTATAATAATTTTGAGCCTTTTGTTGAGGGTTTCTTTCTTTCTTTTTCTGACAGAATATTTGATCAAAATCACCTTCTCATAATGTTTAAGAGCACTTCCCTTTTTCATATATCAAACAGATCTTGAGTGAGAGCAAGTTCAGTGTTTTATGTTTCAGGCGTCGATTCTTTTTCAGCATTGTTCATTGAACATTATCTTTTCTTTTTTTGAGGTTGGGGGAAGTTCAGTAGCGGCTAGCATAGGCTACTAAAAACCTCATACTTAGGAAATACACTTATTTACAGAAAGACATAGATGTGAACATATTTCTGTAAGAAAATGCTTAAGTATGAGTTACAGGCTATTAATTGTACAAATACACAAAAGTACTTAGTACAGTGTTACATTTTAGGTGGTCTGTTGAATGACTAAGGTTGTCATTTTCACCTGTTGGGTCTGCGCTCAGTGTTTATTTTATAGCGTTTATAACCACACCAATAAATTCAGATCCAGAAACAGGCTTGGCAAATAAAAGTATTTACTGTGGGTAAATATTAGTGTTCTATACACACAGAAAACTGGAAGTTACTGAAAAAAGAACAAAGCCTGAAAAACCTCTATGCTGCAGTAAACATAGTAGATGTAATCTGTTACTTTCCACTACTGGGCAAATTGCATTGTTTCTGTAATATGCTTTGAGTTCCCGATTTACTTTGTTGCATAACAGGCCACTTCCCCAGGCCTCCACGCATCTCCTTTAACTATCTTGTTTGTGTGTTTGTCCACAGTGATCCTGTTCCTTATGAGTCGCCCTCACTGAACTTAAGAAGGCGTTGTGTAAGTCTGCGAGAGCAGATTACTGTTCTAACAAAGCAGTGTCGTGTTTGTCCCCACAACTCTTTAGACACGGTCTGAAGTGTCAGCCCAGGTCAGAGGATTTAAGCCTAGGTATGTGGAAACACCCACTAATATCTCTGCTTAACAGTGTGGAGAGAATCCTGCTGCTGTCTGTAGTTTGGTAGAAAGATTTTGATCTTTGCTGAGCCATAAGACTGATAATCATGCTCATTATTGTATGAGCTACATACATAATATATTACATGTATTGTGTCTGTTTTTGCACTATTGCTACTATTTGCACTTCTGGTAGATGCTAACAGCATTTCGTTGCTTTGTACTTGTACTGAGCAATCACAATAAAGTTGAATCTATCTATCTATCTATCTATCTATCTATCTATCTATCTATCTATCTATCTATCTATCTATCTATCTTTTTATCTAATATATAAAATATGTTACAGTATACTTTTTCTAAATTGGAAAACAGCTATTTCTGATTGATTCTGCATATTCCTCTGTAGCTCTGCAGAATGAGTTCCAGATAAATTCCTCACTGTATCCCATTTCTAATAGTGTCATAGTGTATTTTGCTTAATAAAGAAACATTTCAGTTTCTCCAGCATATATACACAAAAATAGATCATGTGCAGTCTTCCATTTGTCCTTTCTTATATAAAGACATTATTAGTTTTTCAACCTGTTTATATGAATTATTTTTGTTGTCTTTTGTTAAGAAAGCTGTTTGTGCATTATGTCATTATGTCAAGTAGGTTATGGTTCTGAGGGCTTAAATTTGAGTTCCTCAAGTGATCCTCACTTGTATCAGCATCAGTCTTATTCAGCACTCAAAAACCCTCTGGGATTAATGGTTTCCAGAAACTGAGAAAAACAAGTCTGTTTTTTTAGTTCATATTTATTTAATAGAGTCATCATGCTTGATGCGTTTAAATCATGTAAGTACTCTAGCAATACTTCTGTTGTTGATTTCATTGCTAAGTTTTGGTTGGAAACAAAAGGGTTAAGATCTTGAAATGCCCAACAGAAAACTCTCCCCCATCAGATTTTTTCTTCATGGTATCTGGGTAGATACCATGCAAAGTGAGCTCTCCCATTGGTTAGGACTTCAGAAGCTGAACTGAAGCCTTTGCAGCTTAGACTAACTCCCAAAAACTGACAGGGAAATTAACCGATCACATTTTGATTTACAACAGATAGGACCAGTTTTTTTTCTCTATGCCTTCTGGAATGTCAATGACTGTGAATGTGAACTGCAGTCTAACCAAGTTTCACTCAGTTCAGAAATGGAGAACATCAACAGAAGATCTATGCAAATATATGTTTATGTCTGTTTCAAGCTTCAAATAAACACACATAATGTCCATATTTTATTTGGAACAGCAAAAAAAGTGTATGTGCTCCATCGTTAGCTTAGTGCACTTACTCATATGGAGGATTAGCATTATGGTAAAGTGAATTGTTCCTGTTTTTTTTCTTATTGAGCCCAAACTGAAGCTTTAATAGCTACAGTTTGCCACTGCAAAAAAATCTCTATAGGTGGAGATAAAAAATGATGCTGGTTTTATAATGATGTGTATGTTCAGAAGTATAAATGAGTATTTAAGTCAGTACTTTCCTAAGAAAAATAATTTGTTGTGTAACTGTGGAATGACTTAATTAATTTAAATTAATGAAACAACTGAAAAGATTGCACATCTTGATTATTTTTTTACCCTAACATTGTTTTTCTTCAACTTTCCTGAAATTTGGATTTATGGCAAATTCATGCTAATTTTAGCATGTACTGCATTAACTGTAATGTCGGTGGTAAACAGATTTCTTGAATGTAAAATTGGCCTTTCATTCTAATGCAGGTGTGTGTGCATTTACACTTTTGGCAGATGCTCTTATCCAGAGTAACCTGGACAGAGTAACAATTTATTCATGTTACAGATGTCGATGAATGTAAGGTTAAAGGTCTTGCCTAAGGACTTTTATTAGTGTAGCATGGTGTAGTTACCCAGACAGGGAATTAAACCCCAGTTGGCTGCATGAAGAGCAGTGGTATTACCCAACCACACACGTGTGCATATGTCCAACTTCAGAAGCTCTTGGAGGGCCACTGTCCAGCAAAGTTTGATGTTTTCTTCAGGACAATCACCAAACTGTGCTGGACATCAGTCATGCACGAGCCTCCAAAGTTAAAAAACACTAAACTGTAATGTTTTCCTGCTCTAATGCAAACTTACGGAAGAAGCTCAGAACATCAACCATACGTTAGTTACACCACACACAGCAAACTCTTTACTTCTGTATACTCCATTGTTGACGTCTCTAGCTCAGCACAAAAGACTCTGAAAGAAATCCCACCAGGGACTTCATTGAGCATTGTCCAGATACTTCCTCCAAACCACACCTTATTTTCTCTTTTCCTTGTTTTTATTTTCTTTTTCTTCCTTCTCTTTTTCTCCTTTCTTCTTCTCTTTTTTCTTCTTTTCTTTGTTCTCTTTGTATTTCCACTTGGGTGGCTCCAGATAACCCTTGTGGATCTTGGTCTTTTTTACTTTCTTGGGTGTGGGCTCTGATGACCTGGTCACTCTGATCTGAGGCACGCATCCTGAAGGGAAGATGCTGTTCCGTCGTGCCGCCATGCTGCGAGGGATAAAGTTCCTGAAACCAGACTGAGCTGTGGACAGCACGCTGCCCCGTCGTTCCGGGTCCGCACAGCAGGCCGTTGGCACACACTCTGCTGAGTGGACTGAGGGGGCCATAGAGCAGATGGAGCCATTACGATGGCAAACTGAAATCTCCTCCAGCTCCTGTCCATGCTTCAACATCAGCTCCGAAACGGTCAGCCGCCGCTTCCCTGCCTCTGGGGGCCTGCTGGGGCAGAGTGGTCGTGTTGCCGTGGCGATAAGTGGGCTGTGCAAGCCAGTGGTCATTCGCACCATGTGGTCCATGACCCCATTGTCTTGTGGGTCCCGTGGAAAGCTAAATACAAACGTGCTTTTCAAACGGTGAGCCACCTTTTGCCGTGTGCTCCTATTGGCTGTTGCCTTGGCGACCCGCACCTTGAGGTCTGGCCACTCGGGCAGGTACGCGAGGCAAAACTGCTCAGCTGTGGGGCGGAGCGCCAAGCGGCGCAGGCGATGCAGAGTGTCAAAACGGCCAGTTTTTAAAGCCCAGTCCCGCGCACATTTGCCACGGTACGAATCTACTGCATTTAGGTCTGCACCTGAGGAAGAAAGAGACACAAAGAGTCTCAAACTGTACAAATGGTCACTGCCATAAGAAAACATCAACTCCATTTTTGTTTTATTCTTTAGACTGTGTAGAAATTGTAGAAAAGGAGCCATATCACAGAAAACTGAATTTTCCGCACATTTTTGAAATAGAATGTTTGTAAACATATTTAGGTTCATAAGGTACCATTCATGCTCCAGTCTATATATGGAAACTGAGCTACAAAAACAGCCTGTTTTACACTGATTGGTTTTATGGTGTCTTGAAAACCAGCACATTTACATACAAGTCATAGGCAAAAGTTTGGACATTCCTGTTTAAATTACATGTTTGTTGATTTTCTAAGTAAATATGTCAACACATCCTATACAGGGAACAAACTTCCGCACTGTTTAATGCACAATTACTGTTCATTTGCTGAATTTAGCATAAAACATATAATATGGCTTGTGCATTTTGAAGTTTGTTCTCTGTAAATGTATTACAGATGTGTTAACTTACTTCTCGTAGAAAATCAACAAAACGTGTCATTTGAACAGAGCGTTGAAACTTTTTCATTTGACAACAAATTTTTCAACTGTTCAAACTTTTACATTCGCATATTCAGCCAAAAGAACACTTTAGCGCAGGGGTGCCCACTCCTGATCCTGGACATCTCCCACCCCGCAGAGTTTAACACCAGCTCTAATCTGACACACCTGATCCAGGTAATGAAGGCCTTCAGGAGTATCTGAATATCAGAGGCAGGTGTGTTGGATCTGAACTCTCCAGGGTGGTAGATTTTCAGGACCAGGACTAAGCACCTCTGCTTTAGCCCCACCCATTCATATTGAAGTTATAAGGAGAGTTTCAATCTGGACTGATTTTTGAATGATGCATGACACAGGACAGCCTATCAGAACAGTCTCAGTCAAAGTAACAAAAACAAACAAAAAAAGTAAACTTTTCATGATCATTATGACATCTTTCGTGCACAAAACAACACAGAAGTCATAAGTGGAATTAAAAAAAATTTGGGAAAAATTAAATAATTCAACAAGAAAAATGTGGTATATGGGCCCTTTAATGAGATTTAAGCTACACCCAAAACAAGCGATTAACAGTTGTTAAAAATAATTATTTTATTTGTGCCTTTTGTAAAGGATAATTGGAAATAATGAATGTAAGAGGAAAGATGATTATGAGAAAAGAAGCTGTCCTGAAAGAGGTGAAGTCCATAAATAACTCAATATTATCTCAAAGCTAATCCAGCACCACCTGATCGCCCTGTCCAACACTTACTTACACAGGACAGTTAATTCTTTAATCTAGTGACTGTCTTCCCCTGAGGTAAACTGTTCTGAGGTTAGCTAAGGCTTTACTGATTGGAGCATGCAGGATCACTTGGTGTTTGTCTATGCTATGTTTGTATATGTATGTCTGATGCCTCTGTATTGTTTTTAGCAAAATATATATGTATGTGTGTATGTATGTATGTATATATATATATATATATATATATATATATATATATATTCAATGTATTTATGTACATTTGTATTAGAATCTACTAACCATGCATGATTAGTGCTGCCACTACATCACTCCTGCCCTGCATTGCAGCTTTGATGAGGGCAGTGTATCCTCTGCTGTCTCGAATCTCTGTGTCCACTCCAGGGAAGTAGTTCAGGAAGTAGTTACATATGGAGACATGACCTGTGCACAGAATAACAGGACAGCGGTGGTTCAGATGAATGGTTTGTTAAATTATTTTTGTTAAGGGATTTATGTAAGTAAGAGGTGTCTGTTCTCAAAGCAGTTATTTGGTTATACATAACAATAATAACTTATGGTATTTAGTGTACTAAAATAACTATTAAGTGTATTCTGGTTAACCACCCTACATAACACTGATGTAACAATTCCATAAACATATCTTGGTGGATCTCATATGCTGTCATGAGTTGTCATGACAGATTTTGTTCAGTAATATAATAGTGTCTTGTTACTATCATCAGTTATTGATATGGCAATGCCATAGTGTCGATGTCATGAGAGCTAATGTCACATGATCATTTTTGCTAAGCATATTCTAGTAGGCCATCGTCACATTAGACTGCACATCATCTGTTGTGATAATTACAGTAATGTTAATATGACAGCATATGACATCTGCCATGGCATCTTTACAGAATGGTTATGTCAGTGTTATGTAGCAGAATTCAGTGTTAATTTAGACCAATGCAAATTTATAGAATACGCAGAACTGGCAGTAATTTGCTGAAGTCCAGTGCGAAGCTCGCCAACAGCCATAGTGCCTGTACAGTGTTTGCTTTCTGTGTGACTAACCTGCTTGTGCAGCGATCATAAGGGCGGTGTTCCCATCATTGTCCTGATGGTTAATATCCAGGTGATGACAGCCATGCAGTCCATAGACAATCTGCAGGTAGCCTTTATAAGAGGCGACCATCAATCCATTCTGATGATGAAAAAAATGATGCATTAGTGCAACCGAGATAAAATGACACGGCCAGTAAGTGGTTAAATACAGATGTTTTGCATTTAAGCACTATAAGTAAACATGAACAACAGTTTGAACAGTTTTGTCTTTGAGATTGCTGGATTCAAACACAGTGTCAGGGAGGGTCTCTGAACTATTTGTGTGGTTTTGCTTGATGTCAGGTGGGGTTGGTGGGAGTGGGAGGTGAAACATGATATTACATTTCCCTGCTCGCTGGTGTATGGTAACGTAATCTCTTAAGACATTTTAAAGGTGGACAAAAGTCAGTACCCTTTGATCAAAGATTATGGAAAAACAAGAACTGTCTTGTAAATTGTATGGTGTGATGAATTGTCCTTAGTATGACCAGAGATATTAACTAACAAGGTTAAAAAAAAGCTCAATTTTGACTTTAAAGTTAAGGCTGGGGCATATTTAGGGGCCTTTATTTGTATGGAACTCAATAAAATATGAGCGTTTTCCTTCCTACTATCTATTCCTTCAGATTTCTTATGCAATTCAGTTGAAAATATAAGATATACTGTTGCCTTGATGGACTACTGTGGTTTTCATTCCACTGTTTAACATTTTGCACAGACCCACTTTACAAAGACTACAAATCGTGTAAATCTGTTATACTCTGACTTTTGGTAACACTTTACTTTGAGTGGTCCTTTGAAGGCAATTAATAAACTCTTAACAGAGTATCGGGCACACGTCAACAAGATACCAGTGGAGTAGCATTAGTTAAGCATTTGAATACATTGACGTAAATATCTTGTAGATGATTTAGTAGATGTATTGTTAATATGTTACATGATGTTGACTTCACGTGTTACTTCAATTAAGCAAAATCTAACCTTACCCAAGCTTACCCAAAACCTAACCATGACCCTAATCCTAACCCTAACCTTAACCTTAAGATAAAATCTAATCCCTAACCTTCATCCTGGCCCAAATCTTAATTGTAATCTCAAACCAAAACCTAATCCTAACCTTCACTCTGGCCCTAACCCTATCCGTAACTTCAACCAAAACCTAATCCAGTTAAGCTCCAGTTACAGAATGATGTCAGTAGCATTTCTATAACAGCTCGTTGAGGATGTTGAGATGGTCTATATTATACCTGTTACATGCTCAGTGACCTCTCAGGTTAACATCTACACACTCCAAACAAAGTGAAAAACAAATGAATTCAGCAATTATGAACAAATTTTATTTATGTAGTTAATTAAAATCTCTTGATAATCTACTGAATGAATTCACTGCTGCTACATCAGTGATATGTTCTTGATGTCTTACTGAGAGCGTTGAGTGTATATTTTATCTAAAATGGAAAGCATCAAAGTGTCACCTGGCTTTTTTTCAGACTGCTCTTCCATTGTAGTGGTTCTTAAACACTGACACTGATCTCTACTCAGTAATTAACACCTCATTAAGACGTTGATGGTTCATTGATTACACTCTGTGAACAACCTCGTTATCCACATGCTATTATGAATGTCAACAATTCAATAAAACAGTGACAGCTGTGATATGTGGATGAGCTTTAATGTTAACACCTGCAGTTCAGCAAGCAAACAATCTTGTTTATTTTTTGGTTTGGCGTGGTCCTAAGCCAGGAAGTGACCGGTAAAGGCAATTTTTAGGTGATGCTTTAAAGCCCTCATGTGTGCTCTCTTACCCAGCCATTTATGTCAACCTCCATGACCTCATCACGAGTCACTCCTCGCTCTAGGATTCTCCTCAGTGCCGGGGCGTTGTTCTGAGAGCAAGCTTCATAAAGCGTGTTGGCGATTTGGGTGCTGTCCTCCTCTCTCTCATAATCAGGGAGCACAGAATCATCTGACAGGAGACTTCCACAGTCTGAGTCACTGTGAAACTCACAGATCTCATCGTCCTCATCTGGGCCTGATCCCAAATATGGGTCATCAGGGTCCCGTACGGCTGCCATGACCCCAGAGTCTAAAGTAGTGAGAAAATCCTGCCTACATCAAAGCCAGGTTCTGGGAGGCCCAAGACCTAGTTAGATAAGAAAAATGATGCTTAGCATGCTTGTCAATTCAAAAATCAATGGCTGATGTAAGTCTTTACTGATAAACATCAAATGTAATTTTTAAAATGTAAACAGTAAATATAGAAGGGGTCCATTGGTGGTCCTCACTCTTGCAACTGCATATTTCACATATTAGTTTCACAGTAGTTACTGATTTATGATTTCAAATATTTTGGTAAATGATAATAAAGTATTCTAACTTATCATATAGTAAATTAATACAAATATAAAGTAGTTACTAGGATAAAAAGTCTTTAGGTTAATAACTGCATAGTAAGCCTAAAATTTAAGGACTTAAGCAAAAAATGAAATGAAAGAAGCTCTCAGACCAATATCAACAGTGATTTCTACTACTGATTTCAGCACTGACTATGACTGCACTGAAGGCTATATTTCCCAAATAAGATAAATGGTTCTGGTTGAATTTTATTGTTTGGTTCCGCCACTGAAAATGGTTATTTCCAAATAAGGAATAATCCAAAGGAATTAATAATATATCTGGGTTTCTCAAAGCAACACACTAGTCATTCTACCAATATAATGCTACAATAGACCCATTAAAATGAGCTTTTTTGTTGTTTATACCAGAGACCTCAGACACATTCTTGACATATATAAAGAAAGGCAGAAGATCTAGATTAAACTGCATTCAGATGAATATAAAGTGCAATACCCATGTTTCAAATCACTCACCTTCTCCTTTTCTAGAGCACGACCACTGATCTATCATGACTAGGTTGATATAAATTTTCACGCAGGCTTATCTTTGGTACAGTTGAGGGCTTCTACCACAATAACCCAGCTAGCAGTTTTAGACTGGCAGGAGCTTCAGGAATAGGACGATGCGCCTTAGCCTAATAGCTTGTGCTTTAATTGTCTGTGCTAAATCTAGCCTGCTAAGGCTAAGAATACACATGCACATGTTCAAGCAAACTATGTTTATGTGTTATGCAGTGAGCGCCAATCTAAGATTGGCCTGTCGTCACAGTCCAAAAACAACCTCCAAAATGGTTGCTTTACAGGAGAGGACAAAAATGTTCCTGACTTTTAATGTATGTTAATGTAAAGAGATTTTATTTCAAGCAATTTTGGAGCAATGCTATTTGTTCACTCATCATGAAATTTTCACACAATGTAAATGACAGCTGCTGTGCTTCAATTATGTGAATATATATACATATATATATATATATATATATATATATATATTTAGAGGTTGGATGGAGGTTTTTTGGACAGCAACTATATTTAAAACTTATCAAAACATGTCATTTTGTCTCAAAATTATGAAACAAGATTGAAAATAGTAATATATATACATATATGTACTGATTTTGATCCCTGGTCCCTGGTCTGTGTACACAACTGAACAAAATCTGACTGAATTACTTTTTTCTCCTTTGTTTACCACTTTAACCTTTCTTGCTTGGAGCACTTAGCAGTTATTTCAGCATCAATTAAGTAATGTAGTGAAGTAACTTCAGTGGCAAATGCGTAAAGAATCAGTAAGACTCACCTTAGTCCATATTGGCCTAGGAAAGGGAAGTCCACTTCAAGAGTTTTTATATGATTACACAGCAGGAAATTCCCTTGACACTGTGAGTGATCCGCTCACTTACTCTCAACAGTCACCTCCTAGTCTGCCTCCTGCCTCCACCTTGGTGTGTGAGTGTGTTTACGTGTGTGTGTTAACATGCATATGTAACAGCCCATACCACCTCCAGCCATCAGACTGCCTTCAACTTCCAACCTCAGAAGTGACCCAACGTCAACACGTGAAATCCAAGTGCCTTCATGTAAACACCCCCATGACACACACACGCCTTAACTCCTGCTCTCTCACTTATCCTTATTAGCAGGATTATGTGTTAAGTGAAGGCAGGCAGGTTTAACTTCAGAGCGTGGGCTTAACTCCAATCACATTGACCATAACATGTACAACCTGCTGCTTCTGCTACTTTAAGCACATCACACTGATAATTGCACTGAATCTACTGGATATAATTGAGTACATCATTTCCATTTTAATAAAATATACTACATCAACATGATTATTGCCAAATGTAAAGAGACTTAGACAAAAATGTGTTGGTTTTATACAAACCTTAATTCCACAAATATTGTAAAATGTGCACATTTGATGTTCAATCTTTACTGTCCACCAATTAACTTTACCACTGTGTACCACTCAATAATTGTTTGGGGACTGAAACTAATCCAATTTTTAAAGTAGATGTTTTGCCATTTTTCTATTATACAATTCTTTAGATGTGCATCCGCACTATGGCTTTATTTTCATATATTGCGCTTCATGATGCCACACACATTTTCTGTGAGAGTAAGGTCTGGACTACAGACAGGACAGTCTAGTGCCTGCACTCTCTGATTATGCAGCCATGCTGTTGTAATATGTACAGAATGCAGCTTGGTGTTGTCATGTTGAAATAAGTATGAATGTGCCTGAAAAAGACATTGTCTAGAAGGCAGTATATATTGTTCCAAAATGTGTATATATCTTTCAGTGTTAAGGGAGCCTTCAGAGTCTTCAGATGTGGATATTACCTATGCTATGGGTACTAAAACGCCCTCATACCATGATAGACCCTGGCTTTTGAACTATGCACAGGTAACAGTCTGGATGGTCCTTTCCTTCATTGGCCTGGAGAACACTAAGCCCATTATTTCCATGAACGATCTGAAAGGTTGTCTTGTCAGACCACAAAACGTTTCCAATGTGCATCGATCCATTTTACATAAGCTCGAGCCCAGAGAAGTCGGCGGTGTTTCAGTACACTGTTGACATATGGATTCTGCTGTGCTTCATACAGGCTAAAATTGTTTGTCAAAGTGTACCTGAACCAATGAGGTGATATCCTTCACAGGAGTATGGTTTTATGGTTAGTGCTGTCTGAGGTGTTGAAGGTCATAGGCATTCAGTGTTGGCCCTTTACACAGAGATTTCTCTCAATTCCCTGAATCTTTTGATGATATTTTGCACGGTAGAGGGTCAAATACCTAACATCCTTGCAATTGCTCATTGAGGAGCATTGTTCTTGGGCTGCGGGATTATTGACTGACACACTTTTTGGCAATTTGACCAATAATATATTTACAAAAAACAATTAATTTGATAAGGTAAAGGTAATCTTCATGATGGCCCCAGGGAGTTATTTCTAGTCTTATATGAACAGACTCTTTTTGTACTTGAATGTGGAGAGACCTATAAACAAAAAAAACTGAGAGTCAATCTAAAATGTCAGAAATATATTTGAAATCACTGTTACAGTCTGGCAAATATTGCAATAATTTGTGGTCTTTGGCTCAAACAACACAAAAATGTCACATGATTAAGTTAAGGACTGCATCAACCCAGCAAAGCTCCACTTCCATCAAGTCACTCACAAAACAAAGTATCTCAAATTAGTATCTCCAAGTTTTCCAGTTCACATCTGTACTGTTACAATGGAAGCTGCATCAAATCACAGAGGCACTGTCTACACAAGGCTGTCCCTCAAAACTCAGCATCAGAGCAAGAATGGGATTTGTGAGTGAAGCCACAGAGAGGTCAGTCACTCTGAAAGAGTCACAGAGTTCAGTGGCTGAGACTGGAGTGGTGGTGCACTAGTCAACACTTTCAATAGCTCGGCATACAACTGGTCTGCATGGGAGAGTGACTAGAAAGGAGCCATTACTTTAAAAGAAAACACAAAGGCATGTGTGAGTTTGCCAGAAACCATCAGAGTGGCCCAGGTAAAATAAAGGATAAGGCTTTGTGGTCAGAGGGGACAAAATGGAGCTTTACGGCCAAAATGCTAAATGCTTTGTATGAATGGATGGTGCAAAATGGCTGAAACTCTCTCCCAAACAGTGTGCAAAGCAGGTAGAAACTCACCTCAACAGACTTGAAGCTGTTATTACAGCAAAAGATGGTTCTGCCAAGTTCTAGTCTAGGGGTTGAATACTTATGCAAGCAGCATTTTCAGTTTTTTTGAAGATCTACTGACAAATAATGAATTTTAACTTTGTACTTTAATATGTACTTTAAGACATTGGTTTTCAATAAAATTACTGTCTGGAACAATCTCAGCAAGTGTGATTTGTTATCCAGACGAAACTGATATCTTTTAAGGGGGTTGAATATTTTTTCAAGTCACTGTATATATAAAAGCATGTATATATAAAAGCTTTATATGTAAAGCAGCCTTTTAAAACATAGTGGAACAAAAATGACTGTTAGAAGGATATTAATTATTGCACAGCTTTGTGGCTAAATAGGCTACACAACTTAATGTCAATAATTATATGTACAATGTAGACAAATTTTGATTTTGGATGTAACAATACAGAGAGAATCATTTATTGTTACTTCTTTCAGGAATTACACAATTATTTTAAGGAAGCTTAACTTCCTTAAAAGATTATTTAGTTACCTAAATCATAAAATGCTCTATATTGTTTGTATGCTAGTCAATTAGTTTTTTTATTTCTTATATTAAAATTGTACTTCCTTCTCAGTCTCACTTTCTAAATTTTATCTAGGAGGCTGTAGTCTCTTAATATTCACATTTAAAGCAACATGAATGACAATATGAGGCAGCACGGTGGTGACGTGGGTAGCGCTGTCGCCTCACAGCAAGAATGGCCTGGGTTCGATTCCCGGCTGGGTGACCAGGGTCATTTCTGTGTGGAGTTTGCCTGTTACTCCGGTTTCCTCCCACAGTCCAAAAACATGCAGTCAGGCTGATTGGACATGCTAAATTGCCCCTAGGTGTGAGTGAGTGTGTGACTGTGTATGTCTGTCTGCCCTGTGATGGACTGGTGACCTGTCCAGGGTGTATCCTGCCTTCTGCCCAATGACAGCTGGGATAGGCTCCAGCACCCCACCGCAACCCAGAAGGATAAGCGGTGTAGATGATGTATGTATGAATCACCACCTGAAACTTGATGATAGGTGGGGAGCTGGGAGGGGGAGATGAAATGTGATATTATTAGTTACTATTGTTTCCCCCAGCCTACTGGTTCACAGTAACATAATCAAAAATCAGAAGATGTTTTAGAGGCATGTAAAAGCCATTATATTTTGATAGAAGATTACACTGTGAGAAATGGAACAAGCTGAACAGAAAAATACAGTTTTTTTCTTTTAAAGGGTAAAATATGATGAATTGTGCTTAAAATGACCAGAGACATGAACTAACAAGATAACAAGGTAACTTTAAGCATAGAACAATATAATATAAAATAAAATAAAAATCTCTGCTACTATAGTTAATTGATACTTGATGATGCAATTTGCAAATGTTCTGATGAAACTGAAAGATAAAATGGCATTTGGATGATCATTAAAGCGTGTATGTGATGTGAGAAACAATAGTAAAGAAAGAGGGAGGGGGCAAAAAAGCAGAAAGGAGGATAGACTCCAGTAACAGTGTGACTCCACCCCTGTTTTTTCTATCTATTCCATACACTCATACACACTCTCAGCCTCTCTCTTGCTCTCGCTTTGTGGTATTCTGGTGAGAATGAGCTGAAGACTTTCATCACCTGGAGATTTTCTCTGTTTCTCCTTCTTTGGTTTGTTGACCTTATGGAAGATCAGTCCAGAGGTCCTGGCGGAGTTCTGTCTGTCTGGACACAGTATAATGGATTAGAGATTATGCTGATGTTGAGTATGGCTTCATGACTGAGGGATTATCTCTGAAGTGGGTGTGGATGTGTGTGTGCGCGCATGTACAGAGACCCTGAGCCAAGTTGTTGAGCTGATGCAGTGTGTTATACAGTGGGCATGGAGGAACGTCGTGCCCTGAGGGGGTGTGGCTGTTCAAACCTCTTTCAGAAAGTTTTGGCCACGTGTGAATGCTACTCCATCAGAGATCAAGGTAAGTCAATTCTACTGTTCTTTAACTCTATATCTCTGTATCTTTCACCTCTGACTAGCTGATCTAAAAGCTGCTGAGTGGCTTACAGTGTCTGCCTTACAGTGTCTGCCTTAACGTTTTGCTCATTTCAAGTAATCTACTGCACTAAGAATGTAAGCCCCAACAACTGCGCCCAGACCTTTTCAGTGTAGGATATCATTTTATATGGTGTGTGCCCTGTTTCTTATGTCAGATTGGAGTATCAGTTTTAAAGCAGATCAGTGACATGGAAGAAATGATTGTCAGCAGTTTGGAGACACAAACTTTTCTAAACGTTTTTAATAAATGACCATGATTCTCTTGCTTGTTTGTTTGTTGCTGTCAGAGCAAAACCTTGTATCTCCAAAATGATAACTTTACAGGAGCAGGAAAAAACATACTTTACTTAAAATGTCAGTCAATGGAACCAGAATTTTTCCCATGTAATTTTGGGAAATTTCTTTTGATCCATTCATCATGAATTTTACACAGAGTGTAAAAGGCAACAGGTACTTTCAACGTATGTCAAAAACAGAAAAACAGAAAAAAAATGGAGATAAGAGGTTTTGTTCCGTATATTTATTACATTTGCCTCTTTATTTTTGCTTTGAAATGAAATAATGAAATTTAAAAATAAAATAAATCAAAATAGTTAACATAAAATAAACTTTTTCACTTTTGGCCAAAACTAAAAGTAGCATTTCAATCTATTTTTGGCCAAAGATTTTCAGTGGACAAAATTTCATACCTAAAAGTTGGTGTTAATCAGAGTATAGCATTGATAATTCGTGCATATATGAAGTTCATGCCCAACAATGTATGTCATGTAAGAAAAAAAATGTGTTAATGTGTTTAAATGTGTTATGGAACAAAACAAAACCATTCAAACATTTTTGACTGTAACTAACTAACTAAAAAACAAACAAACAAACTAACTAACTAACAACAACAATAATTCAAGATGATGAAGAAGTAGAAGCATATGCAAAAGGGTTCTAGCAACTTTGGTGCTAATTAAACATTATCCTACAGGGGCCACTTACAATCTTTTGTAAAGGTGTAATCAATTTTTACATGACGACTCTTTATCGAGTATTTGTGTTACTGCACCTTTAGGACGTCTATGTATCATCGCTGTCACCAAGTATCTTTCCAGGAGGAGGCAAAATGGTCATAACTTTTAATGTAGGTCAATATAAAGAAGTTTTATTTCAAGTAATTTTGGACTATTTCTATTGGCCTATTTGTCATGAATTTTTTTACACAAAGTAAAGGACAGCTGACATTGCAGAAAAGGAAGAATCGGCAAAAATAGAGTTTTTTTTTACAGCAACAATATGTAAATGACTTCTCTTCTGATTGGCTACACTGTATTATATTTCATTCAAAAAGTAGTCAGGGCTAAAACACTTGGTATAACACTTGGAATAGGTGGAGCTAAACTGTTGTAAAGTGAATAGGCAGATACACTATATGGACAAAATATTTAGACACCCCTCCTAATTATTGAGTTCAGGTGTTTCAGTCACACACTTTGCTAACAGGTGAATCAAATTAAGTATATAGCCATGCTATCTCCACAGAGAAAAACTGGCAGTAGAATGGGCTGTACTGATGAGTTTGTGAAATTTCTGTGGTGCTAGATCTGCTCCTGTCAACTGTAAGTGCTTTTAATGTGAAATGCAAGCACCTAGGAGCAACAACAGCTCAGCCACAAAGTGGTAGACCACACAAACTCACAGAGTGGGGCCGCCGAGTGCTGAAGCGCACTGTGCCTATCCTCTGTTGAATCACTCACTAACGAGTTCCAAATGGCCTCTGGAAGGAACATTAGCAAAAGAACTGTGTGTTCAGAGCTTCACAAAATGGGTTTCAATGGCTGAGCAGCTCCACACAAGCCTAAGATCAAAATGCACAATGCCAAAAAAGGTGGGGTGGATTGGGGGAGTAAAGCATGCTGCCACTGGACTCTGGAGCAGTGGAAACGTATTGTGTGGAGTGATGAATCACACTTCTCTATCTGATGGATGGGTCTGGGTTTGCCAAATGCCAGGAGAATGTTACCTGCCTGACTACATTGTGCCAACTGTAAAGTTTGGTGGAGGAGGGTTAATGCTATGGGATTGTTCTTCATGGGTTGGCCTAGGCCCCTTAGTTCCAGTAAAGGGAAATTTGAACACTTCAGCATACCAAGACATTTTGGACAACTGTATGCTTCAAACTTCATTGAAACAGTTTGAGGAAGGCCTTTTTCTTTTCCAGCATGAGTGTGCCCTAATGCATAAATAAGGTCCATAAAGGCATGGTTGGTTTGGTGTGGAAGAACTTGACTGGCCTGCACAGAGCCCGGACTTCAACCCATCAAACACCTTTGGGATGAACTAGAATGGAGATTGCAAGCATCACGTCCAATATTACTGTCTGACCTCACAAATGCTCTTTGAGATGAATGGGCAAAAATTCCAAAAGTTTGGTTCCAAGTCTCTCCTCAATACTCCCAGCCATCACAAGAATTTGTCCCATCACCAGCACACCTGACTTAATATAAGGAAGTACTGATTAGTTAAATCAAATGTTGGATGGTAACTACAATTATTTATGGCCTGCCCTAAGGAGATGTTTGGAAATGGCTAAATGAACACATTTACATGTGTAAAATCACTTCTTACTGTGTTGAAATTAGTAGTATTTGTTGTAATATCAGTGTTTTTCTGAGCAAATAAATGCTTCTTGCCCAGATAAACAATTTTCTAATTCAAATCTAACTTTATATACATATTCCAACAATTATTATTCAGTAACTACTATGATATCAGTATGAAACGGCTCTGCACTCGTCCTAAATAAATGTTCTTTTCATTCTGCAGTTTATCATAATGTCCAAGTCCTCTCTTCACCCTCTCTGTGTCGTACTTCACCTGATCTCTGAGAACTAGGGCTTAAATATGTGTGTGTATGTGTGTGTGTCTGTTGGGATACAATTTATGCACATACACACACACACAATGTGTCCGTTCCAAAGGCCATTCACTTTGTTTATTAATATAGATAAAAAAAAACAAAAGAGTGTCAGTCCTAACACATACAGAAGTTGTTTTTATTTGATTTTTTTGTTGCATTCATAATGTTTAGTTTTCAAATGCAATCATTTGATTACATTAGATGCGTTATTACCCAAAAACCGAGCAGTTTGTGTGTGCTGATTTTGTAGGTTAGTGAAGGATTATGATTTTGTGTCCTTTACAGTCGGCTAATCCATGTCCTGTACGCTGCTCCTGTTTCTGCCTCTCTGTTTCTGCCCTTCTCTCCACAATGATGTCAACACATCACTGCTGCAGCTCATGGGCTTATAAGGCAGAGTCTGCTCCTTTAGCCTGCAGATATATTTATAATGTAATATTGAATACGTATGTGGAAGGATCAGCAGAAATAGCAGCATGAGGAATGTTTGTGGCGATGCTGGAAAAAGTTCATGGTGAAATTCTGAATCAACCTCATCTGGGAACAGGGGCCCCCAGGAGTTAAGGGGTTGCACAAGAGCGCAGTGGTTTGCTGTGTGCAGGCACGTTGCTCTCATGATGACTGTTTTCTCTCATTGCTGTTCCACAGGAAGTTTGGAACATATTAGCCAGGCTCAAATATCCCACAGTTCAGTGCTGATGGCATGCACTGAACTGCAATATATCAACTATCATACTGCCTGTTATAACAGTCACACAAGCACATATATGCACATGTTAGAGCCTGACCAGTACATTAGTTTGCCAATAATTTTGACTGATATTGACAACCCATGGTTTTAATGTTATTTGCAAAAATATCATAGATAACTAGCAATTTTGTGGATTGAGGCATCTCTAGGCTTGGCATCGTAACAATATGAGAACCCCTTTTGGTGCTATATAGAACACTTTTCAAAAAATGTTCTACATGGAACCATCTACAGCACATTCTCCATCAATCTGAAGAACGCTGTCATGATGCAAAAACCCTTTAATCATACAAAAGGTATTTTGAGTGTTCATGATTCTATATAGAACCATTTTTACTAAAAATCCCTTGAAGAATGTAATGTTTCAGTCTGTCTAATAATCCAGCTGTAAACATCCAATAAACATTCTCATTATTTATGCCTAAACCTTTGTGGGCAGTAACATCTATATGCATAAAACGTGGACAAAAATGATAATTTTGTCATCTTATTCATTGTGGATTATGATGTTAGAGATTTTCTTGAGGAAGTGTTCCTTTTGTCTACATGATTTTGCAAGGCCTTAGCTGAGGAGCTACCATACTGGACATGTCTCCAAACTTTTTAAATAAAGCTTTTCTTAAATGGATTGTGACGCTACTGAAATCGCATTGGCTGAGCCGTGTTTGAATCAGTTGTAAAATACTATATAGGCTGCTGTATAAATACAGGCTGAATCTGAAATGGCTGCCTCCTTCCTATATTGTGCAGTAGGTTTGTTCTGAAACTCTGGCTTCTACATCAAGATGGTTCATTGTTTGTCCAGTATAGAATTGGGCACATTTGGCTGAATTCTAAATGGCTATTTGTTAGGCATTTGTTAGTGCACTGTATGTAGGAAGTAGAGGATCATTTGAGATTGAGTGACAGAAATAATTGTTTATGTCAATTATTTTTAATAATAACTGTGGTGTACGTTATTATATTATATGGTCTTCAATGTTTTATAAAATCAATAAGACACTTAAGATTGTACGTTACTGTGATTTTATCACAGGTATTGGGGATTTTACTCTGCTTCATGTCATGCCTAATAACACACTTACCTGAGAGAAAATCACTGTAATGCATGACCTCTTTTGGCTTTTGCTTTATTTTGTGGCACTAAGGCACGTTCTTACATTGCTTGTGACTAATTATAAAGTAGAAAGTTGTTTTTCTCAAATAAAAAAAGGAATAAAAAATTACCTGATGAGTTCCATATGCCAGAAAATAAATCACCAAAAGTGTAAACTTTGAATGCTGTAATTCTTGTGCATTTCTGCCTTATTAGGTCAGTGGAAATCCAGTCTTGTGATTAGGAGAGGGTTATGTTCCTAGGGATGAGGCGTTATAGCTCTAACATCCAGGGGCATCAGAATATCTTAATCTGGGCCTGGTGACATTAAAACACGAAGATGTATGTCATGGTCCGAAAATCTCCCGCTAAATCTGTCCCATCACTTCTAACGTTTAGATTATTATATCAGGCTTCAGGTGACTCATAGCAGTGCACACACGTATTCTAGCTAATAAGGACCAATAACAGTTAAGAAAGGACAAATATATCTGTCAGCAAAGTACTATCAAGGGCTTAAAAACTATAAATAAAAAAAAATTATTGTCTGAAATCATTGGTTATCAGAATATTAGAATGTAGTCTACTCTATGACTAAGAAATGTTATCTCCTGTATATAATAGCAGTAAGTATAAGTTTGTACTTCTTAATCTGCAAGATTATTATTCACATGAAATCAATGTATCGGTTATTTGGCTATGTGAGTAAGGAACAGAGGTGTGGGCCAACATATGGTTCTTGTAATATAATTTTATAAAGTATGTTTTATAATAAAATGTATTTTTGTAAAGTTATTGAGAGACACACATGCTGTATTTACATATTTTGATGAGTTCACATTTTCATGTGATCACATTTAGCAAGGTAGCTTAGTACATTAAAGGCTTATGTGGTAACCGTGGTTGAGTCGGGATTGATGTGGGCACAAACTGCAAAATGGACTGACGTACATAAAAGGACACAGCATTCAAGGTTATTCAGAATGAGCTAGCAAATGACATAAGCTGTTAACTGTGCACATAAACTATATGCAGCTTTATTAGCTCTTGAGAGATCAATCCTCTTGAGTACTATTTGGATGAGATTCTCCATAAGAGTGCATATTTGAGCTGTCTAATATGTATGCTGGATATTGGTTTCTTATTTTCTCTCCCTCCAGAGTCTTTCTCAGGACTCACTGATGTCACTCCTGACTCCTCTGCCAGCTTTCTTCCCCCTGGTGACCACTCTCCCATCTCCTCTGGTGACCACTGGCCAGCAGCCCCAAGCACTCAAACCCCCTCATCTCCCCAGCGCTCTGTCAAAGCTCTGAGGCAGTGGCTGAGCAGCCCCTTCTGCAGGTTCAGCCTGGGACAAAGGAGCAAAGGCCAGAGGCCAGAGGTCAGAAATAACTCAGATCGACGGTCCTTCCCATTTGTGCCGCTCTCACACAGCTATAGTACAGTGAGCACTGCGAGTGAGTCCAACTGCCAGTCCGCTACGGATGGACCACCGGTGGGTTTTCATTCAGTACAGTTGATGTTAGGTTACCTTTGCCTTTTGATGAAATGAATAGGCAAAAAAATTGGCAGAAAAATTAATACACAACACCCCTTACCAAGAATATAGTCCATCAGCCAAGACTTGATTTGGTGTCCAAAATATGGGTCTTTAGTTTTGCATTAAAACTACAATGCAGCCATGCTATAGATTCACTGATACACATATAAAACACTTCTATGGTTTAAGTCATTAGCAACAACAGCAATTATTTTGATAATAAAGCACACAGAGAGAAAAAAGATAGAGAGAGAGGCAGGGTCTGTCTGTGCTCTGTTTTCAGAACAAAAAATCTCTATAGATCTAGTACCATCTGCATGGTGAGATTGAGGAGTAAATGAATCTTTGCTAATGTTCTTTTAAGTAAGTTATACTACAGATGCGGCACCTTAAATGTATTTTTTTCAATCAGAAAGTGAAAAACAGATCTGAATGCGATACATGTGTTAGACATGATTTCCCATATCCCAGCCTTATACAGCCACATACCTCAAAAACTGAGACAAAACTGTATTTTGTATGTTGTATGTTGTATGGGCTGACAACTGTGTGTAGTTAACAAGTACACACACACTCATCTAAGCCACTTATCCTTCTGGGACGCAGGGGGTGATGAAGCTTATCCCAGGAAACACCCTGGACAGGTCGCCAGTCCACCGCTGGGCAGACACACAGACATATACAATCACACACACACACACACACACACACACACACACACACACCTAGGAACAATTTAGCATATCCAATTGGCCTGACTGCATGTCTTTGGACTGTGGGAGGAAACCAGAGCACCCCCCAGAGGAAACCCACAAAGACACGGGGAGAGCATGCAAACTTCACACAGAAAAGACCCTGGTCACCCAGCCAGGAATCGAACCCAGGCTGCCTTTAGTTAACAAGTAATGGAAGCTTATAATTAGCATTAAGCAAATTGTATGCCTCAATCATCACATATTTACCTCGAGCCATGTTGAATTTTAAAGTCACCTCAAACAGACTTGCTTTTGGCACTGTGTGAAATAATGGTATCTAAAAAAATGGATAAAAGCACTTTGCATAGCTGAAAACAAAAGTCAGTGTCCTTCTGAAGCTTGAATTTTGTGCATTCAACAACTTAATGCAGTTTGAGGCAAATGTGTGACGATTGCACAATGCTAAACGGTGGCTGTAAGTTTCCATTGTTTGTTAGCTAGATTTGCCTCATAGCTCCAATGCAAAACTAAAACCGCCACTTGGACAAAAAATATACTTTGTCTAATTAACTACATTTAGAGTAAATTGTGAAATAGATAAGCTTTGATATAAGAGGCCATTTCTGTTAATAATGATCACTTGTCTCCTGTTTGTAGGAATTGAACGGGGCTTCAGAAGTCAAAGTAGCTGATGATACAGTTTATCCCAGCCACATAACTGATCTCATACAGGTAATGTGCATGCACACACAAAAGTGTGTGTGTGAAAGTGATTTCATACGACTTGATGATGTAATATGCATTTATCAGATCATCAGTGAGAGCAAAATCTTTCTATATGCAGAACCATCATCCCTGCCAACTCCTCCCTGGTGAAGGCAATTCATCTGTGACTGACGAGAAATTCAGCCAACCAGTGGGCCTTGAAGACAGTGAAGAAGATAGAAAGAATGCCTTAGAAAAAAGCATGTAGGTCGTGACCTTGTTGTAGTTCAACAGACCTTTGATTCAACACACTTTTGACTTTTGATGTGATGAGAACACACTTTTGCAGCTTTCTCTGAATTGTCATTTCAAATTCTATTAGCAAGCAAACATGTGAGAGAGTCTTAAGTACAGTCACATGCAAAAGTTTGAACACCCCTGGTTAAATGTCATGTTTTGTTGACCTTAATGTATTGGCAAAAAATGAAGCATACAGTATAAAATGCCCCAGTACTTTCGCACAGGCCACATAAATGCATAAACTTATTTTCACTTAGAAAATTGTCTATACGACTGTAACTCTACAGTTTAAATCTCTCTCTCTCTCTCTCTCTCTCGCTCAGATATGTGCTAACAGAGCTGGTAGAGACAGAAAGGCTATATGTGGAAGATCTCGGCCACATAGTTGAGGTAAATTTGAATTTCTTGCCCTCACCATAAGAACTATTGTGGAAAAAATGATAAATGAAGAACCGATGATTTTCAGTCAGTATGTCTGTTGTTCTCTCTTTCTTAGGGCTACATGGCCACGATGAATAACAGTGGAGTTCCAGAGTATATGAAAGGGAAAGATAAAATAGTATTTGGAAATGTTCACCAAATCTATGACTGGCATAAGGAGTAAGTATGGTCAGTGTTTTCACTTCATTGGAACTAAGGGGCCTAGGCCAACCCCTGAAAAACAACCCCATAGCATTATCCCTCCTCCACCAAACTTTACAGTTGGCACAATGCAGTTAGGCAGGTAACATTCTCCTGACATTCGTCAAACCCAGACTCATCCAAGCATGATGGGGGGGAGGGGTTCCAAAATGCTACATGTAATTCTGAGAACAGCTATACCATGATTGTGCAAAATGGCACGTATGTGTGTTCATTTGGGAGAAAGTGTGTTTTAACATCAGTAGATTTATTATTCTGCTCTGACCCTCTTATTTACTCTCCAACCAGCTGCTTCCTGTGTGTGTGTGTGTGTATGTGTGTGTGAGCACACATCAATCCATGTTTTATTATCTTACAGCTACTTCCTTGGTGAACTGAAGAAGTGTGTGTCTAATCCAGAGCAGCTGGGGCAGCTCTTCATCAAACATGTAAGGGTGTAACAGAGGATCTATATGTGTGTGCCCTGTCAGAATAAAGGGTACTGCACAGGGACATTTATGTCCCCCAAGGTACAAACAAAGTAAACATACCCCCAACAGTACATTATGGTCCTTAAGGTCCAACTGTGCACCTTAAATGAGTTTTAATGGTACACTACATTCACTTTCCTGAGGGGAAGGGGATTCTTTATCTTAATCTAAAATTAAAAGCCTGGAGTTAACATGGAGTGTTAACATGTGGAGTCAAAGGAACTTAAAAATTTGACTGTCACAAGATAATTAGTGTACTAATGTTACCTAACTAGGGGTACTGAAAACATTGACAGTGACATGTGACGACTGATCATTTGACTGATAAAATTGGCCAAGATTAATATTTTGTGAAATGGAATTTTTATATGATACCATGTTTGTCCTTTAGGAAGTGAATTTTGTATTATAAAAATAATTTATAATTAATTAAAATATTATAAATTAAAATAAAATAATAAAATTAATAATAAGTAACTGAGTCACATCAGTCAGCACTGTTTAAGTATTTCAGTTCCTTGCATTAAGTAATGTACTGCTTATAAAATGTTTATATCAGCTGGGTCCTAGTGTGTATGTATGACAATCTTAAGGTAATGCACAAAATGAAAACCCCTAGTTAGTGAAATCTTCTTAACAGATGACAGACTATGTTAATACTAATGCAGGACTGACTTAGTTTTGCTACTGATTTGAATACTAAGGCAATAAAGCCCTGCTGGACACTGAAATGTAATGAGAGAAAATAAAGGTTAAAGCCTAAATTAAACCTAAATCTTTACAATGTTGTTACGTAACCACCATAACTTGACTTACCACTCAACCATGTAACTTTGTTTTTTAGACAGTTTCCCACCATACACCTCAGTCAAGCAGATGTTCACAAGATAATAGTTTTACTTTCTGTGTTTGTGTTTGTTTGCAGGAGCGGCGTCTTCACATGTACGTGGTGTACTGTCAGAACAAGCCCAAGTCTGAGTGCATTGTCTCAGAGTACATAGACACCTATTTTGAGGTGAACCGTGCAGCCAATAGAGTCTCTGTATGTATGCTTCAGAGAGAAAGAGAGAGAGAGAGAGAGGGAGAGAGAGACTGATTCTTCTTTTTCTACAGGATTTAAGGCAGCAGTTGGGCCACAGGCTGCAGCTGAATGACCTGCTGATTAAACCTGTTCAAAGGATCATGAAGTATCAGCTTCTACTCAAGGTGTGTATGGAAGTGTATGCAGTCATATGCAAAAGTTTGCGCCCCTAATCAAATGACATATTTTGTCGATTGTTGAGTTAACACATACTCTACAGTGAAATAATTTAAATGTGGCACCTTTGATGCACAATTACTGTTTATTTGTTTGATATATTGGAAAAAAATAAAACATATTGGAAAAAAATAAAACATAAAATAGAAAATGTGCCATGTTAATATGTTAAATTCAGCAAATAAACAGTAATTGTGCCTTAAATTGTGTACTCTGTACCAAAACATGCCATTCAGACTGGAGTGCCCAAACTTCTGCATACGACTGCATATAAATGGTTTGTTTTTAACAACATTACAAAACCAATTAATTTATAATAGGTTGTTTTTGCAGCTTGGTTTCCATTTATGGATTGGGGCATGAATGGTAGCCTACCTTCTGAAACTTTGAATACATTTACAAACTCTTTTATTAAAAATGCGTAGAAAATTCAATGTTCTGTGATATGGCTCTTTTACCATGTGAGTGACATTATAATCCTTTAATAGGTAAAGATGTTATTGTTGTTTTAAGGAAACCTTGAATCTTTGAAACAATAACTTTATGATAACTGGTTAATCAAGGGCAGAGCGCAAGAACATAACACAAACCACTTAACTCCAAAAGTGAGTTTCCTTATTGTGTAACTTTTTGTCTTTTAGAAAATCAACAAAACATATCATTTGACCAGGGGTGCCGAAACATTAAAATTTATGTATTTATGTGCAGTGTCTTTTATTTTGAACTATGTACAATAAACACAATGGTGTTTGTATGTGTGTGTGTCTGTCTGTCTGTCTGTTTGTGTGCAGGACATCTTGAAGTACTATGTTAAAACAGGGAAACACACAGAAGAACTTGAGGTAAGTGGAACTGCTAATCCAGTCATACTTTTAATGCAGAGATTTATCTGATGGCACACCTGAAACAACGATTCGTCCTTTGTTCTCTCACAGAGAGCGGTAGAGGTGATGTGTTTCGTTCCTAAGCGATGTAATGATATGATGAATATTGGAAGACTGCAAGGTTTTGAGGTGAGCGAGAAGAAACACTTCTGTATTCTCTTACACACAACATACAACTTCAGTTACTGCACGGAATCCTGTATGTGCTCTTGCAGTTTAAATAAAGTGCTATTTTTGTTTTAAAAAATCTAATTTACACAGTTTCCCACCAACCCAAATGTAGTCGATCTGCCAGGACATGTTTGTTGCCAGAAATGTACCTCTTCAGTTTTGCACTGAAGGCTATGTAGCTAATGAATAATGGAAAATAATGATTAACAGTGTGCATTGTGCAAACTGCATGGATAAATCATCCCACACTGGACACTGGACCAGGCCCATGCACAGACATTTTGGGAGGGAATGGGTCAAAGGGAAAAAAGAACACAAATTAAACTTAATTTGAACTACTGTATATAATGACCCTATCAAGAGAGAGTAATCGTTTCAGAGGATACTAAACATAGAGTTTTTTCAAAGGTAGACAAAAGCACTAACATTGTAATTCATGTGTGAATTTGTACTCCTGTCGCTTGTGTGCAAAGGTGTGGCATTACCCACAATACTACTCAATTACTAAGTAGTAGTTAGTTATATCTCTACTGAACAGCTCCACAGAGTCTGATATAACTTCCTATTTCACACAACAATGTAAACTTGGTGTAGAAGTAAGTAAGAAGTAACCCCCTTTATTGCTGATGAATTGTGTTTAATTGTTGTTCAAAATAACACATTGTGTCGCTTTCTTAAAGAAATTCTCAGCGTTTTATTTGTGGGATTTTCAGTGTTGTCATGATGCATGACAGGTTGGAGCTACTACAGAGAACCACATACTACGCCAGAGGGGGTGCTCTAGAGCAATGACCACTTTCCTGAGCCACAATGGATCTTGAAGATCGGCAGAGGCTATTTAAAATACAGTTATTATACACACTAACCAAGAGAGCACTTGTACAGTATGATTATGCAAATACATGGTCAGGGGTTCAAGCCCTCCTGGGGTCTCTCTGTACATGTGCCTGGCTATGGCCAAAAATATCACATAGCTACAAACAGTAGTAGCAGCCATCTTGAAGCTTGATTTTTTCTGTACGTTTGTCTCACTGAGGCTAAATGTCTCACAGCATCAAAAACACATAAGCAAGTCTATTTCAGAAAGGTGTTACATGCACATTAATATGTCAGCAGCAAAGAAACTGTGTAAATCAGAAGTGATGGAGCTCCTTTTGGTGGACTATGTGATTGTAATGTGTCCTCAGGGGAAGATAACAGCTCAGGGGAAACTGCTTCAGCAAGACACTTTTGCACTCATCGAACAGGACACTGGCGTCCTGCCCCGCCCCAAACAGAGGCAGGTCTTCCTTTTTGAGCAGCTCGTCATCCTCAGCGAGCCAATCGACCGCAAGAAAGAATTCTCTCTGCCAGGATACATCTACAAGAACAGCATCAAGGTAGTGTTGAAAAGTTTAAAATTCAGTTTTAAAACTGTCCATCCCAGTATAAAATTAATAAATGATTTGATTAATTTAACTGTTAAGGTCAGATGTCAGTCAGACTGGTTCGATGTGAAATGAGTCAGAACTCTTCACAGAGGTGTTGATAGGAACCAGACGGCCAAAGTGTTCTCTAAAATTTACATTAGAGACAGTTATTACATGAAATGGTTATGAATATGCTGCCTAGTACCTGAGGCATTGTTTTGAGGTCCTGACTGAAAATGTATTTTTAATATACATCCAGTGCAATGTAAGTTCCCTGGTCATTTTGGATATGGATCTTTTCACCACCATTATAAAGACATATGTAAACGCTGCAGCTTATGTAATGGTAACCCGGTGACCACAAACTCCCATTACTTGTTAGCTATTAGCTTCGTAGCTCCAGTGCAAAAGTGAAGAAGAAAACTTAAGACTCCAAACATGTCTTGGCTAACTGACTACATTTAAGCTAAGTGGAAAATTCTGTAGATTTGATTTTGTGCTGAACTGTCCCTTTAAGGTGAGCTGTTTAGGGATAGAGGACCGCTGCCCTGATGACCCGTGTCAGTTGGTTCTGACATCTCGTGCTGCCAGTGGAAGTGTGCAGCGGTTTGTCCTTCAGGCACCGTCTCCAGAAGTCAGACTGTCCTGGGCCAATGACATCATTCAGATTCTGGAAACACAGCGCAATTTCCTCAATGGTAACTCTTTACTACTGAAAGCGTCCAGCTTTATGAGAGAAAAGAAAAAAGTTCTTTACACAGAGTAGATCTTGCTCTTGACCTTCTCTGTGGTTTTCTCTCTCACAGCCCTGCAGTCTCCTATCGAGTATCAGAAGCGTGAAAGTAAGTCTCTCAGTCTGGGCAGAGGCATAAGGACGTCAACTTCTGTGAACTCCGCCCTCGGACCCTATAGCTCCACCTCCATCGACAGCCAAAAGCACCCATGCCTGCGAGCCTGCAACTCCTCACTGCCCACCATGATCCTGTCTAAACAATAGGTATCTCTGTTTGCTACAGTACTATAACACACTGCATTCTAGGGCTGCAACGGTTAGTCGACAAACTTCATTAAGGAAAAAAGTTGGGGTTTTTTTTTGCGCTGAATACATAAAGTTGTATCCAAGCCTATTTATTGCTGTTTGTTGTTTTGTTTTCTGTGTTATACAGCATTGCAACCTTAAGTCTCATCCGTTTGACAGAATTCATGATTTTATACCGCTTCCGTGTTTACTTTCATCATTGTTATTTCACTACAATACCCAGCATGCATTTTACAAATACATCATACAACTACCGGATATCCTTGTGGTGTCGAGCAGTCCTATTTGCTAACTTAGGCACTGAGCTAGGCTAATAAACACAAACGCAATAATGACTGTAACTCTCACCACGGCCGTCAAAGAAAATTGTAAAAAAAAACAACGATTCTATCTTTATTTAGCACAAAATGGAGACTTCTACAACAGTTATACTGCTGCAATATGATATTTATTTACTGCTTCCTAGCAGTAACAGTAGCTGTCTGCCTTCTGCAGTCACCAGCTAATAGAAAAAAACATTCAAAACAGCCTATTGCCAAAATTCCAACCCTATAAAGTTTTTCAAAAGTTCCTCCCACCTTCAAGATACATAAATAGGAAGGGGATTTTTCCTAGACTTTAAACCAGAAAATCTCACTCTTGAGACTACTGCAGCACTGCTATGGGAAGTGAGTAGGCATGTGTACAACATTATATGCATACATGTTTACAAGATGCAGAGATGATTACATTTTTCATTTTGGCCAGAGTCTCTTTAAAAAAAAAGTCCTCTATAGTGTTCTGTATTTTTCATATGACATATGGTCATTCAGTGGTGGAAATAAAGTTAATGCATTGTTTACTTAAAAAAGCCCTCTACAGCTCTACAATACTCTTATGACATACAGTCATGTCAACAGATTGCAACTGTGTACATGTGTGTGTGTGTGTGTTGGGGGGTGTGTTGATTAGCTAATTAAAAACTAAATAAAGGAGCCTATTACAGAAATAAAAATAGTGTAACATGTAATTATCATAAAAAAATGATTGTTGCAACCCTACAACACTTTAATTTCTCTCCTGATTCCTGGAGCTCTTTTTGTCCAGGTTGTCCTCTGATGAGACACTGTGTAGTGGGACACATGCTGTTCTATGGACTCTCTTGGAGTGTCTCCTCCTCAGCTCCCTCTCTCTCACTTCCTTGTTTCTCTTTTAGGCTCTTTTTAGTAGTTTTAAAAACATTTTACATTTTGCATTCAGATCCAAAACTGAAATTGACTTTGTTCTCTAAGCCTACACTCCATGTGCTCTCCATGACTCCATGACATCCTTTAATATAGAGTTTTTTAATTAATATCAATGACTTCCCAAACCTGTTCCTGAATAGGAATTCAGAATTTGAATTCCACCCATTTTTCAGTCATTCTGAGTGGTTTGATGTGAAATGGCAAATTTTGTCGAAAATGACCCGACTCATTTCTTTACAGTGATGGTGACAGGAACCAGGGGTCACAATGTATACAGTGCAAATACAGCCATTTTATTTTCTATCCAAAACAAACAGAGAAGCTACGTGCATCTCTTGAGTTTTAATAATGTAATGTTGATAATAGTTAAAAAACGTGTCAAAACCTGAAAACATTTCTTTGATGACTATTTTGCTTTAGAGTACCCTGCATTAATGTATACAGCATGAATGGAGTTGTAAAGAGTTAATTTTACACCAAAGCCTCATCTCAAATTGTACTGTACTATTGCAAACAGTGTTTCAGCAATTAGTCAATATATTCCTAACCATTTCATTTAATAACTATCTTTTAGAGGCATTAAATGCTTTGCATGTCTGGTTCCTACCACCACCACTGTGAACACTTCTGACTCTGTAAGATTCTCTAGAACAGAGCATTTCACATGAAACCACTCTGAATGACTTTGTTTACATCTAACTTACTTATGCAGAAATTCAGTTGAATTCCACTTTAAGCAGTATTGCATTTTCTTTTTTTCATGGATATCTCACTGCAGGCCTTCAGGTTAAAGTGACTGTATTTTGTAAACAACCACAAATAGCTGTTTGCCAGAAACACCTGTCTGGCAGCACAACAGCATCATGCATTCTTTCATTACCTTGCATTAGATAAGATGGCTAGATAGGATTTTACAGCAATGACTTGGCACAGACAGAAGAGTGAAAAATTCCAATTAAATGTTTAACTACTTCAAAATAAACACAGTGTATTAATCCATACACTGTTTGACTGTAGTCTGTCAATTATTAATAAATTGTTAATGGTTGACAAATTAAATTTCACACCTACATAGTTAGAAATGAACAAGATTGTATAGAATACCAATATAATTTGTGGTGATCTGAGTAATGTCAAACAAGTGAAGTCAAAGACATCGCCAGATTTCTCAGTTCTTAGATTTTCAGCAGTAATGCTTTGTTTGCAGTTAATTGTAATCTTAGTATTGATTTAAAGATGTATTCTGCATCTGTGAAATCCTGAATCTTGAATGCTTGAATAAACAAGTTTAAAATAACCACAGACATGTTTTGGCTTCAGTGACCTTATAAATATTGTCTTAGTAGGTACACGGCTGTCTATTGAAGGTACCATATTAATTCTATACGATAAATTCTGAGGGTCTAGAATAGGAAGAAAATCTCATTAGAGGCTGAACAGATGCTTTACATGCAATAAAACACTGTGATGTTGTATGTAAGTTTCAAAACATGCCATTCACTCCTCAGTCCATATCTGGAAGCTAAAATGCAAAAACAGCCCGTTTGTGAATTTACTGTTTTTGTGACATCACAAAAACCAAAACACTTACATTTATCTACCTATTCAGCCAACACTATAAGGCCAAAAGTATTCAGACAACTGACCATCACACCTACAGCCAGGTCCATAATTATAAATACAAGGATTATTTTTAACACCTGGATGCAAGTCCTTTCAGTCACTGACTGCCAGAAGTCTGGAACCCATGGACATCTCCAAATGCTGAGTTTCCTCTCTTGAGATGCTTAGCCAGGCCTTTACTGCAGCCACACTGAGTTGCTGCTTGCTTGTCTTTCTGCCTTCAGTTTTGTCTTCAGTAAGTGAAAAGCATGCTCAGTTGGGTTGAGGTCAGGTGACTGACTCAGCCATTTAAGCACATTCCATTTCTTTGTCTTAAGAAGCTCTTGGGTTGCTTTTACTATATGTTTTGTGTCATTATCCATCTGTACTATGAAGCACCATCGTATCAGTTTTGCAGCATTTGACTGAATCTGAGCAAAAAGTATAGCTTTCTACACTTCAGAATTCATCCTGCTACTTCTATCAGCAGCCACATCATCAGTAAACACCAGTGACCCAGTTCCATTGGCAGCCATACTGGCCCATGCCATAACACTGCCTCCACCATGTTTGACATGATGATGTGGTATGCTTCAGATCATGAACCCTTCCTTTCTTTCTCCATACTCTCCTCTTCTTATCATTCTAGTGAGGTCTTCCAGGCCTTTTGGAGTTGCTGAGCTCACTAGTGTATTACTTCTTTTTAAGAATGTACCAAATTGTTGCTGGCCACTCCTAAAGTTTCTGCTATCTCTCTCATAGGTGTGTTTTGTTTTTTCAGTCTAATGATAGCCCCCTTAAGTTGCATTAACACTTTTTTGGACCGCATATTGAAAGTTCCCATGAACAGCTACCAAATGCATAACAACACTTGAAATCAACACTCGGAATCTACTCCAGACCTTTATCTCCTTGTCCAGAAATAACGAGGGATTAGGTCATGAATTATGGCCATGAAACTGCTTATCACTCAAATGGTAAATTACCCTTGTGTAGTTAATGCAATATTTTTGTTAACCTCTTAAACTCCCGGGCTTATTACATACCAACTACAGATACGTCAATGTAAACTGGTTGAGCTATTCTTATGCTTTAGAAGTGTGTAATAAAACTTTGGGCAGGCCAGCGGGCCCTGGCCCGTTAAGGGGTTAAACCCCTTGAATTAAAGCTGGAAGTCTACACTTCAATCACATCTTGACTGCTTAATTTCAAATCCATTGTGGCGGTGTACAGAGGCAAAATTAAAAAAATTGTGTCACTGTCTAAACACTTACAAACTTGAGTGTGTATCAGCTTGTTGAACATCCCATTCCAAAATAATGGGCATTAATTTGGAGTTGCTCCCAGTCTGGACCACTTTTGAATGAGGCACAATTCAGGATGGCTGATTAGAACATATGTCATTCACATATATCAGTCTGAAAGGCTCAGTAACAGAAATGGCCTGTTTACTTCTAAGTGAGAAAGAGAGGTTGGAAAATGATGCAAAAACTGGTACAAAAATGACTATTTTAGTTACATTAAGCCACACAACTGTCATAAGTAGACCACAAAAGAAAAAGGTTAAATACAAGAAAACTGCAGGATTCAGGCCATTTGAAGTTCATTGCAAACAACATTGAAAACAGTCCATAAAAAGAGATTGCGAGCCATTTAAATTTATATACTCAAAACTTTATCTCATTCCATTGCACATAGTTCCAGATGCTCTCTTACATTTACAAAAAGGGGACACATTACAACATTGTTTTTTTCTCTAGTAGTTCTGGGGAATTTGAATACTACACGAACTTCCTTAGAAATGTTGATCAGTAAGCAATGCTTGAATTCTCATTTATAGACACAGGGCAGCCACCTAGTGGTGGTGATACAAAACAGCAACAGAAACGAGGAGTCTCCATGGTCCATGCAGACACAGTGAGAAAGCCAGAGGTGAAGACAGTCAGTGCAGTATTGAAAAAGTGCAGTGAGCTGGAGGGATGAAGCAGGGAAGACGGCACACAGCATCGTGGAACCAAAATTCTACATGTTGACTATCATCCATTACCAAAGTGTCCATTTAAGAGCTCCTCTACTCCTCTCAATGCTTTGGCCAAGCTCAAACCAGCTGAGGTTCCTCACAGGCACAGCTTGCCTTTTCTCCTAGATCCCAAAATGTTCTAATATCAATTTTTTAAATCCCAAAACGTTTTTTTTCCTTTCATGTTCTCTTCTTGGTCCTTACATTTGGAAATCTGAATAGGAGAAGAGGCACTTCCAACATAAACTCCATGCCCAGAGCCAAACCTTTTTCAGGCCTTGTAGAAACTTAAGAAGCTTCAGTTTTGGTACAAGTCAATTTTTATGTTTTCAGACAGAGGGAGCCACCTGGTGGTAAAATGACAAGGTCAAAACCACAAGGTCACAGTAGTCTCAACTCATAAAAATTACAGATTCATTTTATTTTAGAGCAAACCTGACAAAACAATGCATGTCCTTGGCCCTCCCTCTCTGAAAACTCCCCACGCAGCCATGCAGCTCCATCCTCAGCCAGGATATTAAAGGAGAAGTAAAAAGAACATACACGCAAGCACACATACTGTCACTTCTGTTTCTCCCTTATCAGGGTCTTGACGGACAAACAGCAGCTCGTTCCAGTCCAGTGTTCAAAATTCATGTTGATCCACGCACCCATACACATCTCGCATATGGAAAAAAACATGAAATGATTGCACAGTATCACTTCCAGCATGGACATGACAAGGAAAGGGGTTTAACCTGCACCTGAGTGCTCATGCTTTTGTTCTTGGATGCCAGAATGAGGAAATAAGGAAAGGGCTTCATACTCAGCGGACAGTTTAGGATAGAAAGGTCAAATAGTTATGGTCACTGGGACAGAACAGAGTTATTTCCAGTTAGCAAGTCATTTTCAGAATAATATTATTAGATATGCTATCCTACTCTGATTCTGTTGCACCTGAGACTATGACTATGCATTCTCATACAGGATTGAATACAATTCATGTTCAAACAAGACTACTTCACCACCATACTTACTGGACATAACTAGATGAGTTTTTGCCATTGATGATGTCAAGCAAAGAAATACTCAGCATTTTTCGACCTAAATGTGGCATACAGTTGATTACCATTGGAAATAAGTTTAATATGTTTTCCTTGTACTTAAAAACAACAGAAAACCCAATAACTGTATACGCATTTACAACAGAAGTAGGCAGTAGAGGTGGATAGACTAGCCTAAATGCATAGTCCAGAAAAAGTAGTTACTTCTCTGAAATAATAACTCAGGCAAAATAAAAGTACCTCTTAAAAAACAACTTGAATGGAAATACAAAAGTAGGTCAAAAAAAGGATTGAACTGGAGTGGAGCTTATTAGTACATTCAACGTCTATCATCATAGGAGCTGCAGAGGCTCTTAATGCAGAAGCTTCTGAAATGAAATATAAAAAAGGAATTAGTAGCTAAATATTATGACTAGAACATAACTGAGCAAAAAGTGAATTCTTCTCCTCACAAATGTATGTGGGTTGAAGTAAAAGTGTTATCACTTAACAGGCACACACAGTGTCACTGATACAAAGCACCACAGGCTATTTGAGTGCTAATAGTGCCCCCTTGTGGAGAATCTTCAATCTGCAAAATGAGTGAGTGAGTGAGTTACAAGCCAGGCACTTATCATCTAAAAGTACTCACAGTAGTACATCAAACATGTAACCGAGTAAATGTAATTAGTTACTGCTCACCTTTGTCGGCCAGTTGTTAAATTCAGTTTTGAACTGCACTGTATTTTTGCTAAATACTTTCACAAATTCAAAGGTATGCGTCAACAAAGTTGCAAATCTGTATAATTCATTCTTTCAGAGATGGAACTAGTTTTCCCAGAGGTAATAATATCCTGTAATGCACTACCAGCTATTATTCTTGGTTGTGTGGGCAGAGTTTTCACAAGAGTTTCCAGGTGAGGAAAACGTAGGGAAAGCTGCTTTATACTGTGTTGCTTTAGTGTTCACAAGTTGGATAAACCTTTATAAGAATGGCTTTGGTATGCCATGCTCTCATATCTGTCTAATATGTGTGTTGTTAGATCTTCACAGTTTTAATTTTGAATTTGTTTATTCACAGAATTTATCACTGGCTTCTATTACACATGAGTTTTGAGTCAATGGGTTTTCTGTTCTGTTCTAAGTACCGTGAAATGTGTCAAAATATATAGATGCAGCAGACAGAAATGAGACTGAAAATGCTAGACCTATGCTTACCCAAGATTTTGCTTATAAAACTCGATGATTTGGTACTGTGGTAAGGTTGATCAAACCCAGGGCAAGCAGGGCATCACACTGTTACACAACAGAGGAGACCAGAGTCTAGCTGCTATGGAAACCAGACTGCATGCTTCAGTCTTGTGAGAAAAGGGCCGCATTCTGAACAAGACTCCTGCCATGTAGAGACAAACAAACAAATAAACAAATAAAAACAATTAAAAACGATGAGCTGAACCAGGGCAGGCCTTTGGCAATGTGGAACTGTGTTGTGGGGGGTGGCAAAAGAGACTGGGAAACAGTGAGAAACAGAGAAACAAATAACAGAGAGAGAGTGAGAGAGAGAGAGAGAGAGAGAGAGAGAGAGAGAGATAAAAAAACAGAGAGAGAGGGAGAAACAACAGAGAGACAAAGAAACAGAAAGAGAGACAGGAAACCAGTGGGGGAGAGAGAGAGAAGGTGGGTGGAGTCTAAAGTCTAAGCTGGTTTTTATGGCCTTGTTCTTTTTTTTCTCTCCGGTCAAGCTCAGGGTCCAATCTCTCAAATGAGTCCATTTGTATATTAGTGCAAACGTACAGAGAGAAGGCCCTCAAACACCAATACACACACACACACACACACACACACACACACACACACAAAACACTCTACACTCCAGGAAGGAGCTGAGTGTGCTGAGGCGGTGGTCAATCAGTGGAATGCCCTTAGGAGGCTGTCTCCCTTTCTGTGCTTTAAAACAATCCATCGCCTGTCGTCCATTGTCCAAACATCTACCTCTTTAGCTTTTCAGTTTCAGATAAAGAAGTTTTATTTTCTGTCAAATTAATTCTATTGAGGAAAAATTTCCCTTAAAAACATCGAGCAGAATGATCTTTAACCATGACTGACAGTAGAGAAATGGTAAGGAATGATCTGTATCTAAAGGGTTCTTGTAAACAAAAATAAAATTGAGCGTAACAGGACATAAAAATATGACCTCAACTCTTTAGTTATTAAAAACAACAACAATAACAACAAAAAACGGCTGCCATCTCTCATCTGTCAGTCACGGTTAATGATGTTTATGGCCCCTCCAAAAGGAGAGGACTATTTTTGAACATTCCCACACTAAAATGGGGGAAAGGGACTACACACCAGACTGTACACACACACACACACACACACGCACACTCACACACCACCCCGAGACCCCTCAAAGACCCTCTTTAGCTACTCTGGAAAAGAGAGGCCTTTTGAGAGAGGAAGACAAAGAGAGAGAGAGAGAGCAGGAGAGTGAGGGAGCAGTGGAAGAGTGTGTTCAGTTGTGTGTGAGACACTGGAAGCGGTTCTTGAAGTACAGGAGGCCGTTTTTGGTATGTGTGGCGTCAGAAGATGCTGGAGGGTAACGGAACTTGGCGTAGGTTTTGTCGCTTTCCGATTGGCCCCACGGAAGCTTGATCTTGGTGGCGTGATTCACAATGACATCATCACACGAGCCAACGTGGAGTGAACCCAGTCCATCGATGAAAAACTCTATAAAAAAAAGAAGTAGAAACAAACAAACGAAATGCATGAAATGATTAAGAACACAAAACGTCCACAAAGCTAATTCTGGGACCGAGTGAGTGTTAACACCTTTTGGTGTGGTTGCATTTTCCTTAAAGTGTAGCATTAATGTTTGTATACTTTAGTACAGTATAGTGCAGTGCCCATCAAATATTTAACATACAGTATTAAATAGCATGCAGGGTAAAACTTTATTATAGTCACTCTAGATAGTCATCTTTAACTGAATATCTATTAAATTCAATTGAACTTTAAGCTTCTTTTAAATTTAACCCTAAATCTAATCCTCACCCCTAACATCCATAGTCATCAACTGACCTACATGGAATTGTCAAAATAAAGTGTGACTGGCAGTTGTTCAGTTGTTATAATTTTTCTTTGCAGAAACTATAAAACTAAAGGACAATTTACAAAATTCTGCCTTAGGATTAATGTTATTCACCACGTTGATGTCAGCACTCAAATCTTTCAAGTATTTAAAGTGGAATTACACCTTGTTTATTTCAGAATTTCTACATAATTCAATTAATGAGATGTAAACAGAATCATTCAGAATGGTGTGATGTGAAATTGTTCACTTACCAACTCAGATTTCTCACTATCCAAAATGACCTGTAAACCTAAATGCCTCTTCTGATCTTTCATACATAATGTTAATGATAGCAAAATCGTAAAATCGCCTTACGACACCCTGCATGTACCTTTCCAGCATGAATTGATGTTAAAAATAGGTTTATTGTAAAATAATATCTCATGCGTTGGGCACCATATCCATAACCATTTCATGTAATAGCTTCCTGTGAGGCAGCTTTTAGAGGCATTAAGCATTACAGACCTTTGGTTTCTTTTTCCCAATTTTGAACAATTCTGGCTTCTGAAGTTTCTCTATAATGACGCATTTTTCAAAATAAACCACTTTATTTTTATCTTAATGATTAAATTAGGCAAACATGTTGAAAAAACTATGAAATTTCCCTTTAAAGCACCTTTGTACCAAAGGAAATTTAATATGTGCTTTTAACAATAATTTAAGAAATAACAGTTAAATCATTATTTAGACAAAATCTGCTCTTCATACCAAGAAAGATGCTTTGATAAACAAAAAAATGTACCCATAAAATATAAACAAGTAGATGTTTTACATTAAAAAAAACTTAACTGAAAAGTAACAGCAAAAATCAAATGGTACTGTTAGGAAATGAAGGTTTCCCCAAACATCCGAATGTTGTGTGTCCCCATTTCCACCCCAAACTCACCAAGGTGGGCGACGCGGGCTAGCCGTGGGTCAAAGCCCACCTGCTGCACTTTGTCTGTCCGGGCCAGAAAGAAGTTAATGACTCCGTCAGTGACCACGCAGTTGGGGAAGCCTTGTATGATGTGATGGAAACCGCGCCTCACATGCAGGCAGTCCCCTTCCTCTTCTCCAGCTTCTATAGAGATGGTCTGCCTGTAGGTGGCAGTGTAGCCTGTAGCCTCACGCACTGCACCGCCAACCTGCAGGCGCACACACACACAGGCACACACAGTTAGAGCTGTACAAATTCATTGATCTGAAGGTAATGATTCAACTGCTGCGATTTTGGCACATAAAAATGAATTATTATCAATTATAATAATATTGAATAAACTATATGCTGACATTTTTGTCGATAATAAAACTACTGGGCTATTTAAAAAAAAAAAACATTCTGTGTTATGAAAAAAACATCCTGTTTTATTTTCATTGTCTATATTCCATCTGTTTCTCAGTCATATTTTTAGATATAATTTAGAATCACACTGAAATAATCAAATCAAGTCTCACTGAATCACGAAGAAATTTGAAATTTCATGATGCGTTAAATCTAAACCTGATCGTTAGGGATGCACCAGTATGGAAATTATGGGCCGATGCACATATCCGATATCCGATACCAAAACAAATTAACTGCAGATTTTTTAACACAGCAGCGCAGTGTTAGCTAAACAATCTCTTCCAAAGTACAACAACTACATCATCAAATACATACACACACACACACACACACACACAAACACACATCTCCTAAACCGCTTATCCGTCTGGGTCACAGTGGGGTGCTGGAGCCTATTACATGATCAAATATTGGTTTGAAATATCAATCAAATCTAAACATCTGTCTGGTGCCAATATTTTTTAAGCAAATATCTGCTGAGGCCGATGTGATTTGGTTATCATCATGCATCCATAGTAACCATACACAGACTACAAAGGCCAATACAGAGGAGTAGAGGCTGACAAGTGGAAAAGGGCAGTTTTGCTCATTTCTGCTAAAAAGAACAGGATGCATGTATGTGCTCTACTCCCACTTTTAGTGCTGTTGATTTGTTTAGCTGATGAACTACAGTTGACAGTTGTGATGTGAGTGTGTATGTGTTCTCCAGAGCAATGCAATGGATCCCATAGGCTGTGGGAGTACTGTAGCTTTTTGTCTGAAAGGTCACATAACTGACCCAGTGCGTCTGCTTTTGGAAATTTGGAGCAGACATTTTTTATTCACTATATCTGCTGGCTTTTCCTCTCCTCTTCCATCTCAGAGCCTGTACACAATAAACATACTGAACCCTGCTTTCCTACTTTGAACCCTGCTTTTCAGCTCAGAGCTTCTTGCTGCGTATCAGTCATGTTTTCAACATGTCAGTGAAGTGCAAGTGTCTCACCAAGTCAAGTGTGGTTTTCTCCAACACGTCCACCAGTTTCTCCAGTTTGGTGTTGGCAGTGAAGATAAAATCATCATCCACCCACAGCACATACTTAGTGGTGACCTGTGAGACGGCCAGATTACGACCTGCAAACCAACCCTAACATACACACGCACAGACACAGACACAGACACACACACACACACACACACATTACTAGTTGTATTTCATTAGAATTTTCTTAATCTAACCATAACCTTATCATCACAGACCAAAAAAGAAACAGTTTTGACCCTTTCAACTTAAACTGAAACATGTACAGTATTGCCATAGACCACCCTTCAGTTTTTCAATTTCTAGTCAGAATGACCAGCAAGTACAAGCTAGTCTTTTTTCAGTGTCAGGGGAAAAAGTATTTAGAGTGTTCACCCTTTTCCAGCTTCCATATTCTGAGGAGGCATGCTTTCAGGTTTTCAAAGAAATCTGATGATATTTTTCCACATCTCCAAAGTTCAGTCCTAGAAGTTGTTTGCATTTTCTGCAATTCCAAACACATTCAGTGATGTTGAGGGCTGGATTCTGGGGTGGTCAATCCGTTGTTCTGAGAACACCAGCATTGTCTTTGTTTGCTTTGCAAGCTTTATTCTATTTTATTTTCCATTTCTACCAGAAATTAAATAATTGAAGGATGGTCTCTGTACTATAGTGGTTGCACTGAAATGGTTTGTCCATTTCTTAATTTTCTATCAGCCCCTTGATTACTCATAGTGTGCTGCTTTCTTCCTTATCATCTTGCCTGATTTGATTGTGTGTATGCTAAGATAATATATTAGATGCTACTAGAATGTGCAGTGGTAAGCCAAACGAAGTAAATCATAAAGCAGCATCTATCTTGAATATCGTCGCTGTCCAAAGAAAAACAAGTATCTCCAAAAAACCTCCTGTAATTTCTATTTAAGTCAAGGTAAAAAGATTTTATTCCAAGCAGTTCAATTTTAGTCTGAGCATTTCTATTGGTCCCATCACTGTGGAATTCTCACACAATGTCAGTGATAGCTGCAGTGCTCAAATTATCCAAAAAAATCGAGATACTTGTTTTTTTTTTTTGGACAGCGTCAGTATTATAAATCTAGCAATAACCAATCCATATTACAGCCCTTGCCATCCTCATGTACCTTACACCTGTGTCTACACCAGGCACAGGTAATACACCACCAAAAATATATTTCTTAAAGAAAATACTATTCCTAACAGGCCAACATCCTACAAAAAATGTGTATATATATCACATCTTTTCACATCATGACTCATGCATGTACAGACAGACCGTACAATCTTTAGCTCAGGCAATCAGACACAGCAATCTGTAGTTCAGTGCATCCACATAGAGGTCACCCCAGCAACATCATATAAATAACTATAAACAACTATAAAGTACTGTGTTGGAGATGAAGATCTACCTTCCCAAATGGCATGATGTAATGCTCTATGTACGGGCCGGACACCATTTTTGGATTTTCACTGTCATCTGCTATTACTATGGTAACTGTTGGGTAGTACCGTCGTATACTGTCAATCAGGTCCTGGAGTTTGTTATAGCGCAGAAAGGTTTTGGTGGCTATGGTGACAAGAGCACTGATGTTGTATTCTACAAGGGAACACAGAAACAGTTACTCTTAGAGGAGGACTCTCAATCACATGTCGACATTAAACATGTAATGTACACCATAAACAATGAAAGGCATGCAAACAGGACTGGTAACCTGTGTTTTGTTAGAAGTGCAATGCTGTCTGACAAATCATACAGTGCTGTGCAGTGCAGTGTTGTGTTGTTTGGAGTTGTATTGAGTAGTAGATTAATATCTTTAAAGACCAACGCACCAACGGCACCAATGGCTAACATTAATTTATCAGGATTCTAAACCCCAGCAGTTGTGGCTCACTGACGCTGCACTGAGGCAGGTTTAGAAGATAAACCCTCAAATCTGAGTGAGTGAAATCAAGCGACTCGTGCAGGAGTGACAGAAAGACAGAATCATTCTGATAATAAAGGTTACAATGAGCAGGGTAGTGGGGCAAGGGGTGGGGTTTAGAAAGAGGACAGCAAGGGGGGCATTTACAGTGTGGAAAATTATGCATGTTCATAGGTCTTTGCATTCTTAATTTTTTAAGTTTATTTATGTTTCTATGCCATTTTCAGTAGCTTTTTGGGCATAACAATACATAAAAAAATTTATGAAATACATAAAAATAAATAGTAATCTATTATTCAACTTTTTTGTGCATCTTAATTTATGACTTAAGGGGTACTTTATTAGTCTTGTTAGTTCATTTCTATTATGCTGAATCGCAGAGTCTTATGTGATGTTATGCTGTTGAGGGTTTGGGCTGTGTCACATCGTTGAACCTTTGTCTGCGTCTGAGCCAGTGTTGTAGAGTTTGGGCGTCACTCCATGACGGATTTTGATGGTGAAAAGAGCCTGATGTCCTTCAGTCTCTAACTGCACTGAAAAACAAATATATAAACATTCATGTTAAACACAGATCAAATGTTTTTTCTGTAAATATTTTACATATTGTTGTACATGCTTTTCAATGTATAATAACCATTGCTCCTTAAAACAGCATGTGGTACAATCTGACTAAAATAAGCACATGCAAATTTCACTAACAAGTTTGTTAGTCATCATTTTCATCTTCGGCTTATTTTATGATCAAGCTTAAGCCTGGTAGGGGTGTGTAAAATCGAGTGTAATAGTTCAATGCGTGGCTAGCGGTTAACTTATGAAAACTATCAATATTATCTATCAATGATCAATATCATCAATTGTCAATATCATCTAAAAATAAATAACAATTATGCTAACAATTTGTGCACATGGCAATCCAGTACAAAAGTGGATGTACTTATCATTACATGCCAGTGGTGGACAGTAACTAAGTAAATGTAATTCGTTACTGTACTTTAGTAGTTGTAGTAGTTTTTTTGTGTATCTGTACTTTACTGAAGTATTTCCATTTTGGTGACTTTTTACTTTCACTCCACTACATTTAAAGTCAAATATCTTACTTTTTACTCCACTACATTATGTGAAATCTGTCGTTCCTTTTTGGCTTTATGTGTGCATAAAAACGTAACATGTCATAACGAAAGAAGCGTCAAGCAAGCACACCAATTAGGGTACAGCGCGCACTTTGTTTTGAGCATGTTTTGACCTGTTGGACATACCTACCCAGTGCAAGCATACGGTTCAATGACAGTGTAACAGCATAAAGGTTTGTGAGTGCCTAGTCTCTACTTTAACTCAAGTACATGGTTTGTGTACTTCGTCCACCACTGTTACATGCACATTGGTAAAACAAATGCTGCTACTACTCCATGTTCATTTTAAAGACTTATTACACTGTGTTTTTGTTATATACTTCTGACACTGTTCAAAAACTAAAAATACAAAGCTAGAGCCGAAGCAGCTCATGCACTGCAAAAACACAGTGTTTATTTTAAGAGCACAATCACACCATTCTGCCATTTTGTTAAATTCACATTTTATTTTTTCCAGTCGTTGTAATTTACTATAACTATAAAGTTTGATCAGTAGGGGGAACAGTGCACTCAATGCTCGACCTTAAACTCTGCCTGCTAGCACAGCCATTGTTGAATGCTGTGGTTTTACTGGCTCCCTGCCGAAACCTCTCGAAACCTTGACTTAGGGCATGTAAATAGTACTTAAACGATGTACTGGTAGGCCGGTGCTTGATTTTACGCACTGAAGCAGAAGCAGCTGCTTGTCTCTATGTCATTTCATGAATCAGATGCACAGCACTTCTGCGTCATTAATTGCGGTCAAATCCGTGCTACTTTTTACAAACTTGTGATATTTTATTGTTAAAAATAGCATTATCAACATGGCCGCCCTTCGACCCTCTGGAAAAAGCAAATATGCACATGCGTGGTCTGCTGCAGCCTTGTCCTACTTTCTATTCTAGTTTTAACTGACATGCACTGAATTGGTTTTAACATTAACTGATTTAATGAAAATCTCTAATAAAAACATTTTTTGAGAACTATTTCATCTCTAGTTTTAAATGGTGCTACTGAAAACATGCACATGCGTGTTTCTTCTCTTTAAATGACAAACACAAAAGTGATTCGCGTGCTAATAGCGCTCCCTGCTGGAGAAACTTCAGACTTCTACACGTGACATAAATGAGCACATTTAAAAGCCATGTCCATGTGCTTTACACTTTAAAAAAATCATTATAGAGGAGCTGCACCAGAACTCAGCTACAGCTCCCTTTGGGAAACCATTAAGCATTATATTTTCATAAGTTTAACCATCTTAACCATCAGGAGATTTGAGACTCTTAAGCTTTATGGAAAAGAGTTTTCCCCGGTGGTTACACTCTGGGAAACCTGCAGCAGAGACACTGCAGAATTAGTCCACTCTTGTTCTCTGCCAGTTCTCTTTTCTAAAAATGGATTATCTCATTTAAAGCATTGTTTTTGGGTTACTTTTCCTTCATTGCTGATATCTGATTATTTCACCCAAGCCTATTTCAAATTTCAACTATTTCAAATTTCAAAAAATAATGTAGCCTACATGCACAATACCATACCAGCATTCAATCACTATTTTTATTAATATAATTAATTTTTTATAACCAATTTTGTTGCAGGTACATATATATAATGATTCTAAAATGATGCTACTCCACAGATTTCAACTGATTTGTGGGAAAATAAAGAAATGTTAAATGTTTTCAGAATGATAAACAGAGCTTTGAACAAAACTTTCAGGATCAAGTTGTAATAAATTTAACATCCAGAATGGCTTGTATTTGAAAGGTGGTCAAATCTTGAGGCAGATAACTTCTTGCTGTTCCCAAAAACTTATAGCCTCTGGCATACTCTTATTTGCTAATCGTAATTTTGATCTTCTTCTGTAAGTACCCCAAGTTAGAATGCTATCAGGCCCACATGTCAAACACAAGGCCTGCGGGGCAGATCAGGCTCATGACATAATCCTCTCCGGCCTGCAAAATTATTTATATTTTCTGTTAATATTAGCCCATTTCATGATGCCCTGAACTACAATTCCCAGCATGCTCTGCATTGTAATGTTCACATTACATTTCAGTGCATATCAATCTGCGGGATAGTGGTTACACATCGATTCAACCACACTACTCACATCACCAAACACACATTTTAACCAATATAAACACTTAGCTCAGCAGCTCACCCCACAAATGAACTCATGAGCAAAATAAAGATACCAGGTGTCTAGTTCAAGCTGAAAAGTAGCTTTAAAAGTAAAATATTCTTTGGAATATTCAAAGTTTTCATGCATTATTTCAAGGTCTATTACAAGTGCCTTTATTTTGCTGTTGACATTTTGCTGTATTTTGAATAAATAATGGCCAGTTTGGGTCATAGCAAGATATTATTAAAAATGAAATATAAACATAGGTCCACGGATTTGTTGAGATTTTTTTAATAAGGCCCTGTCAGTGGTTGAGTCTGACACGCTTGATTATAAATTTCCATTTACCAAGATTTCCAGCTTGGTAAATGCAAAAGCTGTGAAATAAAGCAGATAATCCATGGATAGGTCTGTTGTCTATCACAGTCTATCACTTAATTAATTTTGACACGCGCTGTGAGGGGAAACATGTTTGCACTGTCATAGTAGAAAGATCATTTTTGTATGAGGACATATTTTGGCTATAATGAACACCCCAAATAATGGTATGATGGTACCTGTGTGCGTGTGAGTACCTGTATCTGCAGTGCTGGGGTGGAACAGTGTGTTAGTATAAGTGATGAACTGAAGCTGGCGGTTCAGGTTGGCTAAGAGGCAGCTGCTTAAGCTCATATGCATCTCACCATCACCCCTGACCTTTACTCCCTCTACCTCTGCCGCCACGTTAAACGTGCCAAGAGATGCTGAGAAATTCAGCTAGAGAGAAGGATGAAGAGGGAGAGGAAGAGACAGAGAGAAAGAAAGATGAGAGCCTGACAAAGGTAGAACAAAGATGAATACACATAACACAAGTTACTGCGCTGCAAATCATATTTGCTGACCTCAAATCTACTAGTTTCACTCTTCATGTCAATGCAACACAACTTACAGTGTAAACGTCTCTGGGCAGGTCTTTTAAGGCCAAGCCTGAAACACAGCACAGTAGATCACTTTCAGCAACCAGCAGCCCATTCAAAAGTTTTGTTAACATACATACACTATGGTGCTAATGTCAGGGACGACCCATCTTTTTTCCCCCCAATTTTCTGCCCAATTTGGTCATGTCCAATTCTACTTACTAGTTAGGTCTCCCCCAATCACACAATACGACCAGCGCTAGGAGGGTGAAGGCTAGCACAAGCTACCTCGGAGTCATGTGAAGCCAGCCACTGCATCTTTGCAAACTGCTGCTAACACTACGTCATTGAATAGCTGAATGTGCTTGGAGGAGAACACTAACCGCCAGTTCTGTTTTGTCAGCTAAAGCCCATTTCAAACCAGATGCAATGCAGCGCGCATGCTAATCCGGATCGACTCCATGACGCTTGATATTTCACACCGGACGAGACACACGCGTCGTGAAGCAAGAGCGATTGCTGTTTGTGTTGCGTTTTCACGTAATATAAATGGCTACATTGTCTGTTTATCTCATATAAACTTTATATAGATGACATAAAAAGATCAACAATAAAAATTTCATAGTTGCTGTGACTGTTGCTGGCTTTCTCACCAGGTGATGTAGTGCTATATGAACAGAAGGAGATGCCTGTGTGTTCACATCCTTAATCTACTCAAGGGATTTCAGTCAACCTGTCAAAGAGTTAAAACTAGATTTGTTGATTTGTTTATTAGCCTAGATTGTATATTATAGCATAGACATTGCATTTCTTTACTGTTTCTGCATAGAAACTGCTAGCATGCCGTGTGCGGCATGCGTCAGAAATAGACCCAAAGCATATTTTTGTGCTTCACGAGCGCGTTACCGCTGCGGTACTGGTGTCAAATGGGCTTTACAGATGTCTGTGCTGGCTAGCATCACGTTAAGTGATGGGGGAAGGGGGGGGGGCATCCTACCCACCCATAGACAGCGAGGCCAATTGTGCTCTTTTGGACCCCTGGGCACGGATGGAACTCACGATCTCCTGAGGGCAAACACTCTTTCTATAGGAGCTATACAAATAGTTAAATGGAATCACTGTTCTGATCATGTTCTGTTACTGTCACTGGGCAACTTATGTCAAAAACGTTGGAAAACTACAACTTCTGACCAAATGATGGTAAAATATTTCCACTAGAAACTGCTCTTGCAGTGTTCAATAACTGCAATAATTGCATAAGTAGGATACAAAAATTTGCTAAACATAATGATGAAGCGTTCTCTATCCCAGTAAAATGTGCTATAAACTATGACAATGGCTGAAATGGTCACCTGGTACAAGGATCGTCTTGAGCGGCCGCACTTCCACACCCTGTGTTGGGTATTGCAGTGGGCTATTAGCTTCAGCTACAATCAGCAAATCAGCAGGGGTCTGTGACCTACCCACACACACACACACACACACACACATACAGTTGACTGAATAGCATTTGCATTCATGTGTCATGCCATTAGTGTAAAACATTAACTTCAACCGTGTGTGTTCTTGGATACACCATTTGTGTAAATATGTCTGTTAGTCATTTTGTCCCAACCTGGTCCTTGGGTAACTCCAGCTTGCTCTACAGAAAGCTGATATAGAGGTTTAGGACGCCTGATTGTCTCGATTTGTTGCATCAGCCTAGGGGGCCTATTGGATGTGAACTTAGTAATCACATACTTTTCCTTTAAAACAACTTACATCGTCAAATGACACGGGCAGTCTCTCCAGATCACCATTTTATTAAGTACCTTGATCAGTCAGCAATAGTCATCAGCTATTGTAATATTTGTGATTTCCTGAGCCAAATAAAAGTTCACTGCTAATGAGCACTGAAAAAAATAGTGCTCTGAATTTAATCAAGTCAAATGTGTCAGTTGGTTCCACATAAATAACATATTTTCAACACAGCTACTGGCTTTCAGTTCAGTTCTGTGGATCTAACACATTTGAATCATGTGCATCTGACAAGTTGTAAAGATCTAAATGCAAAGCACTGTTATTTTCAGTGTACCATAAAAAACCTACACTGACCCAGATGCAGATACAATCAACGTGAGGTGTATTTAAAAAGAGTAACTTTATAAAAGAAGGCAACAACACTCTTAACTTTTAGTATAAGTTGATGTTGTAGTATCTAGGAGTTCCCTGTGTGCTCTGTTTTGCAGGTCCTGTGTTTGCAGGGTATTGGAATGTTTAAATTAAGGGGGCCCCCTGGTTCAAAGCCCCTGGTTCAAACCTCCTGGTCCAAAGGCCCATAGGGAGTAGGCCTCTCACTTTCTCCCTTCCTCCCTTAGTTCCAAATAGATAAGATCATTTCAAAAAGAACCATATGTTCTGTCTTCTGTTTCAACAACAAGAACCATATATAAGCTGTTGGTTATAGTGGTCTGGAGGGGACACTTAGAATTGGCACGGATCCCCTCTCAGGTACTTCATAGTGCTTGATATGATACTGCTTTACTTTGTAATAAACATCTTATACTGGCAAGATGATGATAGTGTCAGCAGAGCTTTCCTTCATCATCTTCACATCATCGCCACTTAATAAACAACAAACGCAATACAAACTCTGCTGCACAATATATATAGTCGAACCAGCGCAACACTCACTATCATGCTGATAATGCTGCTGTGCTGAGCGGGTGCGGTGGGGCAGAGTGTAGCTGACAAAATGTGCAGTAACAGATTGTAACTGAACAAACCAGGCAGATTATTACAGTCAGTAATTCAACAATTACTTTATAAAAACAAGTAAAAAAAAGAAATAAAATCAAAACAAATTTGCAGCACCTTTTATGAATACTGTGTTTACAGGAAACTATGAATGCATTCATAACAAATAATGCATTTATAAGGCATTGTCAGCATAGCTAAATATATATATATATATATATATATATATATATATTAAAAAAGGCATTATACTTTATAGCCATGCTTATAATGCATGATGAATTGTTAACATAATGCATTATAAGTAGTGTTCAATACATGCTATATTGTCAGTGTCAAAAAAACTCACAAAACAATGCTGTGATTTTAACAATTTATGAATTACATTAATCTGGAGAGGAATAAGAGCTGAAAATAGGGCTGAGCAACATAACAATATTTATCATTAATCATTATAAATTAAGGATTAAATCATGGATATCATCGTCATTTAAAAAACACTTCCCAATTCCATATTTGATTACAAAGAGAGCGTAATTAGTCCCTGTTTTATTAAAAATCATAATACTTTTCATTAAAACACAAAAAAGTTTCGGTTTACACACTGATTTTTAGACTTTGAGACACATTCACTTCGAAATAATAATCTAACTGTTTACCATGTGGTCATGAGGGACAGGGATGCAGTCTGACTTCTTGCAGCAAAATGCAGGGGTGTGGCTAAAATAAGGCTCCACCTATGGCCAAAAATTTTTGTGTTTCAATACTGATATTGCCATATTGCCTAGCTCTAGTTTAAAGTTATAAAGTCATGTAAATGTTAAATTCTATAAATTATTTCACTAAAAGCTTACAAAGATGGTATTACATTAAAAATTAGTATAAGCAATTATCCCATCCCAGATCATAATCATGTTCCTGAAAGAAATCATGGCTTTCCTCAGTGCATGTGTGTATAGCAATATAATGTATGATAAACACTTCTTACAATGCATTATCAGCTATAAAGTAGAATGCATTTTTATAATTTTTTGTAATGTTTTAGTGTTTATATATTTATAATGCTTTCTGAATGCATTATACTGTGTTACATATATGTTCATAGATTCTTATAGCCATGGTATTTACATTAAGTGTTGCCCAAATTTATGTCAAAATCTCAACTCATTTATTATATTTTCTTCATCTTTTACTATATTTGATAGACCTAAATTCCCTCCCACTTACTTCACGTATTTTGTCTCTGTCATAATGCTTAATACCAAACTTGACCACCAGCTGCCACAACTAGAAACACCTAAATATCAGACAAGCGTACATGATAACCTGGCCGCCAAGTGTAGGTATATGATGGGTGTACCTAGTAAGCTGCCAACTCAGTGGAATTGGTTGTATGTAGATTGGGCTGTGTATATTGCATTTTTGGCTGGGACGTTGTGCTGTTTGCTGGGGAACTGTGGTACAGACCTCATTTGGAAGCCCTGATACTCTTTGGCACGCCGTCTCTTCATTTCATCGAGCTGGGAGGGCTGGAAAGCGGTGTGCAGGGGGCGGGCAGACACTCGTGGGAACAGCAGTTGAGCGAATGGTAAGTTCACGCCTCCCCTCTCACCCTCACACACGCAACCATTACGTGCCAGGAGCCTGTAACAGCAGAGAACAATTATACTACAATACAGCACGGAAAAAATGAATATACATGCTTCAAATTTCAGTCAGTTGCACATGAATAGAAGGTGTTACATCACTGCATTATCACCAAAAGAAGTAAACTGAAAGAGAGCAACTGTGTTCATGTAACATACTTTATTCATATGCAACCGATTCACAAACTTGAATCAAGTAAATTCAAAGCACCATTTCTTCAGTGCAGCACACCACACCCGTAATCTATGCATAAACACCACTTACAGCAGTTCATAAACAGAGAGTTATAGTAGGTACAAAAACTGCAAGCACAGCAAAGGCAATATTCAAGTATTTGCACAAAACAGTACCTAGAAATTCAAACATCCTCTGTGACTAGATACTGACCCAGCTACACTCTCTCTCACACGGTAGGGGATTGTGCTAGCACTGGGGTCTGGCTCTGGGAGTCTCTCCTCCAGCAGCCGTTCCAATCCAGGCCCTGGTCTCTGCCGGAGGTCCACGGTGCTGTAGGCCCGGGTGGGCCATGAGTGTAGCACTGCCAAAACCAAGACCACAGAAGCTACCAGTGCCAACAACACCGTCTTACGCAGAGAACGCATCCTACAAACTAACATAAACAAACAGTGAGACATAAAACATTCACATTCAGGAACATGTTACATAGACATACAAACATATTGCCACTGTCAGACAAGAACCTTGTGTCTCCAAAATACTAACTTTATAGGAGAAAGTAAAAACGTCCTGGACTTTAAATGGAAGTCAATATAAAAACAGTGTATTACAAGTAATCTTGGGCCATTTCTATTGGTCCATTCATTATGAAGTTATAAAGCAGCACTATGTAAGATTTGGGGATTTGGAGACCTCTTTGGTTGAAATGTGTAATTGCATGCAATGTCTGGAAGAACATTTTGTGACCTCTTCACCCTCAACAGTAGATGACTCTGATGATTCTGAGCACACAAAAAGAGAATTCAACAAGAACTCACTCAAAACTTCAAGCTCGTCTTCTGAGGATGTAAGTGAATTATCTATTACTGTCATCATACCTTCATCAGTATAAAGTAGATTTTGCATTTGAGACCTAAACATTGAGCTGGAGATTCTTTTTGAGCCTGTGCATGACATTAATACTAATAATATTAATAATAGTGTTTTTTTTGTCTTAACTCAGTAATGCTGCTTCTTTTAGTTTTAACAAAAAACTCATACATAGTGCTGCTTTATTACAATGTAAAGAGCAGCTGGCATATTGAGTTAAATTTACATACAGAAGCACAGGCACCACAGTGGATATGAAATAGAACTATGGCCATGAGATTAAAGTGCAGTGCCCCATAAGGCAATAAGCATGTGTCATAAATGTCTTTTCTTCTGACAAATCTACCCCTCAGCCACTACTATATGGGATTGACTATGTTTGCAATCGCAAGTCATAATAGATGGAAATCAATTTTAGTGAGATTTATTTTAAGAGCTACCTTATGCTTTTGGATCCATCAACGTATCATGCACTGATAGAGTATGTGAAGTATAATTACTGTATAATAAATAAGACTGTGAACTAACAGTGTGGTTGCTGAGTCTCTGATTTTCAGCTTTGAATGTTAGATAGAAACTCCCACTTATGCATACATCATACTCCTTTGCAAAAAACCAACTCACTCTATCCAATCAGTATGAGAGGCGTAGGATGCCATTGCTGCTCCCAAAGATCCATGGCAGTGATTGGCGGAATCCAGACATGGTTGACAGAAGCAGACAGGTGTGGTAGAGGACTATCCCCATCTGTTGACAGAATATAAACACTTTTCTATAATGTTACAGTTCTGCAGAAATCTTTGTCCTTTTGTTTCTATAAAATATTGCTTTGAATTATTACCAGCATTAGCAGCAACCTTTGTGTTCATCTGAACGTTTTTAAAGAACTGTAAGCATGTGTGACTTTTGCTTGTTCTCTAATAGTCTTTCATTTTTCATACTTGACATTTGTGCGGTTGGTGGATCATACCTACAGCCTTTTAAACTCCATATTAACAGATTTAAAGCAGAACAGCATGACTACATTTAGTGCATTACTACAAATTTAAGTGATCCATAAGTGTGAAACACTTGCGGCCTACTGCCAATATAACAGCCAGATGAGTGAAGCTTTGTGTAACTGGTGTAACATTAGGTCAGTACAAGAGCATTTTTTTAAGAATTACAGTAGTTCATGTTTTCAGTGTACATGTATCACATGACTATCATAACCAATACAGTTTTTTAAACTTTATTCTTCAGTCTCTTCTTTTTTCATTCTTAGAACTTAGTTAGAAATGAACACGAACATGTAATGGATGTGTCCAGGGTAGCGATGACACAACACCATTTTTCCTTTTATACCAGTATTTTTTAGGCTATTGAGCCTAAAAGCCTCTACTTCCTACCCCTCAGAAAATATACATAATTAACAAGATGGCATCACATAACTGTAGGGGTGTAACAATGCATCAATAAATCATGACATCATAATGCCAAACTTTGACAACATGCATGGGAAGGAGACGTTCTATTAATCATGCCACCTAATGAAACAGCACTGTTTGAACACTGAAGTTTGCAAACAATCATCACCTCAATCAACAACTCAGTCCAGAGCTCCTCCTGCCTCCCAGCTGTAGTGTTGTTAGTACACTGTACAACATTATTATAGTCATCATTTCTCATAATTCACATTTTGTTCAAAATTTCATGAGAATACCTAACCATGAACCCAGTATCGGGAATCGTACTGTGGACTGAGTGTATCATCACACCCCCTATACAACTGATTACATGGTATTTCAGGCTAGAGTTGTTACAGGAGTGGATCAGATTCATTCTTTTCTCTTTCTCTCTAATCTCTGTACACTGGGGGTATGATTTCTTTTAGGACTCCAGAGCCCACAGCCAGCAGCAAAACTTAGGTTGATTCATTTGCCTGGACAAATTTTGGTCCAGAAGGGTATTTCCATGGAATTTTATTTTATATTTACTTGCTTCTTTTGGTGCATATTTTTAACAATCTGTATATTTGTATAACTGTATATCTCAGTTCACACACAGTTCAGAAGTGCAAAGTGGTCATTGTAATCTAATTATCAAAGCACATATTGAAACTCTTTGGCTCCGGAAGGGGGGGGGGCTGAAGCCTGTCCCACCGGTCATAGAGCAGAAGGCAGTCCATCGCAGGGCAGACACACAGACATATACATCCACACACACACACATCTAGGGGCAATTTAGAGTGTAAAATCTGCCTGATTGCATGTCTTTGGGAGGAAGCCGGAGCACCAAGAGAAAACCCATGCAGACACGGGGAGAACAAGCAAACTCCACACAGGAAGGACCCTGGTTGCCCAGCTGGGGAACCGAACCCAGGCCCTTCTTGCTGTGAGGCGTCTGCGCTGTGTTTCAAAACAGAAAGTCAACATAATGACTTATTTTTTTCAGAATTTCTGATGTAGTGTATTGAAATATTGTCTTCTTTATGATCTTAATTATGCTGAAATCACATACTTGCTTGATGAGTGGTAAATCATTTTTTGAGTCAAAATCTTGAAAACAAAGGCATTATTTCGACCTAATGTGTCAAAGTTTGAATCTGAAACAGAACTAAAAACTTTCGTTTCTATCCTGCCTATCAGGCAGAAACATTTTTTTTTATATTTAAGTGTCGAGGTACTGCTAAAACAAAGATGACTTTTTCAGGGAAGAGCATGCTTTTTCCCTAATGAAATGTAATTTTGACAGCATTAAAGTTAAAAGAAACTGATGAATCCACTACTAAACACTGGTTTTTACTCACCAGGTGCTAGCCTATTCATTTCAACAGCTTAACTATTATCACTTGGCCAGATTGCCTACAAGCAAGTGCTGCTTTCTATATACATACTCTGGATATTTGAGAGAAGGACAGTTTGAGTCCCCAAGAAAAACCCAGTATGCCAATTTGCAGAAATAGGAAGATTAATGGGTAATATGTGAATCAAACATACATGAGAAGGAGAGATAGAGAGAATGAGTGAGTGAGTGAGAGAGTGAAATACATTGAGAGACAGTCTGCTTGTTTTCCTAATCTCTCATGTCTTGTGCTCTGTATTCTGATGGTGGTAAACTGTGCATCTGTTACTTGGCACACAGTGTGTGTTGTGCTCTATGCATGTTGGCATGTTGTTGTGCTGTTAGAAGGAAGGACTCAGGCTACAAGTGCAAGCTGGGGGCTCTTTTTAATATCGGAGATTCTGTCCTTTTCAAAAATGATATATATGTACAGTTTAAATATTTAAATTGAGAAATCATTAAGAGTGGCTTGATTAGAATAATTAATTGTAGAGAAACTTGGATTTCTCAGATTTCTTTGCAGTAGTGGTGATAGGAACTAGGGGTCATGATGTCCACAACAAAAATATAGCCATTTTATTTACTGTCCAAAATGACCAGTGAACCTGCATGTGTCTTCTGAGTTTTTATAATGTAATGCTGATAATGGTGAAATAGTGCTAAATCTGAAAAAAGAATTGTGTTGAGTAATATTTTGCCATACAAAGCCTGCATGTACTTATCCACCATCAATGCTTTACACCAAAACCTCACTGCAAAAACAAAATCTCATGGAAAGGATTCGCATTCTTAGCCATTTTGTGTAAGCATTTTCTGTGAGGTAGCTTTTGAGACAATTAACCCCTTCCAATGTCTGGTTCCTATCACCACTGCTGTGAACAATTCTGACTCTATTTTAGAGAAGTTCCATCTTACATCAAACATCTGAATGACATTGTTCACATCTTAACAATTCAATAATGCAGAAATTTTGAAAAAACTATGGAATCAAAGTTGAGTATTTCAGCCTAGATTGCTTTTATATAAGTGTTCTTTTAGAGCAAAGTTCAAAGATTTAGATTTATCATGATGTTATTTATTTTGTGAATAAAAACCTTGCTGTCTCACATTTTCATGTTACTACCAAAAGACATTAGACATGTCAAGTCAAGAGAGAGACGGGCTTTTTATTGTCATTCCATCTACGTACAAGTACACAGTGGAGTGAAATTACGTTTCTCCAGGAACAAGGTGCAACAAGGAACAAAGTACAAAGTGCGAACGTGCAGACATAGTGTGCAAACAAAAAATTAAGCTAGAAACAATACAATAAATACAGTAAATTAAACAGACATTAGACACAGTAAACAGACAGGACAGTGCAGCGCCGACATAGCACTCATTTCTGAGCATGAGGTAGTGGAATAAGGTGCAGAGATATTTAACATGCTGTGATCTGTGAGTTTACGCAGTTAATGTTAATCTAAAGGTGGAGCCCCAGACCAGGAATATGATTTTGGTTCCCACCATGTTCACTTTTAATAATACAACTGACAGACAAGCTGGAAAGATTCAAATAACTTCTAGTCAGTTCATACCAGCATGATAATATTAAGTAATTTTATGGCACAAACCATTTGAAGGTTTCAAATCTGCTGTGATTCTCTTAAATATAACAATTGTATTAACTTGTCTAAAGAGAAGAAATGATAAGGGCCTGGTAATGTTAAACCATCAGGTTGAGGGAGCTGTCATGGTCAGGGCATTCGCAAAGTTAATTATTACAAGTAAACATTCAGACTGCATGTGTTTTTCCCCATGCTGGGTTAGCAAGGGCTAACTGAACTGGCTTACACTAAATATTTAAATCACGCTCTAGCATTGTATTGTAGTTCAAAAAATGTTCTGTGTATTTTTTCTGGGTTAATTGTTCTGCAGCGTTATTCTCTAAATTATTATATAAGGACACTATTGTGAAGATGGGTTTAGCATGCTTTGTTCTGTGTTTATGACTATATAACAGAAAGAACTGGTCAATTGGTGGCTCAGAAGTGAGAGAGTGCCGACTTGAGCTAATGCTAGAACTAGCTGTTAGCCTGAAGCCTTGCTTCCTGTACGGCATAACCTTTAATTAAGCAACAACTTGTTCATAAGTTGTGTGTATTCCTTCAATAGCAGTAAGTGCTACTGTATTTTCTAAATTTGTGTTTTTTGTTTTTTTTTTTACTGGTTCTTATGATAACTTCAAAATGGCAATGGAAAACTATAGTCTCCTATAGTTTCCCACTAGCCACTGAACTATTAATCATTCACAAACATATTCTAGCAGTTTAGATCACTTGATTTAGCAGCGTACATTCACATCAATAAAATTTAAATTCTAAATCTCATTTTGTCTGTGTGTGTGTGGGGGGGTGTTTGTGCACGTAATGCTGTCCACTGCTTCAGACATTTCTGCTGATTGTCTTCTTGCAACTCCCTTGGGGTCTTTCCATGATTACACTGTCAACGACCACAGAGGCTTTAGCCTTTAGACCACTCCCCCAACTGGACAGGTCAATGACCTCAGTTAATGAAGTCTTATTAGATAAAAAGTATTATCCCTTCTTAGAATGAAAGCATATTAGAACATATATACTGTGTTTTGGTGAATTTGGGTGCACCTGGTCAAATGACATGTTTTGTTGATTTTCTAAGTGAAAATAAGTTAACACGTACTCCACAGAGAACACACCTCTGTCCATGGACTACAATGCAAACTATCTGAATTCTTTTTAAATCATAGAAGTGTGTAATAAAAGTTTAGCCATTTAAACTCCTATTATTCTCAAACTTACTAACACCTTTTATCAATTTGACCTCAGCAATTTATACCTCCAGGAAATATGAAACTTGGAATGATGGAAGAGGGAATTATGTTTTCCCCTCCATTTACTACAGGTTTGGTTATATTAGGTTAGGGCCCTAAAGCGGAGGGACATTTTTTATAGATAACAAAATTGCATGTTATAGTTACTTCAGTATCATCCAAAATAACCAAAACAAACATGAGTGAAATATTGATATGTCTTATGTTTTGTACAGCTAATACAACCTGGGGTCAAACTGACCCCAAAGAACACTGATGCATAGAAAATGTGTACAGGACATGGAAAACCTATCATGTTAATTTTGTGTTACCCAGTTTTCCCCATTTAATTAGCAAAAGTCACTAAATATGAAGCAAAAAAAAATTATGTTAATCATTTATTTAGAGACGTTAAACATTGAATGTGGTCAAGTTGACCCCAAAGATAATGGGATGATTAAGAGATTAAAGTTCGGTTGCAGCATTAGCTCAAAGCATTACATCCCGGATGCCATTAAAAATGAATTAAGTAAGTTAACTGCATTGTACTGAGATATATATCTGCTGTCGGATATATGTCTTCCCATATAGCCCTACTAAGAGGTAGAACAGGCATGTCCTAATGCCCCAATTGGTGAGCTATTATTTGTTATTGTGCAACAGTGCTCCTCAGAGTACATATTCTACATATTCTATATCTGAACATGGCACAACTTGAATAGGTCTGGACGCAGAAAAGCCAGACCAGTGCCCAGTGCTTTTTTTTCAGTAAACATGATGAGGAAAACAAAACGTACTCAAAAACAAAAACACCTCCCCGGTGAATTTAATTCCTCCCTCTCTCAAACGCATCTCTCAGCTATAATAACAATAACAACAATTCACTTTTCCATTGCGGGGAGGCAGTAATCAAGGAGGAGAGGCATTAACAGGCTCAGCCACAGATGGTTTTCCTCACTCCCTGGGGGAGCCCAGTCTCCACTGTATCCAGCCCAGGCATGTGTTCACACTTGGTCGGTATGGCGAAGGGCGTGGTCTGTTCTATTAGTCTAGCTAAAGCGGTGGGGAGCTTTTTTCTGGATGGTGGGTGTCAGTAAGCATCTCTCGCACTCAGTCGAAAAGTGTGAGTCGAGAGAAAGAGAGAAAGATGGTCGCCCATGTTTGCTCTACCCATTTAAAGTGCACATGGTCACAGTCGTCGTTTGAATTAGCAAACCCCAGTCAATCCCATTGATTTGAATTAGCCTCCAACAACCAGCGCCCACTTTAAAACGGCCAGAATGCTTCATGATAAAATGTATGATATAATTCTTGGGCCAATTTGCCACGCCAGGCAGGCCTTAAGCAGTAGGTGACCATTCCACTATTGCAGCCTTTCGTTTAAGCTCCCCAGACTCTGAGGGAATGTAGGCTGGTGAAGGCCTGCGCTGTCTTACCGTAAATATAAACGTTCAGTTCACGCCACTCATGCGATCCAGTCACATGAGGGATGTGCAGCGGGCATGTGCAGCGGACCCCCCCCCCATTAGCAAGCATTCAGCCCCGCACGGGCCGCCGCTTACAAGGTGTACTGGACGAGACGAGAGATAAGCCACCCAGCACAGACCCACAGCAGACCTGAGCAAGCTATGAGAGCAACATGAGCATTTTAAATATACAGTACATTTAAAAAAAACTGTAAGGCCTCTCACTCGTTCTGTGCTGCATCGTCTCCCAAAAATCCCATCATGGATAATAATTTAATATTTTTTCATATTTGTCTGTTTCACACAAATCTGCCGTTGTGCGCACTGTAGTCTCAGCTCCAAATAGGTCCGAAAGGTGGCAGATAGCAGACCAGTGCAGATCGCATCAGACCAGTTCAGCGAGCAAAAATGAGCTGCCATAAATAACCCTTACCTCTTCAACGCTGGCGCCAAGACGAATGTCCTTTTAATCAGTTGCCCCGGATCCCCTGAATTTTATCATTGCCTGTAGCTAAATAGAGACGAAAAATCCGGTGGCATGACATCCGCCACTGAAAAATCAGGATGGAAGGAGCGAGATGGATGTAGACGGTGAGGCTGCCCCTCCAGTGTAGGCTAATTCCGATGGAGGGGGTGAAAGTTGCTGCGCCGCTGCAGCGCCGCTAATGGACATCCCCGCCGCCGCCGCCGCCGCGCAGCTTTTTTCTCCATCCTTCCTTGCACCGGGATTGGCTAGTTTATGCTAACTGCTCGAGCCCTGGGCTAAACAGCTAATTTCAACAGCAGGAACATGTTCACTGTGGTGAATGCACTTTTAACATGGGGTGATTCAATTTACACAAAAAAAATCTTTAAAAAAGTCGCTTTTTACGTATCAAATGGAAAGTTTTACTTTCACATGAAATAATTACATTTTAGCATGTAACACTTCGAATGTCACGAAGTAAGATATTAAGACTTCAGAATTTCGTTTTTACTCTGTGAAAGTTGTATTAGCACATGTTAAAATTTATTCCATGAGAGTAAATATCGTTCCTCCCATTATAATGAAGTGAGCCATGGATTCTTTTTAAAAGTTAAACATTTTAATGGTCTTCTTTGCTTTGTGTTCCAGCTTGTTAATATGCAGTGCCAGTTACACTAGAATTTAATTTTGCACATTTGAAGATGTCACAGCAAAATTATAGTGTGTCATAAAGCTCACCTGCAAGCTTTTTAATTCTGATAATTCTATTAACTATTTTCTTTCACTATCTTTCTACTACTTACTGGCTTAATACAAATTACTGTCTTGTGTCTAGCTTAGTTATAAGAGCCATTGAGTTTCCCTTATCCTTAAATTACCTTTAAAGTGTAAATCTCATTCTGGGCCAGAGGGTCTCTGTTTTGCTCTATATACCGTGGAACTCCATTTTTTTCTATCAAATTTGATAACTACTGTAAATTCCCTTAACACTCTATTGCATGATGTTGCCTCAGGGCAACAAACTCATTTTCCTGAATTTACAATAACATTATACATATTTGAAGACAATAATATGATTAACAACAAAGGGAAGAGTTTGACTAAGTCAATAAAAAGCATATACTTGGTCATACTATCTCTTAGTGGGCACATTAAAACCGCTTTTTTACCATTCAGTATCATTTTTTTTGTTGAATTTGTAGAAATATGTTTGTTGCCTAGAAACAACATTGTGCGACAGTGGAATGGATTTAGCCAGTCCCAAGCCAGGTCTCACCACTTCAGGGAACACAGCTCTATGTCATTTCTTCCCATTGTCTCACAATGTTGCCTCAAGGCAACACACTCCAAAAGAACCCCCTGCACAATTTAAAAAAAATAATAATTTAATAATCAGTACAGATTATTAATAATCATTATATATAATTTTATAATTGTATAATTTAATAATCAAGGACAATTTTATACAAGAAAGTGAAGTTTTTAAATTGCTATCATAACGCATGCAGTAGAGTGTTAATTTAGTCAGCATCTGTGTTTCTCAGTCCTGTCCACCTGCACTGCAGCTCACATCATATGATGATGACCAAGTCCTTCAGCAGAAGAAAAAAACTGAAGATGGAAGTACAGTCAGTTTCACATGGACACTTAATTTTATTGACTAAGCTGCCATCCTAAACCAACACACTGTCTACATAAAATCTTTGCCTGTATTAAGAATCTATTTTCAGAACAGCTGTGACTTAGTTTTAAAGACACTGTCTTCCAGATAATAAAACTACAATTGTAAATGCATTTATTAATAATATAATAATAAAAATAAGTTGACTACTTTATCTCCTGATTAGTATGGTAATTATGGGAGATCTAGCAGATGTGTTCTGAATGCAAGGTAGAGTTTAGTCTAACTACTGTTGTTTCTCTAGTCAAGATCTGTGTTTCACAATCCTGCTTCTTGGGACTCGTTGCCCTCCACAGTTTCAACCCTGCTTCGAGATCTCCTGATCCAGCTCATCAGTTAATGATTAAGCCGTTCGTTAGCTGGATCAGGGGGCTGGAGCAGGGTGTAGTTGAAACAGTGCAGGGCAGCGGGACCTCAAGAGCAGGAAGAAACACTGCAGTAGAAATGTATTGTTGATAGCTCCTTAGTCTTGAGCCTAACAGTTCAGTAATCAGAGTGCTATAAACAATATTTGGATGCGACTCTTCAAACTCGATTAAGTAATCCATTCTCATCTTTATCAGCTCTGATGCCGGTTGCCAGACTCGCCCATAATAAAATCAGTAAATTAAATTACATTAAGCATGTTTACAGCGACACGCATAGGCTGCTTAATATAAGCACTACGTTAAATTAGTACTCCAATAAAAGTCCTTTTCGTGGCTACTAGACAAACCCATTTCAGTTGTGATCCAATAAGAGCATGTCTTGGATTTGACTGACGTTACAACTGTCCAATCGTAGAGCGTCTTTGTTCGACGTTGTCCAATCCTCGTCTTCATTTGCAGATCTCTTGCAACAAACAACAAGCGAACTGTTTCACGACAGTTTGGGATGTGAGAGAAATATGGCTGCTTCCTTGGTTAGGTGGTTGAGAGGATTGTATGTTTTGTTCTTGATATGTCTTCTCTGTGCTTCTGCTTTCCTGAATTTAGAGGAATTAAACGAAATGAAATATGGAATCCAGATTCTGCCCGACCCCGTTATTATGGGGCAGGTAAGTCTGTAACCTGGGAGAGTTAACGTTAGCTTGGTTCTGTGTTTTGGTAACATAGCAGTAGGCTAAACGAGCGGCCGCTTCACAGCACCGAAACACGATTCACTGACCAACTAACGTCAAATAGCTAATCTGAAACAGTCTGTGTGATGGGGTCTGTTGTAGTGGCTAAGGAGTTCAACTTCAATTTTTATCCATCTAAATTAGCCGAACCAACTAAATCTATAATGATTGGCGAGCCCGTTTATCTGGCGTTACTGTATCTGCCTTTTAGCTAATCGATTTGTCGAATTGACAGCTGCTAGTTCATTGACTTGCTATGTTTCGCCACGTTGATGCAAGTTAGAAATGGTTGTGTAAGCTAACGTTATACGGCTAGACAGAATTGCAGCTTGTTTTGTGTGCCTTTAATAAGAAGAAACATCTGCTGCTTCAAGCAGCAAAGTTTGTTCCTCTTTTTTATGTAGCCTGTATAGCTAAATGCATGGCGAAGGATTATCTGTAACATATAATATTATGTTATACATATAAATGTCAGATGAATTTTCTGTGATTAAATATCAAATCTGCATTTTTCTAGCCAACGGATGGAAGCAAACATGACACATGTGACATGCTTTCTCTTCTCTCCTCTTATCTCTTTTTCCCCTCTCTGTCTATGCGTGTCACTTCCTTTCTGTCAGATGGAGGATGTGATGTTGGTTTCCAATAAGTACAAGCAGCTTTATGAGTGTCGCTTGCCTGCCCAGGCAGTGCGCTTCCACCAGGATCCAGTGCCAGAGGCTGACTCTCAGGGCTACAGTGGCCCGGGGGTCCCTGAGCTCTTAAAGCCTATGCAGACTGCACCCTGCCTGGTCAAGGTTGCCACTCTCAACTCTCTTGTTCATCAGACAGACAAAATCTATTAAACAGTGATTGTGAAAGTCTTCGAAGAGAGATGACAGAGCTGCTAACGCCTGTAAAATAATGTGCTACATGTCAAAAAGCAGAATATTGCAAACTTATCATAGTTTATTTTTGACTTCCTAGTGTTTCGTTGTCAGCACAGTACTTCTGGGATGTCAAAAATGGATATGATAGGTATTGTTTCAATATTGTCTCTCTACAGACCAAAGACTGGTGGACGTACGAGTTCTGCTATGGCCAGCACATTAGACAATACCATTTGGAAGGTGCAGTATATGTGTAAACATATAATCGATTTATAGATATGCATTCTTAAAAACGTGAGGTGTATGCAAGTTTGTGGTTTAATGACTAATAAGGATGGTGTATTGCAGTTTGTAGAACAACATTGTACTCTATGTAAAAATAATTTATTGTTTTGTTGTAATTGAAGTTTAAAGTTGAAGGTACACTACACGATTTTCCAGTTTCAGTTTTGTGTCACATGATAACGACAAGAATTGGGTTTTTAAGTGCTTAATCGTCTAGTGTGCACACCCTCATGACAAAAATATTATTAAGTGTAAGATGCTCTATGTCGTGCAGCTAATGCCAGGCTTAAGCACATAGGTTTTAGATGCAGTGCAGTGCTGTTCAGTGTTTCTTTTTCTTTTTTCAGATTCCGAGATCAAGGGTGATGTTCTTTTTCTGGGTTATTTTGAGTCTGAATTTGACTGGACCAATGAAACTGCTAAGGTGAGGCAAAATTTTGAGACAGCAAAATTTACTGTTTGTACCACAAGGTAGATTTTACTATATTTAGCTCTATCTCTCTCTTTCTCCTTCAGGCCACTAAGCAACATAAGCTGAAGAGATATCACAGTCAGTTTTATGTCAATGGCTCCAAGTGTGACCTGAACGGCAGCCCTAGGGAGTCAGAAGTCAGGGTAAGAACATACAGGCACATATTTCCAAAACTTTATCTGCACATATATGTTTAAAATATTCATTGATACTTTGTTCTTTGCCCAAAAAAGTCAAAGTATGCTTTAGATGAGAGGGTGATCAAGGGAACTGACAGTAGAGATGCTTTAAAGGAATCTTGCCACTTAGTTTAGCAGGCAGCAGTGTTTGTATAGAGAAAGCAAAGTCAAATCTCATGACTAAGTTCATAGAATAAACTAAATTTTTGTTTTTCCCGCTCCAGTTTGTGTGTGAGGAGGGTTCAAGTGATTTTATAGCTCGTGTGGATGAGCCTCAGTCCTGCCGCTATGTTCTCACTGTACACACATCTCGCACGTGCCAGCACCCACTCCTTCGCCCACCTTCGTCTGCCAAGCCCCAGGGCATTGTGTGTCAGCCTGCCCTCAGTGCTCAGCAGTACATGGACTATGTCAAAGCTCAAGTCTGTGAGTGCAGTTTCAAATGTGACTGCCATTGATGTATGCACAGAAAATCCTCTCTCACGCTTCATCTCATAATTAATATTTTATTTTTAGAAATTCAATCTGTGAATTGACAGCCCCCCACGCTGACTCTCTCTCTCTCTCTCTCTCTCTCTCTCTCTCTCTCTCTCTCTCTCTCTCTCTCTCTCTCTCTCTCTCTCTCTGGGTGGGTGGGTGGTTATGTCTGCCTCTGGCATCTGTCCTCAGCTGACACTAAACGTAAAGTAGAGCAGATCTCTGAGGAGCTAAGGACCCTGGATCAAATTCTGTCCAAAGATGAAGACAGTGAAGGAACAGGAAATGACAAAATGGATGAAGAGTCTGTAACACCCAGCGATAAGCCTTTTTCAGCAACTGAGGACAAAGGTAGGATAGGTATAGATCATCCAACTCATGTACTTTCTACTTTTTATGTGTTTTATAGCTCTTGATTGTTATTTCCATGTGTTTGTGAGCAGATGCTTTAGTGGCAGAGGGTGAGTCAACAGCTGAGGATGCAGAGGATAGAGATTTCTGGGAGGGCGTCACCAAACCTGACAGTACAGACCCACAGATTCCTGAGGCACAGGTGAACTAAAAACACAACTATGATATACAGCCCACTCCTCAGGGCCCACCCAGACGTCCACATTTTTGCTTCATCTCTGTGTGTTGGGAGTTGGGTTGGAGTCCTGGAGGGCTCTGAGGACCAGATTTGAGGACCACTGATCTACACTTGAATGTAATGCACCTATGGTAAAACCATAACTTGAGATAAATATCAAGCCATTAAAAAAGAAACATGGAATCAAGGATGGTGTCTGAGCTAGATAATGGGTGGAAGAAGGTGAAACATGGTATTATGGTTAATATTGACTTAATCTAAAATTCGAAGATGGTTTAGACACAGGCAAATAGCATTATGTTTTGAAGTAAGGTTACAGGAAAACAAGAAATATATGTGATATGTTTTGTGCTTAACATGGCCAGAGGCATGAATTAACAAAGTAATAATTGTAATTCTGGTTTTGATTATTGACATAATGAATTTGTGGAATATGAAATTAAGGGAAACATCCCATTCATTATCATGTCTTAACCCAAGAAAACATGTGAAATAAACATCATTTTCTGTCTCGCTTGAAACAAGCAGGACAAGACAAGCATATCCTTAGTTATTTAATGTAGACTGTATATTGGGGCATCATTGCTGGTCGTCAGTAGCCATGTTTGAACTACTGGAACTTATGATGGTGTTCCCAAACAATGCTCGAACAATGATTCTCAGATTAAAAAAGGGGCCAATACCAAGAGTATTTGGACAGAAGATGAATGGACAAAAATGAGCACTGTGTTGCGGCATTATATTTGGCCATACATGCTGAAAACTATGCAGTGGTATCAAACGAACAATAGTTAAGAAAAAAAAAACGCCATTGAAATGACTAGCCCTGTAAATTTATACGCAGTGCCGTATGTTTTGTGGGCTAAGGACCCTTATAAAAACATGGCTCATTTGACAAGTCATCTGTCTAGGTAGGAAGAAACTGCAGTTGTACTTGTTTTGCAGTGTGCTAATGAACTTTAAATCTTTCTACAGGAGTCTGATGATGCTCAGGATAACCAGCCAGAGGACAATGACAGTAAGATTAACACTGGGCAAACATAGACTGTCAGGGATTTTTTTTTTTAGTTACTTGTTACTTGCTTGTACCTGAGAAAGTCTGTTCTCTCCAATGAGTAATATACACATATGTAAACAGTGTTGTAGGTGTAGTGTAGCATATACTGATGTTAATTATTAGGCTTAGGAAAAAACACATTTCCTTTGCTTTTTTTATGTGTAACATTTACATTTATATGTAAATATTATGTATCCGTCAATAAAGTTTCAAAATACCATTTACCCCTCGGTCCATACAGCCCCCCACGCTGAAACAATGCTGCAAAAACAGCTAATTTTGAATTAAATTCAGTGTTGCGGTGATGTCACAAGAACCAGCTTGTTTACTCCTATTCACCCAAATGGCAATTTAACCCTGCCCACTCACATCAATGTTCTAAGCAGTGTTTCACCTTTGTGTGCTTCTTGAATAAGGCACAGTGGAGGATCATTATGGCAGTCTTAAAGGCACAGTAACAAAACAGTCTGATTAATTCTAAAGGATAAAGAGCAGTTGGAAAATGGTTATGGAAAATTAAAAACCTAAAATTAAAAATCCTAAAATGCAAGAAAAATACACTGTATAGGCCCTTTTAAATATTGGGGTTCTCAAAGTTGTTTATTGAAAAACAGAATTGAAATGGTCTTGGTACTTTAGGAATTCCATCTTAAATATGAATTGAAAGTGAACTTTTCCCTGTCTGTTTCTTTCTGTTTCTGCAGTATTCGGGGAAGAAAAGTTTAATTTTAAAATAATCACTGACCCTGCTGACCTGATGAAGTTTGTACAGCACCTCAGAGAGAGCAACAGAAAAGTAAGCGCTGCAAAAAGTCACTTTACACATGTCCTCTCACACATTATGAGCCCTAACCTTCAGCTGAAGATCTGAGACATAGACAACGATAAATACCACAAACCCCATTTCAAGAAAAGTTGGGGCATTTTTTAAACATGCAATAAAAACAAGAATATTTGTTAATTCTCTCAAACCTTTATTTAACTGAAAGTATGAAGATATGACTTACAATTTTTTGGCTGACCAGCCTGATTCTAAATATAAACAAATTTTGAATGATGACTGCAGCACACTCAAAAAGTTGGGACAGGGGCAAAAGAAGAGTGGAAAGTCTGTAGAATATTTAAGTTCAACCATTTTGAAACATTTCACAATTAGAAATTGATCTGGTAGCAGGTGAGGGTATCAGATTGGGTAGAAAAGGAGCATCCACCAAAGGCTCAGTCTTTTCAAGCGAAGATGGGTTGTAACTCACCACTTTGTGCCAAACTTTGTGAGAGAATTGTCAAGCGCTTCAAAAAGAACATTTTTCAATGCAAATCTGCAAAGAATTCAGCAAGATTTTACCATCTACCTTACAAAATAGTGTGAAAAGAAGAAATCTCAGTTCGTGTAGATCAAGACCGGAAACCACTGACCTTCCAGCCCTTGCATGACATTGCATAAGAAACAGTCATGCTACTGCATTAAATAAAGCCACATGGGCTCGAGAGTACTTCAGAAAACCTTCGTCTATTAGTACACAGTTATGCAAGGAGAAAGCATTACGTCAGTTCTATAAAGAAATGGCGCCAAGTTTTCTGTGCCCGAGCTCATCTCAGATGATCTGAAAGACAGTGGAAGTGTGTGCTGTGGTCCGATGAGACCACATTTCAGCTTGTTTTTGGCCTTGTTCTGTTTGTGCTACAACTGTGTGGCTTTGTATAGACACAGAGTGCATGTGCTTGACTGACCTGCCTGCAGTCCAGATCTGTCTACTATTGAAAATATATGGCACATCATTAAGAGGAGAATCAGACAACGACGACCACGGACTGTTAAGCAGCTGAGGTGTTGTATCAAGGAAAAATGGGGGAAAAAAATTCCACTTGCAAAACTGCAAAAATTAGTATCCTCAGTTTCCAAACAATTAAAACGTTTAATTAAAAGGAATGATGATGTGATAAACATGTCTCTGTTCCAACTTTTTTCTTTGTATTTACAAAATACAGTTATGTTGGTCAGTAAAAAAACATTGGAAATATTTTACTTTGTACTTTTGTCAGTTTAATTCTACAAACCCCAACTTTTCCATAAACGGGGTTTGCATTACAAACAAACCATGTTCTCGATGAATCAGTATATATATATTTTTTTTCTCTCATTCTCTATGTACCTGCACAAAAAGAAGGCACAACTTAATAATGAGAAAAGCCAGCCTTCTTCACAGAAGAGAGAAACAGAGGAGGGGAAGACAGAAGAAAAGGAGGATGCTGAAGAGGAGGGAGATGAAGATGAACAACTACTTAAGGAGTTTGAGGAAGAAATGGCTGATCTCTCTGTGCCTCCTTCCAAGATAGAGGAGATTAAAGAAGAGATGCAGAAGGAGTTTGATAACATCATAGAAGAGGTATGGCTTTCTGATGCTTTCACCTTTTTGCATTTCAGCCAGCTCCCAGAACATGTTTCACCCTGCTTGTTTTATGTTGCTCATGAGTGTATCTCGTGTTATTTAGGCTCATTACTAAAATTCAATGTCCAAATCTAAATCATGAATGTACCGAAACATACTAAAGATTGTTACCAGGATTCTGTACTTTGGACAAAACAAACTAAAACCCATGAACTACATTTGTTTGTCAACTCAATTTTGACATTTAATCAGTTGCAAAAGTAAATGAACTGCTATTCAGTGATCTGCAGACGAGATATTTTACTTTATCAACACAGGCTTGTTAGAAGCCATGTGTTGTTTTTATTCATGGTACACAGTAAACTGATGTGTAACTGTGGTTGCATTAATGTGTGTGTATGTCAGGCTCAGCAGGAGTTAGAGACTGAAGGCCTTAAAGGGGAGTTTGATCGCTCTCAGGCAACTCAGACTCTGGAGAACACGTTGGGCAAACTGCTGGACCGTCTCGAGGATAAGACTGAACAAGACAGTGAATCAGACACAGAGATGAACACAGACGTAAAAAAATCTGCGCACACTCCACCTGAGAAGGAGGAAAGCCCTGCTGGTGGCAGCCCTAGTCTTGTCCCCAAAACCCCAGGTAAACTGAATGATGAGTAAAAGGGATAAATCGTATAAGGCAAGGGTATTCGGTTCTGCTCCTGGAGGGCTGGTGTCCTGCACTGCTGGGTGATTTCCCTGCTCAGACATCTACTAAACCTGACAGTTATCTCCTGAAATGATCCAGGGGCCTGTCTCACAAAGCAAGTTCAGTTTTACTTTCAGCTTCTGAAACAACTTTAAGTTAATCCAGATTTAGATACCCTGGCTTTGATTAATTCCTGTGCGTGTGCACATGCGTACATGCAGCCTTTCAGCCAATATGCTATTTACATGAATCATGTGGATTTGATGAGATTTTTAATTTTAGGAAGGGGGTGAGGGTGTTCAACGGCCAGCAGAATATTTTGAGGGAGAAACCTCTACCACAAACACAGTACAACAGCAGTTCAGCCAACCCACAGATATAGTATTTAATTTTTATTGGCCAGAAGTGAAATAATGTTACAAGAAGCTTGAAAAGAGACCAGTCGTTTCATGAACTGTAAAACTGCTTTCATTTTCGAATATATGGATTTCTTTCAATAGTCTTTGAACAGTGGTTGAAAAAGGGTTAATATGTGAGAAATATTGTGAACTACGACTAAGACAATCAGCTACCGCTTTGTTTTTGCCTGAAATTATTTTATTTCTGTGGAATGTCGTAACTACTATAAGAGTTAAATGACTGTCCACAGTAGCGATTATCAGGGTCCAAGCATGACGTGCTATTGTGGACCCAGTAGAACACAAATGGTGGGCAAAGGGGCCTCTTTTTATAATAAATGTAAGGTCTCAAAATTTGTACACATTTGACTTTTTGACCTTGGTCTGGTTAACAACAGATTATTTAACAAATAACTGAAAATATCCACCAAACACAATTTTTGGACATGACAATTTACATATTGGCTGAATTCAATTAACCTAATAATTACACAGTAATCACCTTGTATTGTAGTGTCAGCATGCACCAGAATACACCAGAATATTCTATTTAAAATCAATAAAATTTTCTTCTAGGAATGATGCCGCAGGGGACTGGTTTCTGAACTTGCCACCCTTTGCACTGCGCTTTTCATGCCTGCTCACGTTTACGATGAATAGAACAGTCAATCCTGCTAAAAAGTGGTTCACTTCTGTTAGTCCCTAATTGGTCAGAAACTTGACCTGATTGGTTAAAGAGCTGTTTAGGAAATGCCCTGGTGCAGGTTAGTTTGAAGCATAAGCTGCCATGATGATGGCCTAATAAAAAGTGACCCACTGTTGTGTGACAGAAAATTCAGGGTTAGATTAAACTGAGCTTAAAGTTAGCTGGCAAAGCTAGCAACAGGCCCCAGTTGCCTTGTGCATGAAAATATCCAACATGTGCTGAACACCTGCTGCCCAGGATCAGAATTGAATTCCTCTGGAATAGGGTGAATGGTTAGATTTGTTAATGTATGAATTTGTGTATGACGTGATGTGAATGTGTGGGTAGCTGATTTTGTGTGTGTGTGTGTGTGTGTGTGTGTGTGTGTGTGTGTGTGTGTGTGTGTGTGTGTGTGGCAAATTATGAACAACATTGTCATAATCCTTATTTTCATGTTATCTAGTCTTAGCATCTGCATATGTGTATGTACATATGTGGATGACCATACTTCATGATCAACCAGTATTCACTGTTTCTCACCACACTTGCGTCTGAAAAAAAGATATCATGCATGTATGACACTAATACATCCGTCATCTAGGGTGTGCTACAGTAACTTTATCTAAGCAAGGGCTGAGCAAGGGTATCACCATTAAGATGCATCGAACATGAAGCATAGGAGAGGTGAATCTTCCGCTTTTGCTAGGGTAACGCCTCCCCTCCCCCTTTCTGTCTCTTGTCACCTCAGCGCGGGAGCATGGCAGTGGGGAGCAGGTAAAAATCAGGGTAACTAAATATAAGGTAGGTGGAGACGTGGCTGCGGGAGCGGTTGCCGGGGGCGATGGTCATGAGGGAGGTGTGCAGGTGCGAGAGCTGGGCGAAAATGACCCCCAGTGGCAGCAGATTCAGGAAGTGGTCAAAGAACAGCTAGAAAGAGCTGGCATCAAGGCCGAAGGTAGGCCAAAGCGCACACACGCACTTTAAGTACTATCCACCTGTGTGAGTGTGCGGTTTAGTTTAGTCCTTAACTCTGCTTTTGGCTTGGCTTTTTTCCTAACTAACCCTTGTCTTTCCTTTTCTGACCAGCCACTATAATCAATTCTTATGACTTTTGTCTTCTTGAATCTTGCTGCATTCTGTAGATAATGTGCAGTCAGCATTACTCATTGCTTGGAAGTTATTTTTTGAAAGATTTCATGCGATAGCCATTTTAAAATGATTTTAGAAGTTCTTGTAACAAAGTATATAACTTGTCCCCTTGGGAGTGGGTGGACTGTAGCTTTAGTTTCAGCTGAAGTAAATGCTTTGTCTTTGATTTGGTGTTATTACATTACATATTATTGGTGGTATTACAAAATACTAAATGCTGTTATAAAGTGTTTTTCTTCAAGTTGCATGCAATTACACACTTCCACCATAGAGGTCTCAAAATCCCCAAAGCTTAATAGTGCAGCTTTACTAGCCCAGTTCTTTTTGGAGGCAGTCAAGACATGCTGGAATTTGGGTCAAATTTTAAAACACAGTATTGGAAAATGCCTTTTGGGGATTGTTTGTTTGCCAGAGAAATGTTTTCTGTGCAAAGCCAGATACGTGCTTTTAGTTTAATGTGTATATTTGGAATTATTCATTATTTGCAGCTGATTCTGATGATGATTATTATTCCAAAGGGGGGAAAAGGTAATGGAAATTAGAGCTCAGTTGCAAGATTTGCTTCTAGTGTCTTCAAATGCATTAGGATGCTGTGCGTTAAACATTTATTTAGTGTTTGAAGGACAACAGTGATTCATTATTAAAGTACTCCAACACATTTCTTTTCATGAAATTATTTACTGTAACAACTCATTCTTTCTGTCTCATTGTCGTCTCTCATTAACTACCACTTGCATGCATTTTCTCCTTTGCTATCCTTTCTGTACTCATGAAAATGTATATCATTGCTGTTCGTGCAGAGTGAGCAGGGCAAAAGATGGTGTGTAAATGTGGAAGATGAATAGTTGATCTTGGCCTGCATGTATTGCAGTTTCAGGCACAATGGTAATAAAGGTGGTGAGTAAATGATGTGCATATATGATGACAGTAAATGACCAAATTGTGTGCTTGTGTGTATCTACTTCAGGCAAGATTGAAGTAAAGATTTTAACACGTAAAACAGCAGAGGAAGCCGGAGACCAGTGGCTAAGCGAGGAGGATACCAAATCTTTCAGAGAACTGCTCATCAATCTGCTGGTATGTATGTACATATCATGTTAACAAAATGTGAAACAGACTAGCAGCAACAAATGCACCAGCAGATTATCTTACTGACACAAATGCTCTGTTACATAAGACTAAACTCTGCAATTTAAATGAAAATATATGTTTACAATTATATATATGTTGCATTGTTGCATTCTTTTTTTATTAATTAATTAATTCATTCATTCATTCATTCATTTATTCATTCATTCATTCTCAAAATTAGATGATCATTTTATTTTGAACTGGCACAAAAGTCAAAGTCAGATTATTTACCTCACTTTCATTCATTCATGGAGAGATGGTCTGGGCGGTCAATGTATATTTACACATTTATATATAAATATATATAAATTTGAATATCCCTGGTCAGATGACATGTTTTGTTGATTTACTAAGTGAAAATAAGTGAACGTATCTGCTACAGAGAAATTAAAATTACAAATTAAAATAGAGCATTTTTTGGTTAATTTTGGTGCCCAATTTCTCTTCATTAGCTAAACAGATTGGACGGGGGGATTATAAAATATAAAATGTGCCTAAATCTAGCTTTTGTGCAGGCCATTTTTTATTCATGTGTTAAAGTCAACAAATAAACAGTAGGTAAATTTGTGCATTTAAAAAGGTACAGAAGTGTGTTCTCCCTAGAGCCCATATGTCAAACACAAGGCCTACGGGCCAGATCAGGCCCGCCACGCAATCCTATCCGGCCCGCAAAAGTATTTTAATTTTCTCTTAATTTTAGCCCGTTTCACAATAGGCTGCACTACAGTCCCCAGCATGCATTGCAACGTAATGTGCTTCGACTCTTCTACCCCACAGCAATCTATGGGACAGCAGTTACACCTCAATTCTACACAATTCCACGCTAGTCATATCACAAAAAGCCTTTCAAATGCAGTTTAACTGAAATAAACACGTAACATTAACTTAGCAGCTCAGAAATTGAGCCCAAGTCAGCAAAGAAAGGATGCCAGGTGTCTAGTTCAAGCAAATCGGTCAGTTTAAAAGACTAAGCTCCTGGGGATTTTTAAATTTTGAATATTTCAAGTGTCCATGTAATATTTCATGGTCTACTACAAGTGTCTGCATTTTACTGTTGAAGTTTTTGCATATTTTAAATAAACAATGGCCAGTTCGGGTTATTGCACAACATTTATTAGAAATGAAATACATGTTTCTTCTCTGGCCCACAGAGTGATGAGATTTTTTAATATGGTTGAGTTTGACACACTTGCTCTAAAGCATGTGTTATAGGGTAGTGTATTTTCACTTAAAAAGTCAACATATAATTTCACCAGGGGTGCCAAACATTTGTCTGGGTTTTTTTTTTATTTTTTGATTAACATGTTTCCTGAACAGTTCATTGTTGAACTGACCTGGTTGTTGTGGGTCTTTTCTTCTTCAAATTGTTGTGCAGACTGGAGGGACAGAAGAAGTGTACAAAGAGCAAAAGAGGCAGCAGGAGTTGGAGAACAACTATAGATTTGTTTGGGGAGAGAAACAGGACCAGAGTCAGTCTGCAGGAAGTAGCGATTCAGATGAACTGGACTTCTGAAACTTTTTCCCCAGCTATTTTACTTCTTCACATGTCAGAGAGGTAGAGGACATAAACCGTACATTGGAATACAAAAGGACTTTGAACTCTTTAGCAGCTGTTACAGCCCTTGCTCGGACTGCAGTTTTTCACGAACACTGTGTTTGTCCCTTTTGTTCATGTTGTGAGAGTTTGGGTGTAAGGGGCTTAATAAACTATGCTGTGACTGACCGAGTCACATGAAATCTGAGAGTGGTATTAAATCAGTAACACAGGCCTCTCACATTCTAGAAGAATGAATTTCCATATTCAAAGCACCTGTGAACAACATGAATATGTTTATTTTTTTTTTTTTATGACTATACACAAACACACTGAATGTTTGACACAGATGTCACTGTTATGTAACAGTAATCCCTCTCTGCGGTTTCTTGCTGATGCTGCCTACTCCCTAAGCCCATGCTATGCTATTTACATTTGTATGTGTGAGTGTCTGTGTGGCTTAGATATGGTGATATAAAGGTTTCTGGACTGTTAGTAATAGTAATGTCTATTTTGAGAGTGGCTGTGCTTTAGGAATGGATCTGCTAATGACAGCTGCTCTTGGCTACTCATTCATGCAGTTAACAATCTCCTTAGTTTTACTTATTGGTTAATAGATCAGTCACAGACACCTAATGAACAAGAAATTATGTTCTGAATCCATTGCTAATGGTAAAGTTTACTGTAAGAGAACATAAGCCTTCAGAAATCATTAGTTTATTGCACTTTAAATGAATAAGCACTGTTGGGAATATTAACCTTGGCAATGCCAAACAACCAAGACAGACATAGGAGCATGTAGATGACAGGTTCAGAGCAGTGTAATGTTGGGATATGCATACTGCTGACTTGTGCCATCACAAGATATTCAAGTGCAAATATAGTACAAAGTGAACTTTAATAGTATATCGGAATCTATTGCCTGAGCTCCAACCCATTTGTGGACTGCTTAAATATAGACATGGTGCTATGATCCATTCATTTCTAGCATTGTTTATCAGTCATTGCAGCTGAAATTGAGCACTTTAAGCTCAGTGCAGTATTGGCCTCTTCAACTTCAACGAAACTGTAGAAGTTACTGCTGCACTTGGAGATCTTAAATCTTCACAATTTTGAGCTTTAAAGCAGTCTTAATAAAGATTCTCTATTGTGTGATCTTCAGACATTTCAACCCAGTCCGAAAAACTGACCTGCTGGGCTACTAGACCTGGCTAGGCAGGCTTCTCTTCACACATACCTTACCTTGTCCAAACCACGTGTCTGGACAGACTTGACACGCAGACTCCACAAAAGATATGACTGCCATGAATGTGTGATATTTATTTTTTTTCCTAAATGTCTGTCCTCTGCACAGTCCCAGCAGACAAGGGCTCTCTTTGTGTAAACTTTGTGAATAGCTCTTTGGTAGTTTGTACATATGTAATTTTGCTGGAGTGTCTGAATTGCTTGCCCTTAATGGGATCGTGCATATTATGAGTAAAGCTGTATCCAAGCACACTTATTCTCTCAAAGTGGGGCTGAAGTGATTTGATTGGGTAAGTTTTATTAAAGATACGCTCTGTGGTTTTGGAGTGACAAACTGACGAGATGGGTGTTTGTAGGGGAAGCTAAAGGCTCTTTTGAGGCATGGAGTGAGTTATAAAGCCACAAATCAATGGTCAATGATCTGTGAACAGAAATAATTAATTAATGAATTAATAAATAGGTTCATAATGGGCTAGGAAAACCATCTGAAAAAATAAATATTTGTAAATCCAAATCTGATAAAATGTCTGAGAATCAGAGTGTAGCTTTTGATATCAAATACATTTGTAAATTGTTTTAATAGTTAAGATCTGTTCATCCTTGTTGTTCATCGAAGATAATTGCAAATTCAATTCAATATCTTGTAGTAAAAAAGCAGAAGATGGACTAAAACATCTATTTGTTAATTAAATCACCGCAAAAATAAAGAGAAACATGTTTGTAATCATGAGTGTCATCACCTTTTGTGTTCATTGAAGGGGAATTCCACAGATTTTTCAAAATATCTGCATAATTAAAGGGTTATGATTTAAACAATATCTTTCAGGGTTGTTTGATGTGAAATGTGCCATTCTACAGAAACATAGTCAGAGTTGTTCATAGCAGTTGTGATAGGATGTGTGGTAGCTTTTAGAGGTCTACCAGATAGCAATTATATGATGTAATGTCTGTAATAGCTGCTGTCCTAAATTCAGTCCTAACTAAAGCTGTCATGGTGACTAAGCAAATAGCATAAGATTTCAGACTTAAGATGTTTCTGTAACAAGGCCCCAGGTTTTTAGGCCTCTTCCCATTTGGAGAAATAGGAGCCTGCCCGTTTTACAGAAACTTGCCATCTTTTTGTCTTAAGATCTCACAGGTCAAGATAAGATTTTTCACAAATTCGTATCACAGAAGCAAATCTTGTCTTAGTTTAGGAATGTTTTATTTTACGTATTTACCTCTGTTTTGCTTCTTATCTCAAGTTAAGAAACCTAAACTACTCAATCGACAGTCAACACAGTCATGTCTGTTACTAAGCAACCGACCATAAGCGCACAGCTGAAACGTCAGCACGTAATCAAATAAAAGATGATAAAATATTACTGTTACAGTTGCCGTTACTGATGTAAAAAGGGTCAAAACAACACTACAGAGCAATAAACTGGATATTATCAATACTGTGACAGCGCCGCCTGCTGATAGAGCATCGCTGCGCCCCTGATTCGGTTTCAATTTCACAGAGCATTTAATTGGACTGTGAGCCGTGCTACTTTATTCTTAATCAACATTCACCACCATCACTGCAATATTTTATCTATTTTATCTGCTCCATCTTAACCCATTCATTTTGGACTCCCTCTAGCGTTTGAGAAACCCAGAAGACATTACAGAGTGTTAATTCTCCTCACTACAAGTTCTCTGGTACGTTACAGCTACCATTGTAAAATTGAAAAATGTCAAAACATAACTAAAGTGCAATAGACTGGAGACTGAGAATATTGTGACGCCCCCTGCTGTTTATCAGAGCATCGCTGCTCTGCAGTTTCAGCGTCTATTTCCCAAAAGCTTTAGTTGACTGTGCTAACGTTATTCCTCCTAATAAACAGCTACCAGCAACTTTGTCTTCTCATTATTCACCGCCACCACTGTAATATTTTATCAGACGAGTTTTCATCAACATTAACACATGGAGGCAATGAGATTTTTAAAACGTGAGTTAGAAAAGAAAAACACCTCACAAGTAAAACCACCAGTTTTCACTATAAAAAATAAATGTCATTGCAAGCAGTGAACTATGCTGACTGTCACAGCTGCCTAAAAGGGACGGTCAAAACAGTTAGGACACCACTAGGGTTTGTCCTACAGTTAGGACGGTGTTTAGGAAATTTTACATGGCTAGGATGTTTCCCTAATACTGTTTTCTTATTTAGAGTTAGGATAAGATAACGAACTGTTGTTCTGTAACAACTTCTCTAACTGAAGTTGTCACGGTGACTAAACAGATGAGATTTCAGAGATAAGATGTTTCTGTTATATGGCCCCATATCCTGTATGACTAGAAGTAACTGCCGGTGGCGTTGCCAAGATGGCCACAAAGCGAACAGACCTTGCTATTATGACTTCGGTGTATGTACAAAATCTGTCATACTTCATTTTTATATGGCCATATATGACCTCTAGAATTAGCTGGTCTGTTTTTGTTACTGGACTGGACTGAGAATGTAAAATGACTGTGTTCTGACTGGTTGCCATGTAGGCTACAGTGTGGTCAAAAAGCCGTCCAGGCTGGAACACTCGTACAACTTCAGGCTGAACAGCTGGCATGAACCATACTGGTGTGTAAATAGTGACGTTCGTGACATCACAAAAACAAGTAAATCACACTGGCCGCTTTGCAGTCATTTCTGAACTGTATGGCCTGGAATTTGGAATGGATTTTGGGCACTTTGGCACTTATAAATACTACATTAAACTCTTTATTTCAAAAGTGAGAGGAAAACTAGTTTTTCCACTGTATGGGTGCTTTAAACACTCAGGTCAAGTCCAAGCGCTGGATCTACGCATGCGCAGTGCGACCGTGACGCAGGCGCTTCCTACCCTCAGGTGCGCTGATGCGAAGTTGAGCAGAAGTTGATCGTGTGCGCGGGCGTTACCTCAGGAGCTTTAGACAAACATTCATTTGTATGTCGACATTGTGTTACGGGACGATGAAGAAATGTCATCCAGGAGAGTAAACACGTTAGGCGTGTTCTCGACACGCATTTTACACCGTAAACGAATCGCTTTCTTGCTAAGCTAGCTAGGCTAACTAACGTCCGGTCCGGACCTCATACTGTTTAGGGCAGCGCGCGGGTGGCAAACAGAGCATTTAATGAGCGGTAAACAGAGGATGTTCAGTCGAAATCTGGGTGAATCGGTATGTTTTTTGTGGATCCTACACCCCGTTTTGGGAGCTTGAACAGCTGACTGTCGAAATCTGGAGCCTGTTTGACGTTAGCTAGCGTTGGCGAAGCTGCCCGAGTTGGTCATGGAGCCGAGGCTGGAGCTCTCAGCAGCGCTTCAGATTGTCACTGAGACCCGGAGCCCGGTAAGATTCGCCACTTTATAAGTTTCAGTGACACATTATCAGTTTCTTTAGAACTAGTTAAGGTAACTGAATACCAGGCAAACTAGTATGAGTCAAAGGAGGGTTGAGCACATTGAAGTCGCAGACATTTCGCTGCTCAAGTGGACATCGCCATAGTCCTTATTCTGATAAAATAGTAAGCCCAGTAAAGGCTTGTTTTAACGTAGCTAGCTAGCTAGCTAACATATTTATCTGTATTGGCTGTCAATCCTTTGAAGGCTACTTTTAGCCAGACGCACAGATGAACAGCGATCATTCTCTTCAATGACCATTTGCTTTAAAGCCAGGATTAGAGGCTCATAAATGTCTTTTTCAGCACCTCATTAAAGAAGGGAATTCAGCTAGTTTTAAAATATATACAGAGAAAAGTGAGTGAACTTAGTTTTTCAGTATTTTAGAACTGCGAAGTTAAATAAGAGAGGAACTGGCGTACTTAGTTAAACTTAGTAAGCGGCATCCGCCTCCAAGCGAACTCAACCGTCAGGTTAAACACGTTTCCGTTAACTTTGACAGTCTTTTTGTCATTAATGTGAATGTGAATGGTGGCCAGGGTTGGGCAGAACTCCTTGAAAAAGCAAACATTAGTGAAAACTTAATACACGATCTTAAGTGTATTTAGTAACGTATTCCATTACAGTACATAAGATAGTAACATGTTCAGGCTTAGTTTAAAATACATCTTGGTAAGGAACATGAGATTTCTTTATTACTTAATTCATAATTCACACTGTTTCTCTCTGTTACTGGTTGGCAGTTTTCTTCATGTGCAGTACTGTAAAAATGTCTTCTATTTTTGAATATTTGTCACACTTGAATGTTTCAGATCATCAAACTCATTTTTGTTTTAGACAAACATAATCAGGTAAACAAAACATGCTGTTTGTAAACGGTTTAATCTTTTGAAGGAAAAATGCTGTTCAGCCCAACCTGGACCCATGTGAAAAAGTAATTGCCCTTTTAGCTGCTAAATCAACCAGTTAACTAAGTACAGTTGACTGCTGGGTTCCATTTCACTGGCTACACCCAGGCAAGATTACTGCTAGAAGGTCTCAAAAAGCAGCACATGATGCCAGTTCTAAAGAGATTCAAATATAGGTGAGAAAGTCTTTGAAATCTACAAGTCTGGATTGGGTTACAAAACCATTGCAAGGCTCTGGAACTCCAGTGAACCACAGTGAGAGCCATTGTCCACAATGGAGAAAACTTGGAATAGTGGCAAAGCTTACCAGGAGTGGCTGGTCTACCAAAATTTTTCTAAGAGCGCATCAACAACTCATCCAGGAGGTCACAAAACAACCCAGATGAACATCTAAAGAACTGCAGGCCTCATTGCCTCTGAAAAGGTCATTGTTCACAATCCCACAATAACTAAGACACTGGGCAAATTTGGCATCAATGGGAGAGTTGCAAGGCACAAACCACTGCTGACCAAAAAGAATAGATCTAGATGTCCCCCAAGACTTTCGGGATAATATTTTGTGGACTGATGAGCCAAAGGTGGAACTTTCTAAAAGACGTGGGTCCCGTTACATGTGGTATAAAACTAACCCCACATTCCACCGTAAGAGCGTCGTACCAACAGTCAAACCTGGTGGTGGTAGTGTGATGGTCAGGGGCTGCTTTGATCTGGATGACTTGTCATAATTGATAGAACCATGAATTCTGCTCTCTATTCGAAAATCCTGAAGGCGAATGTCCACCTGTCACTTGGTGACCTAAAGCGCAGTTGGGTTGTGCAGCAGGATAATGATCTGAAGCACGCAAGCAAGGCCAACTCTGAATGGCTCAAAAGAAACAAAATAAAGGTTTTGGAGTGGCCGAGTCAAAGTCCTGACTTGAATCCCATTGGAATGCTGTGGCAAGACCTTAAACAGGCAGCTCGTGCTCAAAAACCCATCAGTGTAGCCAAATTAAAACTATTCTGCAAAAAAGAGTGGGCCAGAATTCCTCCACAGTGATGTAAAAGATTTGTTGCAAGTAATCCAAGCATTTGATTGCAATTGTTACTGGCAAGAGTGGCACAACCAGTTATTAGGTATAGGGGCAATTACTTTTTTACCTGGGTGATATAGGTTTTAAAAAATCTTCAGTAAATGGAATGATTAAAAGCTGCATTTTGTGCTTGTGCTGTCTTTATCTTACATTAAAGTTTAATTAAATGATTTAAAATATTTAAATGTGACAAATTAGAAGAAATAGAAGAAATCAGGAGAGGGGCAAATACTTTTTCACAGCATTATAAGTGCCCTGTTAATACATTTAAGGAAAAAATTGTTTATCAGTTAAATGAAGTTCCAAAAATTCTCAACTTTTTGTCTCCTTCAGTTCACTGCTGCTTCCACAATCCCTGATCAGTACAACACTGATACTAAACTTATCACTTGCAGATATATCCACCACTGAGGTGGTTATTAGTTTGATCTGAAATGAGCTCAGTAACACTGAGATTAATAACTGATCAATCTGAAGCTGTCAATTGAGGCCATCTTTAGAATTTGATTAATGAGCATGTTTGCTTCATGCGGTACACTGACTCTAAATAAAAGAAATAAACATTGATGGTGTTTCTTTTGAAGATTGTAATTTAGTGAGTGAGAGTTCCAAAAAGTTTTTTTCTTAAAAATGTAAAAAGTAACTGTAATCTGAATACTGCTTTTACAAATTGTTACTTGAAAAAAATACAGATACTTCACTTTGGTTACATCACAACCCTGGTGGTGCCCAGTTTTTCATTACACATCACATTTTACTCCATTTTACAAGAAATGCAATGTAAAAGTCAACCTCAAAGCAGAGTTGACCATATTATTGAGTTCATGTCATGGTCAGCGTGATTCACCATATCATTTAAAAGACCAAATTCTTTCATTCTAATTTTTGATCATGCCACCCTGCACCAGCGAGCAGGAGAAAGAAATATTGACTAATAAAAATGTCACCCTCCCACCACCTTCACCTGTCATGAGCAAACACTCATGGAAAATGTGATATGATTCATGTTGACTTTAATCATTCTCTCTTTATTTCTTTCATTCATTTTTCCTGTACAGTCACCGTGAAGACAGAGTTGCGAGGTAAAAGTAATCAACATGAAAGCTCTCGGTGCCCGGTCCTCGTTCTACGTGGGCTTTGTAGTGGGCACTTGCACCCTGTATGTGTTCCTACATCAGGTGTGGTTCGCTAGAAACTTCTCTCCCCAGCAGCCTGATGGCCTGGAGAAAACGGCAGAGGAGATAAAAATGCTTGAAGAGGAAGAGAAGAACTGGAAGAAAGAGAAATCAGCACTCTTCAACCTCAACCATCCACATCACACAGGTAATACATGGGGAAGCCTGCCAAAGGAGAAACACTGTGATGTTCGTTTATTTGCATTTCCAAAACTGATATTACAGGTGCATGCAAAAGGCAACGATGATCTCTCTGAACTCTCTCACCAGCCATATTATTTTAACTGTGTGCTTTGAGCATCTTGACAAGCTGCAGTTCTAGAAGAATGTTTTTGTGGGCACGTTTATGAATCCAAGTATTCATGTTATCCAACAAAAGTAAAAATATTGGTATAAATAAATGCAGCTGTATCTTTAACTATGTCACGCTATCAAGTCATTAGCATGTTTTGAATGTATTGCAAAAGGTATTGCAGTATCCTTGTAGTACTGGTGTTTTTTCACATTGCACACCTTGACGGTTTTCATTGTTACATCATGGAGTATTTTCATTGTGTGCTAGGAATGGCCTAACACACAGTGTGGAAGACTTGTTTGTGCACATTATTACATTGTCCTGATTGCATTCTAAAAGAACCGTCTGTTGGGTAGATACTGGGTCTCAGCCAAAGTCAATCATTTGGGCAGTTAGTCAAGTTGATTTTCACCACCCACGCCTACATTCTGTACATATGTGAGACGTGCTGATGTGGCTGCAGTTTTGAGCTCAGTGATGGACTTTGCACTGTTATTTTCTGTTGTAAAGGCCTCAGTTATAATGATCTTCATAAAGTGTACACAGTAATCCTGGAGACTTTGATCCCCACCTTCTCACAAGCTTGGTGTGCTACTTCATGCTAATTTGACTTTATACAAGTCACTGGGATTTTTTGCCTTTTTTTTGGCACACATACACTGATGCATAGAACTGATTAATTTAGACAAGACTGTCTGTTGCTATAAGCAGTTGCAGTTTGCTTATGGCCACCAAGCCACATGAGTATAAAGATATCGATGATGACTTAAACACGCGCCCACACACACATACACAGACACACACACACACACACACACACACACACACACACACACAGACACACAGACACACATATATATATATATTTTAGATTGAAGATAATTTTAGACAATTTTGTTAACTATTGTTTTATCATGATTCTTAGCATTTATTAAACCTAAAGGGGTATTTATGTCATGTATTCTGCAGTATTCTGTAATGTTAATTGGTGTTAATATCACCTGGAATCCTTGTGGTGTCAGCCAATCCTGTCTGCTAGCCTAGCCACTGATCTATAGAGTAATAGATACAACCAGAATGTGGTTAGTGTAACTCATACCTTAGTAGCCCAAGAAATCATAAAGCATATAGAAAATGCTTATTCTATCTGTTTTCAACACAAAACCTTTTTTATGCTTTCAGCCAGAGGTATGGTATCTAGATAACATGAAGTTATTACATGAAAAGGTTATGAATAATATACGATGAAGCTATTTTTTATTTTCTCCATTCACTTTTAGATGAGGACAGCACAGTGGCAGACACTCTCTACAAGCAAGTCCGTATTCTTTGTTGGGTGATGACTGGTCCCAACAACCTGCAGAAAAAAGCTCGCCATGTGAAAGCCACATGGAGCCGTCACTGTAACATAGTGGTATTCATGAGCTCTGTGGATGATCCTGACTTTCCTGCAGTGGGCCTTAACACGAAGGAGGGCAGAGACCAGCTGTATTGGAAAACCATCCGTGCTTTCCACTATGCATTGGAAAAGCACGGTGATGACGCAGACTGGTTCCTCAAAGCTGATGACGACACTTACGTGGTAGTGGACAACCTGCGGTGGGTCCTGTCTAATCACTCCCCAGATGAGCCTATTTATTTCGGCAGACGGTTCAAACCCTACACTAAGCAGGGCTACATGAGTGGCGGAGCTGGTTACGTGCTGAGCAAAGAGGCTCTGAAGAGGTTTGTGGAAGGTTTTCGCACCAAAGTCTGCACACACACATCTTCAGTGGAGGACCTTGCTTTAGGGCAGTGTATGGAGAAGATGGGAGTGCAAGCAGGTGATTCTAGAGACACGCTGCACAGAGAAACCTTCCATCCATTTGTACCAGAGCAACACCTTACTGGCAAATTCCCCAAGAGCTTCTGGTACTGGAACTACTGCTATTACCCCATTGTAGAGGTGAGAGGACTCATACTTAAAGTAATACTTAAAAAGATTTTGTCAAACATCACATCATCACACCCTCACAAGTGATCAGATCACATATTAAGGAGGACAGAAGGGCTCTGTATGGAGAGGCTTTTACTGTGGTTAGATTTAGAAGCAGGCGATGTGGTAAAAGGTAATATCACAAAACTTCAGTAAGTTTTTTACAATACATGGTGCGTCATGATATTTATTTTTTCTGACATCTGATAAATTAGAACACACAAAGTAGTGCCACATTTTAAATATACTATCGAAAACTATGGATCCAGTTACTTGTATTTAACATTTTAAACACTGTGCTGCACTAAATCCTATTAAAAAGTACTGTCAGTATCAATGCCATGTTCAGAAAAGCATGTTGTTGCATATTGTGATGGAATTTATCACAATTACAATAAATATTGTCATATTGCCCAGTTCTAGTTAGATTGGTTAAATTATTGTCAAAGCCTTGTTTTTTGTGGCTAGTGGTCAGTCCACAGGAAATTAATGCTTAGAATATTGCATCAATCGGCCTGTTTTAATCTATAATTCTGATCAGTTCAGACCTGCCATGTCATCCTTACATACTTTTGTTATTTTATTTAATTTATTACTTTTACGTTGTTAATAAGGATTAATACAGTCAGACTCAACCAAAATCATCTTAATCCAGCATCTTGTTGTTGTGGGAAATAGTTCACTACATGAACACACTGTGGAGCAAACTGCATTGCTGACTTTCCTGTGAACCTCTTTCGTACCTGCTTATAAATGCCTGTAATGCCTGTAGTTGTATTTTGCTTTCGGTAAATCATAGAGTATCAGATTGGATTGGTGCCAGCTACGTCATTGTTTGCAGCATATTGATTATAGTATAAAGTACAGTAACTTGAAATTTGACAGCCACTGAAGTTCATTTAGTCCCATTTTAACAATTTCTAATTGCCCCTTAATCCAAAACATTTTGTAAACAATTAAAACAGAATGTTATTGTTATGGGTAAACAGGTACACTTTATGTAACATGAGATACAATGTCAATGTCAAGGTCATGAACAACTACTTCAGCCCTGCCCCCATTTCATACCAGTAGGGAACACTCTATCTTAATGAAAATGGTGATTTGGATTATCCGGTGCGTTTTGAGCGTTTCTCTGCACGCTGAGGTTTAGGAATTGCCTTGTATAATTTTGTTCTGGCTTGTGTGCAAAAGTGTTTCTAGAGAAAGGCAGGTCATTCTGAGGTCATTTAAACATGGATCCTGCACCCAGCGTTGCTTTTCATCTGTGAATGAAATAGTTTGTTTAAGGTCTTTTGAAGATCTTTATTTCTTTGTTTGTTTTTATACGCACATGCCAGGACATGGTGTTCCTTTACAAGGACGCGCATATCAAGAAAACAGCACTGATAAAATACAAAAGCTCTCTTTGCCACATTGACATCAGCTGCACTGGCACTGTAATGGATTTGTGCCGTCTAGATCTGTGCTGGTATTTTTAACCCACAGATGAACTAACTTGGGTATTGCTTGGTTGATATGGGACCTAGAAAGCATGGCATAACTGATGCAAGTTCTTGGCCAGTTAGGTTTCATTTAAATATGAAGCATAAAGTAGCTGTCTAAATATATAACTGTCGATGAATGTTTCTTTAGACAGATCGGAATCGTTTTTATGTGTAGCTGAACCTTGTTTCTGATTTGGACTTGACTGATATATGAATGTCACCTTTTAACCAAATAATAGCACAGTGGTGTCTTTAAACACTCAAACTGGATAAAGATGCAAAAACCATAATGTGATTAGAGCATTTTGCCTTTTGAAATCTTAAAGTCTAAACATAACCTTGCAGAGTATCTCAGTGGAGACTGTTTATATGATGTTTCATCAGTGTAGCAGTGCTTACAAGCATAGAACCACTTTGGTGTTGTACCAGTTGTTCCAGTACGCTTGAAGTCATTTCATGATTTTTTTTTAAACATATAGAAATTTGCATTTAGGGCTGTAGGCATTAGTTGTATATTGTTCTGAATAACACTACCATATCCTGACCTGTGTTTAGTCCTCATTCTTGATTAAACAAATGTTGAAAGAACTGCACACACAGTCATTGTGCTAAGAAAACTTTGTGATTATAAGCTATTTGAATTGAGGCCAGTGTTCATCCTAGTTGGCGATGCATTTAAAGAAACCAGATGCTGTGTTTGATTATGCTCTTACCTTTATCACGACTTTACAAACCTGGATGGCTTGCTGTTGACTCTGCCATTTCCCTGCTTTTCCGGTTCTCTAGCACAGTAACCTAAATATAGTTTTCTTCAAAGTCAGAGGCCCTAGACCCACCATCAGGCTTTCTCTTTGTTCTTCTTTTATTTTCCAGGGCCCTCAGTGTTGTTCAGACCTGGCAGTGTCTTTCCACTATGTGGATCCACAACTGATGTACCTGTTGGAGTACTACACTTATCACCTACGTGCCTTCGGCTACCGTTATCGCTATCAGCCCCCCGAGCCTACAGGCCTTCAGGACTCCAAGTCTTCAGACAGAGGAGCGGAGCATCCACACATGGACGAGAAACAGGAAGCAGGCATTCAAGAAGTGGAGAAGAAAGCCCATCCACTTGAAAAGAAGCTATAGCAGCCTGTTGGAATGTTCTCTAATTACTTTTGACCTTGGGAGTCATGGAATTTTGAAAGTAATTGGTGTCTTTTTGAAATGGATTAGCATTCCTTGTTTTTCCTTTTTTTCCCCCCAAATACACTTGAATCATGTGCTGAAAATCTGCTCCTGAACCACATAGCAGAGGGGTGTGTGTGTGTGTGTGTGTGTGTGTGTGTGTGTGTGTGTGTGCATGCGAGCTTTAGTGAGAGATTCTTCATAATATGGTGACCAAGGGTCTTTTACATTGGGTCATATTTGTATATGGCTGTGTAAATGCAAGCACAGACTACTGTTGAATGAAGGCTTACAGATTTATAGTGCCTCCCGCGTATGTGTGTATGTGTGTGTGTGGGGTGGTTCAGGTGCGCATAGGCTTGTCTTTGATGCCTTAGTGACGTATGTACATGCGTCACTTGTGAACAGACTTACATATGCCTTGACCAAATGAACAGCACCTAACTCCATTTATTCCTCTGGCTTCTGCTTGGAGGTAATTTGAACCCGGCTTGTTAATCTTCTGTCAGACTTGTACGTTAAAGTACAAATGGTTACCAGACACCTTTACAGGTCTGTTAGTATCACTTAAGCGTGCATATAAGAAGTATGGATAAATCATTGTTTGACCTCTGTGGCTAGGGATGTTCCAAACTGACTATCCGCTGATGCTGTGTTTGATCTGATATTTGTATTTGTAAGTAATGCAACCACACAATGCACAGGTTATGTAAATTTAAAACTACTGTACTTTAGACTGCCAATTACTTTAAAATGCTACAGTAAAATCACATTGCGCATAGTGTAACACACCCTGAATTGAGAAGTGTGTAGTATTTTGAGCTACACTAACTAAAGTTCTTTGGCCTGTAACCGACTATCATCACTCGGCAATTAATCATTAACCGGCAAGCCTAGAATGAATGATGCGCTCCATCAAAATATCAATTGAAGACCATATTGTTTGAGTAAATTTGATTGGCTAAGCCTCATTCAAAGCCTTTGTAAAATAATTGATATTATATGAGCGCAGACACCAATTGTCAAGTCTGTATTAATGCACCAAGATATTAAAAAGTGTTCCTTTTATGGGCTGTGGAATGAAGTACTGATAAGTGGGGCCAAAGCTTCAGCATGTATAATAAAATAAACAGCCCAGATCAACCCTTATCACTCACTACTAGTTAAAGTTAAAATGAGTGTAAATGACTATGTCTAGATTTGGCTCAGTGTATCTTAGTAGCTCTTGAAAGCTGTTGCTGTCCACTACGTATTCTCTAAAATTGTGCAACAGCGTGCATCACATTCTCTCAGAGATCATGGATGAAATATTTGTCTGCTGTTGATATGATATATAAGTGTAGTTGTGCGATTGTCCTCTCAAAGTGCTCCCAAATACCACTGTTCTTAGTTGCGTCACTCATTTTTTAGTACTATCTAGTGAACCAGTGGTCTATCGTATCGTCATTCATGCAATTCAGAAACATTCCTCAACTTGAATGTTGAACCCACCTATTCAAATAGGAATTGTTTATTGGAAATGCATTGCTTAAATTAACGATTTTTAACCGATAACATTGGTTTATGTGTTGATTAGTGTTTTTTTGCTTTTTTAAATCACTTTTAGTTCCTCGCTTCAGACATTTAACCTGCTTGTTAACAGTGCCTCACTGCCACCAATCATAGAAAATGCCCACTTCTGACATTTCTGCAACATTTAGTGTGAATACTGACGAAGGAATTTTATTTTCAAATTAGCTCAAATACCAGTTTTTCAGAGTGGGGCGGAACATCCCTAGTTATGGTTTCTGTTCGTGTTCTTTTCCCAGTCTGTGTCTGGTCAGTCGTAAGGATGCCTAAGCCTACTGCAAAGCCTGCTCCTCTCCTCTTTTGTGCGTTTGTATTGCGGGGGGTGGATTAGAGAACAAGAGTAGTACATAGTAACTGTCCCAACCGGTCTCACCAGTCACTTTACTCACCGTTGTAGATCAGGAAGGCATGTTGAGCCTTTGTAACTTTAAGAAAAACAATATTGAGCACATTTAATCCATGTTAAGCCTTTTGGGGGAAGCATTTTATTTACTGCTCTTATGCTGTTCACCGCCCAGTGTAAAGTCAAGATGATGTCGTAACCTCTATCCTGCTCCTTTGTTTCTACACCTCTGCCACGTGGCATAGCTAAATGAAAGCTTACAGGAGAAAGTCCATGAGGGAAAATTAGTCTCGTTTCATGTATTTTAAAGGATTATTTTTCACTGCTCTGAATTTGCGATGATGATAATGAGAGATAATGGTGAAAATTGAGAGTTGTGGCCTTTTAAAGTAGAGGCTACTCTGTTTTACATACTGTGAGTACTGCAGCTTGTGCCTTTTAGAACTCAACCTATTGCCCACACTTGCACCTTACCATTATTGTTAATGTTTGACAGTGAGCAATATTAGTTTGCCGATTGATGCTCTACTGGGAGAAATGTCAACATGGAAGTTTAAAACAAACATCTTTTTCTCGTTAACTGACAAACACCTTGCCAAGAAGCTAGCTGAATATGAATCCTGAATAATGGTTGCCTTGTGCCTCACCTCTTGGCTTGCTTGACTGTCTGATAGTCTACCTATTTGCGTATGTGCTCATCCATGACATTTCTGTCGACTCTAACGTCCACCACCGTTCAACCACCTTCAGTTGTTTCCGAGTCTGTTTACCTTTTCTCCCTTTTCTTTTATGAAACCAACGGAAAGGACTGTAAGATCTTGCTCCGTAATTGAAGTGTTTACAGTTACTGGTGAGTTCAGAGGCAACAGTGATGGAGTGTGATTGATAAATGGAAGAATGTTTTGTCTGTCTGCACTATATTACTTTTTATTATTTTTCATTCAAGTAGGGCCATTCAGATATCAAGGCAAAATGCTACAACAGAAGTTTTGTTTTAAATACGAAACCACTAAAGTTCTGTGGCCACCTTCCATGAGGAAGGTCCTCATTGAAGGAATGAAGGGGAAATAAAAGAATTAGATGAAAGCTCACACTTAGCTCTTTGATGTCCAAGCAAAGTAAACTTTAAACTTGAAGTGATTTTATAAATGTAAGCCAAATCAGCATATATTGTTATTGTAGCTTATGATTATATAGTTTCTGGAAGGAATTTTTCCTACTTTTCTTTCTTTTCATTCATAAGATTTGAAGATGTTTATGGCCCATTTAACACTATATATGATTTGTGCATGAAATGATCAGCAGCAGAATATTGTTTGGGGTGGTAGTGATCAGTTCCTTCAAGTTGCATAACACTGTGCAGTGGCACAACCCGTGTGAATAGACACATAAGCCATGCATACCTGAATCCTTCCAGCCCTGCATGACTGAGTCAGTCAAGCTGTGCTGCAGGTGACAGTTTATTTCATGAACAAATAAATATTCACTCGTTTGTAGGGTAAAATCAAAGGGGTGAATCTAAATGGCCTTTTTCAGTAATGTTTAATGTTACAGGTGCAGCAGAGCTTTCTGATTGATGATGAAAGCCTTTTATGGGTTGTAGGAATCTGGGGAGTGTGTGTGTGTGTGGTGTGTGTGGGGTTGGGTTCAGCAATCCTCGGCCCTCATCGACACCCTCTGTATGTGCTTCCCCCTGAGGGAGTTGGGGTGACGTGTGGAGATTCCTGTTACTCTGATGACTGAGAAGACTTAGGAGAACATTGAGACCCACAGTGCTTCTAATGCCACGCCTGCTTTTTACTCTGAATTATCATGTATGTGTTTCTTGCTCTCTAATCCAAAGGTACAGAGGTCCCTTCCTCTCTGATTTGTGTGTGTAAAAGGGAATTATGTATGGTTATTTCAGAGCAGTCTTTATTTATAGAATTAAGAATGACTGGTGTGAACAGTTCATGGGCGAAAAAGTGAAGTAAAATGACCAGCATATTAAATAAAGACTTATTTTACTGTACTTTTGTTTGTTCTTTCCCATTTAGCATAATCTCTATCTGCTTTATCTGTAGCACACAGTTGATTACCATGGACAGTGATTTTAAAGCGTTTCCCTGTATGTAGTAAAAGAACGGAAAAGTCAGTCATTTAAGCATTTAAAATAAAAGGCAATGGGCTGATGATTTAGCACTTGTTCACTGGCTTCTACAGTAAGTGCATTTGAAGTGTTTTTCTGTTATTTTCTGTGGTAGTTGACCATAGGCTGCAGATACAGCAGACAGAGATTAATTTGAAAAATGAAGCATTAATTTGAAGTATTCCTTTCAAATGGTTTGCTTTCATGAAGAATTTTGATAATAGCTTATAGCAGGTTGGTATTCAAGTTGGGCCAGATGACCCTGGATCTTGTATATGTGATCATGGAAACCATCTTGCCTTAAACTTGAAAATCACTACAGTAGATAGTGTAGTTAAAATGGAATACATTCATTATTTAGACAGTGTAGGTTGAGGACTTTTTACCACCATACAGATACAGAAATCCATTTCAGGAATAAACAAAAAAAAACGTCTTATCTGAAACTGCTGAATGGTCCATTGCACACCAGAAAACCTATCAGGAATTTCTCTACATTTAGTTAAATATACACAATAACATGCCACAAATAATAAATATATCAAACAGGTTAACATATGTAGCTCTCATGTCAGGTTTTCCTTGTCACGCAGATGTATTTCAAGTGATGAGTAATGGCTTCACACAGCACGTCGAAATCTGCATGAAGGACAAACGTAAGTAAAAACAACGTACAAGTATAGGATCTGCCCAAACATGAGTTCTGCAGCTACAAAGCTCTATGATTAATAATACTGATGAAGTTGAAATATCGTAACAATTTGACACAGGGTAAATACTAGGACTAAATCTAAAGCAAATGTTCCTGGAATTTGTATTGCTATTACTACTGTTACTGATTACTATTTTTACTGTTACTACTATGATTGCTACTATTACTATGACTGCTACCATTAATGACTACCACTATTACTGACTTCTGTTACTGTTACTCCTATGACTACTGTTACCACTACTGACTACCACTATTACTGACTTCTGTTACTGTTACTCCTATGACTACTGTTACCATTACTGACTACCGCTATTACTGACTTCTGTTACTGTTACTCCTATGACTACTGTTACCATTACTGACTACCGCTATTACTGACTTCTATTACTGTTACTCCTATGACTACTGTTACCATTACTGACTACCACTATTATTGACTTCTGTTACTGTTACTCCTATGACTACTGTTACCATTACTGACTACCGCTATTACTGACTTCTGTTACTGTTACTCCTATGACTACTGTTACCACTACTGACTACCACTATTATTGACTTCTGTTACTGTTACTCCTATGACTACTGTGACCATTACTGACTACCGCTATTACTGACTTCTATTACTGTTACTACTATGACTACTGTTACTATTACTGATTACCACTATTATTGATTTCTGTTACTGTTACTACTATGACTACTGCTACTATTACTATGACTGCTACTATTACTGGTCCTACTATTACTATCACTGTGACTACAACTGTTGCTGCCATGATTACTGCTACTATTACTATGACTGCTACTATTACTGGTCCTGTGACTACAACTACTATTACTGACTACTACTACTATAACTACTACTATTGCTACTGCTACTATTACTATTACTACTATGACTACTAATACCAATACTATTACTACTACTATAACTACTAATACCAATACTATTACTGCTACTGCTATTACTAAAACTACTACAATTGCTACTGCTACCATTACGGTGATTACTACTATTACTGCTTCTACTAATACCAGTACTACATTGTTAGAGATAAAGGTACTGTGCAAGTACATTTTTCATTCATCAAGGTACAAACAATGTAAATGTACCCTCAAAGGTATAACAGTGCTTTTAAAGTCTAGTTCAAGTCCAATCCAAAAGTCCGGGACAAGATGATGAGTCAATACAATTTAGAAAATATAATTTCAATGGATTACAGTACAATTAAGTTCCCTGACTAAAGGTACTGAGATGTACCCTTGAGGCTACCACCCCAGTGACAAGAGGGCTACTGCCCCAGTGACAGTTTCATACCTTTATTTCTGAGAGTGTACTACCACTGTGACTAGTACTACAGCTACTACTTCTACTACTGCTATTAATAATTTTAAATCATTTAAATTTAAATTATTTAAATCAGGGTAAATGTAACTATTACTGTCTTGGATTATAAAGGGTAATTCCAGGACCGTACTCCCATGCAAAAGACCAAGTATGATATTTCTTGGTTCTTCTTTGTGGATTCTCAAAAACTCTTAATCAACAATCACCTGAGCTTTCTGTTTTTCATGATGAAGCTGCCTCTTCTGTCTCCTCTCCATGGAGGGGTACCTGTATTAACACACAACCACAGTAAGCAATTACACAACAAAAAACAAAAACAAAAAGGTTAATGGCTCCAAATGGTCGCAGTTAACCAGACCACTAGGTGTCAGTATTTCCACTCAACCGCACTGAGCTTCAGTTGATCCATTCATTGGCAGCATTTCATCCGCAGTAATGCTTTTTCCAGTGAACAGATTTTTGTTAATCCTGCCCCATCAGTCTGTCCTGCTCTCACTTACACACGTACACACACTCTTATTCAATTCACCTGAGTCTGAGCTTCTCCGACCCAACAGTCCAACAAAGATGTCATCCATGTCCCCTACAGCAGATGTTTTAAGCATTATTCTTGCACTCTTTCAAACATCTGTTAACTGGATTAAGACTTTTCAGATATGATGAGAGAACAACCACCTACTTCTGAGCTGTGGCACAGCATCTGCACCTGTAAAATAAAGACAATCAATCAGACACCAGCAAATCAGTCTGAGTAGAATATCATTACCACAGCTGAGATGATACGTAATGGTCATTAATGTGCTAAACTATGTGGTCCAGAAATTGCAAGTTTCTATATTTATCAAAGCAATTTCCAAGCCTCTCTCACCTGTGCTCCTTCTGCCCATTAGGCCAATGAAGCTGTCATAGTCTACGTCATCATATTGTCTCTCCACACGCCCAGACAGGGAGCCAGCACTGTCCTGTGCACAACGGACACAGAGAGGTATTACAAATCTAAGCTGAGGTTCGTAATGTGCTAAAACAAAAGGATCCCTGAAAATTACCCAAGGAATACAGTGAAAGACTGATATTTCAGTTTTAGTTCAATATCAGTTAAAACCACTGTGTTACTGATTACATAGCAAAGCTGAATTTATTGTACAGAACTTTATTGGTGAACAGACATTACTAATCTAATGGCACAGAGTGCTGCTTTTGCGGGACTCATTTGCTGTAAGTATGCATAACACAGGTCATGAGTGATGAACAGTAAAAAGTCAATTGTAGAGAATCCTAAAAGTATTTATGATTTATGTACTGTAAATGTTACTTATGTATTTTAAATGTTTTCCCCAAGATCTTAAATTGTAGCCTTTACTTGAGTGTTTTTAAATGGTAATGCTTTTACTTGCAGTTCTTCTTCAAATTACAGTCCAGTTAGTTACATCTCATTGTGTGGATCCTAATCAGTTCCTATCATCATCATCATCATCATCATTACCATCATATTCTTCTTCTTCTTCATCATCATCATCACACCCTTTAACAGCTTTGCAGTTTGCAGTTATGCATGCTGATCCAAGTGATTATTAAATATATATGATAAAGAAATATAAATATAACTACTTTTACTTGTGGTTCTTCTTCAAGTTACAGTCCAGTTAGTTACGTCTCATTGTGTGGATCCTAATCAGTTCCTATCTTCATGATCATCCAAATGATTATTAAATATAAATGATAAAGAAATATGAACATAACTACCTTTAATATTTTTTTTAATTAATTGATTAAAAAATGTTTAATGTCTACTCAAACTGTTATTTTACAGATACACTATGCAAGTTTGGGGGATTTGGTGGAAATGTGTAATTGCATGCAACATGCAGAAGAACATTTGAAAGTATCAGCTATGCTTCAGCCTCTCCCTGAGCAAATGAACCTGCTGACTGCAAGCACAATAAGAGTATTCAAAGAGAACTCAGCCAAAACATGGAGAAGGACACAAGATAATTCAAAAGAATGCAAGTGACTGTTCTACTGTTGCCATCATATCTTTTTCAGTGTAATGTTGATTTTGCACTTGAGAGCTAAACATCAAACCAGACCTGCGTTCTGAGCCCGCATGCGCGACGTTAATACGTAAATACGTATGACGTGGTCAGAAAAGCCCCACGACATCCGCCCAACACCTCTGATGTTTAAATTATTACTTCAGGCTTTACTTTTCAGGCATTTCAGGCATTACTTCAGGATGACTCGCAGCCCCGCACGGAGACCATATTTTAGCATGCGTTCTTTTTCTCTCCTGAATCAGTAATGCTACTTCTTTCAACTTTAACAAAAACAATTTACAAAGTACAGCTTTAAATGAAGACAACAGTCAAAACCACCAGTAATTAATAATGTAAATAATGTAACATAAATGAATTTTTGTTTAAATTAGTTCAATTTTACTTTCACGTTTAACCTTTTTTTAACAGCTAAAACTGAGTTATCTTTGACGTCTACTCAAGATGTTTCTTTAAAAAGACAGTAACTTGACCATTTTTCAGGCTTCTTTCTGACGCTGCAAAATGTGTTTGCGATTTTTTTTTAATGAAGAATGGAAAGCCAGGCCTGATGTGTGACTAATACAATATTATCTTCAAAGATATCATGAAGGTAATGCTTTTGGCATAATTATGAGAAAAGCTGGTCTGATTAATTGTGCTGAACAAGAACAACGGAAAATGGTCTCCTGGAAATTTCAACTGCACCTTCATCATTTTAGACTTTTCTTTGTCTCAGTATTCATGTAAAGAAAGAACTTAGAAGTATGATTTCTGATTCTCTGCCTTACATAATTAAATGAAAACATCAGTCACGTTTAGATCATTAGGGTTATCAGGTTTTCAGTCAGTGGTGCCTGAAGGGACAAAAGTTAGAATAAATCCACCACACTAATCGATAAATTGATCCAATCAAGCATGCTGCTGAATATACTGCGGTAAAATGCTGATATATCATGACTAGTGCAGACCTGTTTTTGTGGTGCATCACAAAAGCCAGAGATTATATGCACTTCTGTATAACCCATTGTGTGTGTGTGTGTGTGTGTGTGTGTGTGTGCACCACTGTGACTCATTAAGATGAATTCAATGCATATTATGAACAGAATGTATATTTTTTTCTTTTTTATCCTTGCTTAGGCTATATTTTAGACATTATTGTTCAGTCCCTGTCCACTGAACTAAATCAGTAAAATAACAGATGTGTATTTGGTTTGTTGATAAACAAAACAAATGCTACATTATAACACAAAGACGTTATCTCACTTCACACATTAAGCTGATACTAATGAATGCTGCAGCTGGAGACTACGTAAGATCACTTGCACACACTGTCTCCTGCTCTTCCATCACCTTCCCTGCACCTGACACCAACATAACCAAAGCAAATGCTTTGACATTTATCACATTGAATTTTATTTGACCTGCTTTTGTACATTCATAGTGGGATTGTTTCCAAGCTGGGATGCTCACCTCACTAATAACCCTCCATTTGGGGGAAAAAAAATTAAGGTGATTCTCATCGTTTTCTAGCATCTCTTCCTGAAGATCACCCAAACTGACACAGACGGAGATAATACTGTCTGCACTGATACAATGTTACACTATGAGATTTACAGCTGCTTCTCCAGATATGGATTAAATCTAAATATGGACAAATTTCTGTTAACAGTGTATAAAATAAACTCTGAATCAACACCTACTTAATAAAGGTGCTGATTTTTAATAGAGCTGAGGGCAAATTGCAGGTTATAAGATGATGCACATAAATGAGTCCAGGAAATTTGCACTCATATGATGTGGGTCAGTTTCCCAGACAGGAATGAAGGATACACTCAGCAGAAGAATAGATGGATGGATGGATGGATGGATGGATAGATAGATAGATAGATAGATAGATAGATAGATAGATAGATAGGTTCTTCTATATTTGGTATTATTCAGTACAAGTTTTTACCTTCAAAGATACAACAACGGTCTTATGTCCAGCTGTGTAAGCATTCCCAGGGAAATGCTATATAGTCCAGACCTAGACTTAATCCCTGTCCAGGAAACTGACCCTACATGTCCTAAAGAGCTCCATCATTCCAAAGAACGCAGTTCCACTGCTATATGCTCTGGGTACATTTTAAAACAGCTGACTTCACTAATAAGGAGGGCTGTCTGGACACATTTTGCCATATAGTATATATTTTAACTGAAAAGTAGCAGTGAGTTCTGCACATTTATGTATATTGTTTATTGCATATTTATGCCTTTTAGGTCTCATATGGACCGAATGGTATTGTTTTACTTAGTGTTTTACTAAGTAAAAGTTACAAAATGTGGCATTAGTCAAATAAGATTAGACTAAATAAGCCTATTGAATCTACATTTCGACTGAAGTAAGTACTTTTTACTAAACAGCCAAGAAGGAACATTTTACTAAATTGAACTGACACATTAAATCTAAATACATAGTCGAAATAACGAGATATTAAGTAGAATTACATAACAAGGTAGTAAGTGGACATTCTAAGCACTTTAAAGGACGTTGTTTTTATTTGTTTGTTGTTGCTTTTTCAGGTTCAGCGTGTCTGTAAATTTGTCCATATTTTTCTTTTAGTCTTGATTTACGCCTAACTTTAGTCTGGCAAAGCCTGTCCCTAATGTAGTCTACTTCGCCAATGGTCGCCTACCTGCAGGGAGAAGTAGCCCAGCGCAGATCTCGAGCTCCCAGGACGAGACAGCACGAGCAGCAGCAGCCACGGCACCGCGAGACACCAGCCTGCAGCCATCCTCGCGCTCTCCTCAGCTCCACGTGCGTCCCTCCTCGGTGCGTCTCACAAACGAGTGATCAGAAAACAGCTGTTCACTTTTTCATTTAAAACTGAACTACAAGACAAATGAGCTCACCGCCGAGAAAACCCTCTTCTGGATGATCTGAAAATATGCAAAAGTTAACAGATCAGACTGAGGCTTAAACCTGTGGACAGAAGCGACCAGTGGACAGCAACAGGTCACACAGCTGATCAAACATTTGGTTATTTTCCCTTAATAATTCTGCTAAAGTGGGCGGACACCCAGGCTACTGTTACACATGAGTATTTCTCACTGTTGGTGCAGCTGAGTTAAAGCGCGCGCTCCACTTATTTGTGGAATCTGCTTGCGTCACTTTGGGCGGAGCAAGTGATTTTCTTTTCTACTCGTACCTAGACAAGCCCCGCCCACTGCGATAAGATTCGCGAGGAGTTCATACGGCCAGCGAAATGTGGGAATATCGACTAAGGACCGATTACAGGTCTAATAGAAAGAGGAATTCATTAGTTTTACGTCGATATAAGCTGAACAGTAAGCACTCTGTTCACTGCCAGCAAAACTTTCCACAGGAGGGCGGGGTTTGCCTGGATACAGGTGGGAAAAATGTCGCTTTGGGCAAAGTGGAATGACGCACCGTTGTCTTTAATTCTCTGCCCAAAGATGACAGAAATGCCCCCAAGATTAACACTGGGGTTAGACTTACCAACTATGTTACTGCAGCCAAATATTGGGAACTTACCAGATAAGTTACCAGTATTTGGCTACATTAATATAGTCAGTGGAAATACGTAAGAGAGAGAGAGAGAGAGAGAGAGAGAGAGATTAAGAGAGAGAGAGAGAGAGTAAAAAAAAATACTTTGTGTAAGTGAGGAAAACAACACTTATCTGTCAGTCGTGGGATGCTGTGTGTGTGTGTGTGTGTGTGTGTGTGTGTGTTCTATGACTCAGTGACATTGTCCGTTAAGCTTCATGCACCACTTTACTGACAGTACGCCACATAACAGAAACAGAGACTTTTGAAGTGTTTATATAAAAACCTTTTCTCACTTTGTTGAAATATATATAAATACATAAAAAAATTCTAAGCTGCAAAACAGCCCATTTTGAATTCTTTGTTTTTGTGATGTCACAAAATCCATTTACAAACATCCCCCTATTCAGCCTTCAGTAGTTCAGCTGCACAAAAAGTTCACAAGAAGTTTTAAAGAAGTGTTTTAGATTGGGCTGTCTTTTTGAATGTCCATACAGGACAACCAACCCCATATACTTAACAGTTGGCAAGGTGTTCTTTTCATCAGATGCTCCTTTTTCATCCAAACATACCTATGGTGATTGGGGCTGTTTTTACTCCAGCAGTCCACAGCACTCGTTTCCAAAATGCCTCTGGCTTATGTATATGTTGTTCTGCATACTTTATACGTTGACTTTTGTGAAGAAGTTGCATGTAAGGTTTCCTTGTGATGACTCTTCCATGAAGATCATGTTTGTACCAGCAAGCAACACAGCAGAACGGTGTCACGACCAATCAATCAATCTTTTTCTGTCATATGGTGTTATCTTTCGCCTTTCTGGATAGCATACGGGCAGTTCTATCTAAGAGTGTTTTCCAGATCTTGCCTTGACCTCCACAGTTTCCCATAACTGCCTTTTCTTGATGACATTACAGACAGTGGAAACTGTGAACTGGAAATGCTTTAATATCTTTTTTACAGCCTTCCCCTGCTTTGAATCAATTAGCTTCATCATCAGATCCTCAATTCTGGTTGTTGAGTGTTAGAACACGATTAGAAGAGTCAGATGATGTATTACACTCTGGAATAAGCTCTGACTGATAATTCCTAATTAGAATTCCTGACTTGCCTAACCAGTCTTAATGGGTCACTAAAGGCCTAATGAGTTAAAGACGTTTTGAAACCTTACAACTTAAAGAGTCCAAACTTTTGCACATGCCACCATTACTATTTTATTTTTTCTGTTTTTTAGTTAATCAAATACAAGGTAACTTTAACATGGGCATTAACATGAGCAGAAACATTACTATTGTTATTTTAAAAATAGTTTGATGCAGAGAATGTGTTTAATTCCTTTCACTTAAAACATCAATCAAATCTGTATTTTGCATGGGGTGCCCAAACATTTGCATATAACCAAATCCATCTTAATGGCACAGTTAACAAAAACAGCCTGTTTAATTCTAAGGGAAGAGGTTGGAACATGGTCATGTAAAAATGAATTTGGACAAATGAACATTGTGAATACAAGAAAAATGTTGGATAAGGGCCCTATAAACTGAAAAAAGGGAATGGTAGTGGTATATTTCCAATAGCTATACAGACCTAACTTGTTGCTTCTGTACAGTCTTTATACAGTGTATTAGTTGTATTTTTCCATGTGCTCTAAAGGCCATTCACTGAAACCTGTAATCCACACAATGAAGAAGGAAGATTAAAAGTAGGAGGAAATATGGCATCCAAAAATACAGTGTCATTTAGTAACACAAAGATGTGATGTTAATGGCCCCTTTCCCTTGTTGGAAACCTCATATTATCTTGGTCTCTCACTTATCGTGGTGTTACATGCAGCTTGACTGAATTTGGCTTCTTTTCCCAACAGATAATGAGCACTGATGTCTGCAAGATTAATAAATGGTATTGTGCTTGGAGACTCTAAGCATATTAGTCCTTGATTAGGCGTGTTCTTTAATTGGTGCAGGTGTCTCTGGAAGTGCTGCTTTCCAGCAGTGAGGAAAAATCTGTGTAATTTAATGTAACCTCACACATCCACACTCTGTGCACACCGTGTCCTGACTGAAGTATTTCATTTTCAGGAGGAAGCTGCTTATGGAATAGGAAAGACTTTATGTTATATATTCCATATACTGTTATGGCAAATAAAGCTTACAGATCATTAGAATAGTTTGTTGGTGTTATTGATATTTAACAGGTATTATAAATAAATAACAATACTGCCAGAAAAACAGCTCTTGACACAGCTGCGTAATTACCATGTCAGCACTGCTGAGACACACTGTGTAATTCTCTAGGACGTTGTTCCTGAGTTTGTGAGAGAGTTTGCTTTGTATGTGTGTGTGTGTGTGTGTGTGTGTGTGTGTGTGTGTTAACGGACATGAGGCATAAAGACAGGATGGAAATACTCCCACATTCATAAGATAGATGACTTCTTTCAGTGGTGATGGTACATACAGTACCATCTATCACTCTCACACTCTCACAAATACCCAGAGACGCAGACGTTCTCTCTTTCCCTCTCTGTTTCTCTCTCTCTTTGTGAACTCAATCTGCCACCTCTGCTAAAAGTCATCCAGTGACAGAACTAACACTTCGCTAATAGAGCCTGTGCATAACAATCTACTCACATTTCCAACCCTAACCACCGCCTTCTGTCCTCACACTAACACAAACTTAGCTTTGGATTATGGAAGTATATAAGATTTCTAACAGGATTTGAGCATTTTCTATGAGCAGCTAGAGTATACGATTTAAAAAAGTATTTAAGCCTTTCCTATATGAGCAGGTACTGTATAAGATATCTAATAGGGTTTGGGCATTTTCTATATGAGCAGGTACTGTATAAGATATCTAATAGGGTTTGAGCATTTTCTATATGAGCAGGTACTGTATAAGATATCTAATAGGGTTTGGGCATTTTCTATATGAGGGGGTACTGTATAAGATATCTAATGGGATCTGAGCATTTTCTGTATGACCAGGTACTGTAAACAGGATTTGAGCATACACATTTATACTGTACTGATTAACAAGAATCATCAAATTAAGTTCTTTTAGAAAAGCTCTTGTGTGATACAGAACTGTTTCTTGTAGAATTGCTGCTCTTGCAGCTGGTGCTGACCAACACTTCACTAAGACATGTTGTCATGTTGTTTTTTCTTTAATTTGTCACGTCTGTGTGTAGCCTGGCTTATATTAGCAAGTCCCTTGAATATTTCACACCTGGTCACTCTGTCCTTCCTGACCAGTAATTGAACACATTCATAAAAGTGCAACCTGAGGGAAATCCAGCCCCCCAAGTATAACATGACACATTGATTGATTTATGATTGATGCTGGTCTGTGCTCATTCACTGACAGAAAGGGTCTGAGGTGAGGATGCGCTACACCCGAGGCAGCAGATAAAGGAAAGCATTTTATCAACAACCTGTCAGCAATAAGTGTGTACGTGTCATGAGTCACCAATGTCAGTACATGTTTGTGAGTAATCTGTATGACATAGTTTGGTCTGGATGTTATTGAGGAATTGATCAGTTCTTTCCAGAACAAATAGATTTTTCTGGAATATAAAAAAGTCTTGCTTCAGCCCAAGCTCTGGTGAAGTAGTTAGTCCTTAGAAGTTGAGAAGTATTACTTTTGTTACTGTGATTACTTATGTATTCAACAGATTGATATTTGGATATTGAACATCCATTTTTGACGTTTTTCAGTTTTTGACATAATTTGAAAATGCCTGTTGTCCTTTATATTTATATAAGCAAATTTCACGATAAATGGACCAAAAGAAACAGCCCAAAATGACTTGGGAAAAAAGTCTGGTTCCATTGACTTACATTAAAAGTAAAGCAGGTTTTCTGATTCTACTGTAAAGTTATCATTTCAGAGATGTGAGGTTTGGTTCTAACAGCAGAGATGTATTTAATACACAATTAATTACATTTACCTTTAGTTTTACAATCTTTATTAACATCTTCTACTCAATGACAAAATTGTGGCAAAAAAGTAAACCATCTATTTATTTCTGAATTAAATTCAAATATCTCATTTTCTGCTTATGAACACAAATGTACTGATTGACAATTTAGAACCTGCACTTTCGACAATCTCAAAGAGCTATGAGGCAGTAACAATTATCCAATCAAATTACAACATGATTTTGTTATCACTAACCAGTTCAGTTCAGACCATAAATGTCAAAACTCGAGAAAAATTCCACCTCCACAATAATGCTACTATCCTCCAACACCCTCAAGGGATTCTAGTACTACGTTAGCACTAGGCTTACAGCAATTCACATGAACATTTTTTGGCAATTCTAGATTAAACTTGGATATTTGGAGCTTGTAAAAGACATTCCATGTCTTATTTAAAGCTTGAATGAGGAATATTAACATATATTTTTTCCTGCAACGGTTTTACAGTGAGTCCTACAGTGAAGAGCCCTGGCATAGAACTGGTGGTCTTTTTCCATTTCTAACATCTGACTGAAACACTTTGGTTAGGCTACCAATTGAGTTCACAGTCAGTGATTTATCT